TGGATTCCACACGAGCAGTTGGGAGAATTTACCTTCTCCATTTTGAACAAATAGGAATTGAGAAGGGTGTGGCCGAGTCTCATACGTGCATGTTGGATATTTGAGAAACGATCTCCGATGTTATATAATTTTATAAGATACTTTCCTTTAAGTTCTCCGTAAATATACTTGGATAGTTCAAGTTTACATTTCGTAAAGTTGATTTCATCTTTTATCCGTGTAGGCAGGTCGTTCCAAGCACGCGCTGTTGAAGGTATAAATGAATTTTTGTAGTAATTCGTATTGGATTTTACCAGCTCAAACGAGTTTGCAGATCTAAGTGCATATTGTGTCCGAGTATTAACTCGATTTGGCAACAGCGATCGGTAATGATGTGGGCATTTGCCATAAACAATTTTACAAAAGGTAAGAAGTTTAAAATAACGTTGTCTTAGTTTCAAAGTTGGCCATCCCAGATCGCCACATAATTTGACGTAACTGGTTAGCTTTATTCCGCCGGTTACTAAAAGTGAAGCTCGATATTGTACTCTTTCGAGTTTGTCTGCCATAAGTTCACTGGTGTTGTCATAAATAGAACATGCGTAATCAAGAATGGGCCGTATATATAACTTATAGATGGTGTCAAGAGTATTTCTAGGGAGTTTACTTTTCAGTCTGGTCATGTAATTTATTAACCTATTGGCTTTTGTGATGGTTTGATTTATATGATTATTCCATTTTAAATCTGGTGTAAAGTACATTCCAAGATGTTTATGCTGATTTGTGTTTTGAAGTGTAACACCATTAAACGTCAATAAACCGTGTTCTGGTTTGTTGATTTTATGTGAGATAACCATCGTTTGAGTTTTCCTAGCATTGAAAGTTACTAAGTTGTCAGATGCCCATTTTGTTATACTCGTCAGGTCGCTTTGGAGCTTAATTGTAGTAGCATCTGCGTCTTCAACTATATCAAAGATGAAAGAATCATCTGCGAAAAGATACATGTTACTCTGGACTATTTCAACGAGGTCGTTTATAAATATCAAAAATAAAAGAGGCCCGAGGACTGAACCCTGGGGCACTCCTGCCTTTACAGGTAGCCACCCTGATGAAGAACCGTTTACAATAACTCTTTGTGACCGGTCTGTCAAATAATTCTTTATCCATTTAAAGAGATTTCCACGGATACCGAATTTTCTCAATTTTGCGATCAACATATCATGCCAAACCTTGTCGAAAGCTTTACTTATATCAAGAAAGATCAATCGAATTTCTTTACCATCATCAAGAGCTTTGCTAATCTCATCAATTATCCGAATAAGTTGGTTTATTGTGGAATCGAAAGGTGTGAATCCTGATTGTCGAATCGTGATTTTTGTTTTTACAAATGCATAAAGACAATTGAAAACAATCTTTTCAAGAACTTTCGAAATAGCGCAAAGAAGTGAAACTGGCCGATAGTTCTCCTTCTTGTGTGGATTTTCCTTTTTGAAAATCGGGGTAATGTTTGCTTTTTTCCATAATGTTGGAAATTCTCCCTTCATTAAGGATAGGTTGAATAATTTAGCTAAAGGAAAACAAATATAATCGGCACATATTTTCAAAAATTTGTTAGGAATGTTATCACATCCTCCACTTTTCGAAGGGTCTAGATGTTGCAATTAGTGCTTGCAACGGTAATGGATCTCACTGCCGGTAAATTTCACCTCCATTACCTTACCGTTACCGATAATCGTTGATACTGATAATGTTCCTAAAATCCCGGGGAAAAACCTGAAAGTGAAACTAAAATATTCGGAAAAATCCTTAACGAAGCCGATTTCTCAGCTTGATTTCCTGCTCACATCAACTACAGTGGATATATTGTATCATCGTGTATCTCGTGTGTGATTGTGTATTGTTAGGAAGTCTTTGAATGATAATATAGAGTGATATCGATCAAAATTGATCAAACTATTTGTGTTTGTTTTTACTTCACCGAAATATCACGTCACGTGATTTGTTAATCTCGCGGCATGGGAGATGATTGACAGAAGTGGGTGGGGTTTTGCTTATCCTCCCGCCTTTTACGAATGCTTTGCAGTTGATTGACAGATTAGCTCTTCAAATGTGGAGATTGAAATATACATGACTGATAAAATATTCTTAAACGAACATTGTTTCGTAAATTTGACAATGGATCGCAATGCCAATCATCATGTTGCAGCAGCATGGCGATTATCGGCAATGGATTTTATTACCGGCAATTGAGAGTATCTACTGCCGCTGCCGACAACCCGGCATTACCGTAAGGCACTAGTTGCAATAGGTCTTTAATCTCCTCGGGAGTAGTTTGGATGCTTTCAAGAATATTAGTCGGAGTTGGATCACTTGCAATATTGATAGCTACGCCGGCATCGTCAACTGTACATTGGGCTGCGAAATATGCGTTTAAAATATTTGCCTTTTGGGAGTCATCATCATAAACTAAATCATTCTCTATAAGACCAGGAACCCCACGTGTGTGTTTGTGACCGTTTACTTGGCGCAAAGTGCTAAACCACTTCTTTGAATTTGTGGTTTTGTTGCTCAAAATGATCGATATTTTTTCATAATATTCAGTCTTACATTTTCTTAAGACATCAACAAGCCGATTTCTATAAATTTTGTATATGTCCCAGTCAATATCACAACTGGAAAATTTTGCAATGTTAAAAACACGGTTTTTTAATCGACTTAGTTTCCTAATGAAGCCATTTATCCATGGTTTACTGTTTGGACGAATTGTAGCAGTCTTATGGGGAATACAATCATTCATAGTATCGGTTAGAAAGTCAGTTAACATAGTACAAGAATAGTCATAGTCATGACTGTGCCTGTTATGGACATTGGGTCTCATAATAAACTTATAAAATATAAAATCTGTATTGTACATTATTGAGGTGGCTATCTCGGGCCATACAGGGTGGTCAAAAAATGGAAACCCTGCATTTTCCTAATATCTTTGTCATTTTAAGAAATTACTCCCTGATATTTCACACATTTGTACATCATTCAATTTCCTACAATTCTGTCAATTTTCATGACCATCAGACTGATAGTCACAATTTTACAACACTTTGAATAACATGCTTCAAGTTTGGCCATCATCACGCTGTAGGTAAAACTGCACAGTTGTCAATGGGCCGAATGCATTCCTCAGCAGGTATGGCCTGAATGAAATGGATGATCTCACTTTTGAGGTTTGTGATTGTCCTGAGGTCATCCTCATACACTTTTTCCTTGTCATATCCCCACAGGTAGGGACATTTTGGACGACGAGTGCAGGTGGCCCGACAGCGCAATAGTGGCCACTACGGCATGTTCTTTAAAGTGCTGTAACATTGTGTCTATCAATCTGATGGTCATGAAATAAAGTAAGCTGGCAGAAAATTGAATGATGTACAAATGTGCAAAATATCAGGGAGTTATTTCTTAAAATGACAAATATATGAGGAAAATGGTGTAAGGGTTTCCATTTTTTTTGACCACCCTGTATATAAATGACAGGTATAAGGGAAAGCTTCTCTAAAGATCAATATTCAGTAGATTTATTGATCAATTTTCAACTAAGGTCTATATGGAGAATGGTGGAGAATTTTAGAATTGTATGTAATCAAATGCAAAATAAACGCCCAGTGGGCGTTTTTAGAGAAACTCTACAAAGTGTGAAATAAAATACCATGTGCTAATATCTCTAATGATGGTAATTTTATTTTGTAGCAGTTGAAACAGAGATTTTGGATGATTTCGTTCGATTATTGTCAATCACTGAAATTGTCATAAATTCATCACTTTCTACAAGTATGTGTTTATTTATTGATTTCACTTCATTTGGTATTATTCCAGAGAAATTTCTTGTTATCATTCTAAATTTGCCTATATTTTCAGTAACCTTTGTCATCTTCATCTCTTTTCTTCATGATGTTCTACAAGGTGGTTTATAATGATTTGAAATTGAGGAGTTCAAAATGAAGGACAGTAAAATCATGTAAACCCAACTACTACATATCATTAGAATCCACATGATAAAATCACTCACTTGGCTGATCATAAATTGTTTTCATAAGATCCTTCTTACTTGATACTGAAGGGGAGTTGGAACGTCTGATATGCATGTAATGTTAAGTATTATGTACATTAACCATAGGCATATCAGTTTAGTGGTTTTGGTAATCTTAAAACAGATAATTTGGTGAAATATACATTTTCGTTCGGCGGGTTTTTGATTTTGCTTCATTTATCAACTCAGTTCAGGTATTTCGGTTGTGCCAACCACTGAATCCTGTTGCCAAATGAATCTTGAGTCTCTTGCACAGCATATGGAATACCATATGTAGGTAAAATGACATTAAGGTGGTTAAGAGAAGAGAAACAAACACACTTTTCCTCCGACATTTCGAATTTTGCGCATCTTGTCGAGTCTTTGATCACGCACTTTTAATAGTAGGCGATCACTGTACATACAGTGTATCTAACAGAAATATGGATCAGATCTTTTCAAAAGAGATAAATATTTAATGTACTGTATACTGTGTACTCGGAAATAGAAGTATACTGAAGGATACAACACAAACAATTGTAATATTGATCAGGAAGAAATAGAATTGGAGTAGTTGTAAAACAATAAGTAAAAACAAACCAAACAATATCAGTTGTTCGAACCAAATCCTCAAAAAATATTTACAATGATGCATCTCCAAAGTAGGAATACAGCTTAATGTTTGCAGTTAGCACACCGATCTGTTTTATATTGACATGCATATTTACATGTATGTGCAATAAATATGAATGAAAGATCAACTAAATATATGAATATGACCAGTAGAGTTTGAGGGAGATAAATCGGTTAGATATTTCCTGTATCCTGATTTTGAGGTTTCCATAATCGACAACTTCCATATCTCCCGCTTCTAGGCATATTTTTTTGTATTTCAGATAGTTATCACAAACTACTAAGTATTACATATTTGTACAAAATACATACATATAATGTTTTTTAGGCTCATGGTGTGCTGATGGTTGACTATACTAATGATGTGAGGATAATAGGAGTGATCACAATTATATTCTTGTTGGTGATAGCCATGGTGGGGATGGAGTGGGAAGCTAGAGTAAGTACATTAGTGAATAAAATAACTTCATCTTGTTATGTCACCACCAGAATTCTTTTTTTGCAAGCTCTGTTTTTCTCCAGTTGTTCAATATTTAAGGCTTTTATACAACCATCATCTCGAAGGAAAAATCATCCTAATATATTCCTTTTCAAGTCAGTTTTTGTTACTGTTTTAGCTGTCACTCTAGATTCAGTCATCATTTGTCACTTGCAGGCCCAACTCGGACTATTAGCAGTGCTGGTCATTGCAATAATAAACTTTATTATTGGCACATTCATTCCACCAACAGAGAGTAAGCAAGAAAAGGGATTTGTGGGCTACAGAGGTAAGACCTACAAGCTTTACTATACAGAATATAATTGTTAAAAGTCAATTTATACCCTTTTGAAAGAAGTATGTTTAACTACATCTACCTTACTACCAAAGTAAACCCCTGAGCATTGACCTGGAATCCAAATTGTTGTTTCTTCAAAATTGTTGAATACAGTTTGTTTGCCATCCTTTGATAAAGTGTAATAATGCTACAGTATTTAAACAAATGAATACTTGAGTTCAATGTGACATTCAATTATTTTTAAACAGAATTAAGCATCAAATCATTACACCACATGAAATAAAGGCTTGTTTTGAAGTAAAGTAGTCTTATCAAATGTCCAGTCAAAACCAAAAGTTTCATTAAAAAGATCATAGATCTTCGTGAATTTAGTCTATTTATTTTCATACCACTGTTTTGGTTACTAATTTAGCACCTCATTTAATTTGATGAATTTGGGGAAATGAAAACTTTGCCAATTTGAATGTTCACCGAAATCCCAAGAAACAAAAAATTATAATAGCTTTAGAGTCTTAAATAGGTACCAATATTGTGAAAATGACCAAAAATCAAGCCATACTTTGGTTCTTGATTAATTTTAGGCCTGCAACTCAGCATAAATTGACACAAAATGACAACGTATACATTATTTATCCATTCTTTTTCAGGAGACATATTTGTACAGAATATTGGCCCAGGGTTCCGTGATGGAGAGAACTTTTTCTCTGTGTTTTCCATATTTTTCCCAGCTGCAACTGGGATCCTAGCTGGTGCCAATATATCTGGAGATCTTAAGGTTGGTTTTTAATATATTTAATTTTATGTCATTCATAGTCTAAGGATTCTACCCTACATATCTTTCTTCGTATACATTGGTTGTCTTTTTATACCCTATATGCAGTTAAAAATCATAGTTTTAAGATGAAATTAATTTTACATCTTACACAATGAGAAAATCTTTGTATAAATTGCATACCAGATGCATATACCTTGTTATGATTGTTAACAATGAAGTCTTGCAGAGATGTATTCACATTTAAATGTTGCTGATAGTGGTTTCTCACCAAACCTCGAAATATATATTCTCTCTTCCAGGATGCTCAGAAGGCCATTCCAAAGGGGACACTCCTGGCTATTGTTATCAGCACCATTACATATGTTGTGTGTGCCTGGATGGTTGGATCCTGTGTACTACGTGATGCAGCAGGTCCTTCCATCCTCTCCCTCCACCCAGGAGCCAATCTAACTAACATATCATACAGCGCTGAAACTCTGCTGAATGTAACAATGGCTGTGAGGAATGAGACTGATTGCTCAAGAGAAACATGTGATTATGGGCTTATGAATGACATGGCTGTAAGTTGAAATAAAACTCTAAATGCATTCTTGGATTTTGATATATTTGCATCCCCAAAAAAATCTAAAAAGTAACATCAAAGTGAAGAATAGGATCAACTAGAGAATAAGCTATAAAAAAGTTATCAAAACAAATTCTTAAAAGTTTCTCATAACCGTAACTTGTACATGTTTTTTCTATTTTTGAGCCTTAAAACAGTGATGATTCAGTTTAAAATCAGATGTACATTTTGTTGATTATTTTAGCTGGATATATAATTTGGCTCTGTTGTAGGTGATGGAGCTTGTATCAGGCTTTGGACCAATCATAACTGCTGGTATATTCTCTGCTACACTATCATCTGCTCTTGCCAGTCTCGTTTCAGCACCAAAAGTATTCCAAGTAAGTCATCCATTTTCTGTCCTTAGAGTTTTGATATAGTACATGTTAGCAAGTCAAGACAATGTATTGAAACTGATTATATATCTTCTCTTGTATATAAATGATTAATGAATAAAATCACCCCCTAAATCTCTGTGTTTGCCAAGGCTTTTAAGTCAGCAAGACCTAGTTAAACTTACTACATATTCCCGTTGGAATAATTCATTCCCTATACTTCTGTGTTTGCCAAGGGCTATAGCAAGTCAGGAAGGTGAAGTAAGCTTTATGTATTTATCTCTTTGTTTACAGGCTGTCTGTAAGGATAAGATCTTCCCCTACATTACAGTGTTTGCGAAGGGATATGGCAAGTCGGGAGAGCCTTGGAGAGCATACATCCTTACGTTTTTTATTGCTATTGCCTTCATTCTGATAGGTAATCTTGCATAGATAACAGGGGAGGCTTAAAATAAGTCAATTGGAATTATTTATATTCAGTGAACACACTGATTCAGAAAAAATGAAACAAATTTAAATTAAAAATGGCACCATTTGGTAGGCCCACATAGTTAAAAAGTTATGTCACTGACTAAATAATCTCATACACCTGTTTGTCTTGTTTATCAATAATCATAATGTTCATATATTTCCAGGGGAGTTAAATGCCATAGCACCAATAATCTCCAACTTCTTCCTGATGTCTTATGCACTGATCAACTACTCATGTTTTGATGCCTCTTTAGCCAAGTCACCAGGTATAAACACTTGAACATACTGTATCGCAATACTACTGTACCACAGTACTACAACCATTCATTGAATAAATAAATGGTTTATAGTAACAGTTTCTGATATTCAGCCTTTTTTAAAGGAAGGGAATGGTTATGGGATAATGTTCATCTAATACTTACTTACTACAATAGTTGAGTATTTATTTAGTTGATTGACACAGTTTATTATTGAGTTTTGTATTTTTAGGTTGGAGGCCTGCCTTCCGTTACTACTCCATGTGGATTAGTCTCTTTGGTGCTGTTATATGTCTTGGGGTTATGTTTGTCATCAACTGGTATGCTGCCCTTATCACATTCATCATAGTGGCTGCTCTGTACATCTATGTGCACCACACTAAACCAGGTATTTCTATGTCTATGTTGCAACCATTGACTTTTATTTGTTGAGGCATAATGTCTGTATAAATGGTTCACCTGGTCTTATACTGGCTGTTGAACCCAAATGAAGATTTTTTGAAAAATGTTTTGAATCATTTTCTTTCATTAAGAAAGATCTCTTTGCTTATTAAGGCAAGAATGTTGCAATGATAAATAAGGCACTAGACCAGTGTTTCAAAATATAATTAATTGAGCTTTAAATCTTTTAGATATTGATTTTCACAATAAAACAAAGTGATTTTTTACCTCCAAACCCAAAACATGAAACATGAACATACATTTATAGAATGACATTATCCCTCAGACATCCCTACTTCAATGCAAATGAAACTGTTTTGTTATATTTCAGATGTGAACTGGGGTTCTTCCACCCAGGCCCATGTGTACAGAAATGCCCTGCAGTCCACTCTTAAACTGGTTACTGTGCTAGAGCACGTGAAAAACTTTCGGTATGGATTATTGTAAAAAACAAATAAATCTTTGAACAAAGTCTGATTTTCTGCAGAAAAATTATGAAATTGTTTATATTAAAATAATTTGGAAAATTGTGTATCTGCAGTGCAACTTTGTGTATAGTTATCTCACCGATCGCTTTTTATGATTTTATGAATTATTTGTATTTCAGTTATCCAGAAGTTATGGATTGGAACATTCCATAAGAATCAGTGAGATTGGCGAGTGAAAATTATTTTTGATTTAATTAAATCATACCCTAATCTGATTAATTTTATTGCAGACCCCAAGTGCTTGTATTAACTGGTAAACCAATGAAAAGGCCTGCCCTGATAGACTTCACATCTCTAATCACTAAGAATGTTGGCCTTATGATGTGTGGAGAAGTTCTTAAGGTGTGTAAAATGTATAGTACCTTCAGTCTCTCTTAGACTAGCTAAATGAAAATAATCTTGCAGCTAGCTATTTGAATTAAATTCCATGTACTTATTTATGAAAAAAGCCCGCCCTGATTCTAGCATATTTTTAAACATCTTTTTAGACAGAAATATATGATTCACTGTATTATTAGTCAAAGTATTTAGTAATAAAAACCTCATTCCCTCAATTTCATCAGTGAACATTTTTGGGTAACACTTAAAAATGTTTTGATGATTAACAAGCTTTTAAGGTTATTAAATAGTCTGTGCTATTCTTATAGGGTCGACAAGAGGACCATGTGAAATCTCTGAAGTCACAGACCCAGGAGACATATGATTGGTTATACAAGAGAAAGGTCAAGGCCTTTTATCAACCAATCACAGCAACAAATTTGAGGCTGGGTACCCAAGCATTGATGCAGGTAATAATAGACAAGAGGAATATATATCTTTTTTTTTATTATTATTTTGATCATACAAAAATGTTTATTATATTTATGTGTTGTAGGCGACCAATAAAATCAGATCTAAAAGATCAAAAAATTTCCTATGGATACATACAAGTATATTAAAATGACTCACAAATATGATAAAACATTTTGAGATTTCTATGATAATATTTTACATAAGCTTTTTGGCCAGACAAGGCTGAATTATATACTGCTCATTCGATGCATTTGAAATTCTGGTGTAAAGACTGTGTTCAAACAGGAATAATGATCGGAATATTAGTCTAGAAATATCAGCATTAAGAAAATTGTACTTGGTTTTATTTTAACTTATTACTGCATTGTTAGAATACGACAAATCTACGGTATAACTAACATTGGTAAGAAGAATTTCAAGCATTGATCATGAATGATTTTTGTAGGCATGTGGTGCTGGTAAAATGAAACCCAATACATTGTTCGTAGGCTTCAAATCTGATTGGTTAAACAATGAACCAGGGGAGATAACAGAATATGTCAACATCATACAGTAAGTCAAACATCCTTTTGTGTTGATCTATCAGCATCCTGTTTTAACATTTGTTACCATAATTTTATACTTAGTTTTGAATTTGAACTACTTGTGTAATCTAGTTTGTGTTTGAAATTCATAGCTTCAGTTTGTAGCTTTACAGCTGCAGTCCTATTACCAAGAATGCATTTCATTATTATAAGCATATTGTTATTCAGTTCTTTACCAAATGGAATCATGGTTTTTATTACACATTTGTTTGCCCATTGTTCTTCTTTCCAATTTGGGATCAACTTGATGTGAATGGAACTTTGCATTAAAACCATTTCCAAATTAACAATAACATTACACAATAAGTTCCATTCCAGCTATTTTGTTGACTAAAAATCCCTTCCTTGCCTTGTGATATTCTCCTAGGCTAATGTTGACTAAACCACCCATCTTTGCCATTTGTGGTTTACATGCTTTTCATGGAAAACATACATTCAAGTGTGAGTGGTTAACTATATTTGCAGTGATGCTTTTGATTTGCAATATGGGGTTGGGATATTACGCCTTAAGGAAGGCTTGGACCACAGTGAGTTTACAGCTGATGATAGTGACAATGAGGCTGACCAACATGACCAATGGGAAGGTACAAACATCTAATCAAGCTCTGCAAAATCTATTCTCTTCTATTACTAGTATTTTGTCATTTTCTTAAAACATTCAACACATGTTCATGGACAGGTGACTTATCAAGAGAGTTATACTACTTTAAAACATGTTTTGAGGATCACTCTCACATATCATACTCTTAATGCCTCAGCTGCACACTTAATTACATTATTGTCAAGTTCTCTGTTGTTTTGAATGAGGTTTGAATGTAGCCCATGGTCCCGGACACCATTCATATTTGCACAATTTGCTGCATACTGGGATACGTTTTTGTCATTTCAGATTTGAGAGCTCATTCTAATACACCTACACCGAACACAGGGTTATCTCATGAACCATCTCCCGTGTCAGATGATCTGCGAAACTCACCATCCAATGCATCACTAGACCCCGTATCAAGTGGTCCGAAAAATAAACCTTCCAAATTTTCAATACACCCTGTTTCCGATGATCTGCAAAATACACCTTCCAAACCTAGCTTCCACCTTGGTGACCAAGAGTCTGAAATTGCCCCCTCAAAAGAAGAGGAAAGTGAAAAAGTAACCCCACTTAAAGCAGTATTTAACTCTGAGGGAAGTAAAGATGGTGGCAGTGAGAAGGATCTATCCAAAAATACAGACAATGCAGAACAAACTGATAATGATGCAGAGCCTCAACCATCAAATGCATCAAATAATGTGATACCTTCTAAGGAAGGAGAAAAGGATAAATCTTCCAGTGATGCAAAAACTGAAAAATCTTCTGATCCAAAAGAAAATGAAAGTACTGATACAGATAAACAATTAGAATCTCAAAATAAGTCCATTGACAATGAGGATCTGGAAAAGAAGTCAAATGATGATACAAATCCTGAAGCCAAGAAAGCAGAAGACATTAAAACTGTATCAAATGCTGCTGATTCAAAGCCCAAGTTGAAACCGTCTCATAGTAAAAAATTTGTAATAAGTAAAATTGAAGAGGACGTTCTACCTAAATCAAATGAGAAAAAAGAAGTTAAACCCGAGGATAATGAGGAAAAAGATAAAATGGAAAAGAAACTTAAAATAGAAATAGAAAAAGTAAATGACACTTTGAGTAAGGAGGAAGAAAACAAACCAGAGATACACATAGAGGATGAAACTAAATCTGAACCAAGTGAAAGCACAAAACTTCTAGAAGACACAAATCATCTGAATGCAGACAAGTTGTCCCCTTTGAAAAAATCTACTGACAGCTTGAATGTGCCACAGACCAAGCTGTCACGTGATGCCAGTTGTGATGTCATAGTGAAGGGACAGAAACACAAGATGGACAAGACAGTTCTGCAAAATGTGAACAGGTTTCAGAGGAAGCAGAAAAAGGGCACAATAGATGTTTGGTGGCTGTTTGATGATGGAGGTACAGTTTATTTTTACTTTAAAGGTGCTCATCCTTTTACTATAACTAAAATATTTACCATAAACTATTATATGATACTAGCCTCCTTTTCTATAAATATCAAAAATTTTTAAAAAAAGTTCATCTGGTGAGCAAATTAAGTTCTTATTACAATGTTTGCATGGTGAAAGATTATTTTCAAAGTTGCATATTTTTGTAGGCCTGACATTACTGGTTCCTTATATTCTCTCCACTAAGGCCTACTGGTCAAACTGCAAGCTCAGAGTATTTACAGCCGGTACAAAGAAAGGCGAGCTAGACAGGGACCAACGATAGTAAGTATTGTGTCAAACAGAATGTATATTTTACCATCAAAGATTGAAATAAATTTATTTGTTCTCTGAAGTTTTAAATTATAATCAAAAATTGACATTGAAATTGATGGGAATGTTGCTCACTCTCATCATTTATTAATTACAGTTCTTAATTAATTATCCACCATTCAAAGGTGTGCACAAGACCCCCAATGCTGGAGTGTGGGATACTGGCTTACTACTTGTTCCTGGTGTTAAGGATTTTGAAATTCACATTTTGGGTAATAGGAATTTCAATTTATTTGACCAGTTATTTTTGATACCAGGGGAATTGACTCACCAACTGGCTACGAGGGTAAGGAAGTTTGACAGTCCAACTTTTATTTCTTCAAAATCCCAACCTCTTTCTTCTCTCATTATGGGTCTCATGTAAACCTTGAATGGTGCACTTATAAAAACTGATATCTATTTAGCATGGCTACGATGCTGAGTAAGTTTAGGATAGATTGCTCAAGTATGACACTTACCCAAACAGGGGGAAAGCCATCCATGGACACGTAGGACCTGAAGCAATATTTCCATGACAAGAAATCTTGACATTTTGACTAATTATTGATTTATTGTATTATTAAAACAAATTATTTTTAGTCATGAGTAGATTGTGCATATTTATACACAAGTATAAGTATAGTCAAGATTTTAAGATTTTATGCCATGGTATTTTTATTATCCATGTTGTAATTCTATTGTACTGCATAACTTTTTTTATGATATACTTTTATCATTGTCTTTGATTTGGGGTAATGGAATATGATCATCACTCTAATGCACCACCCTTTTAGTGGGACTGAATGTCACAGGTTTCTTATTACAGTCCATATATTTTTATGTAGCTTAAGTATTTTTAATTTTAGGTTGACGTACATGTGCACCAATATTGCTTTTCTTGTCTTATTTAAAGTAGGCAGAGTGAGATTGTCTTTGATTTAACAATGCAAGGCTACTGTATGCATTAAACACATTCATAACCAGGGATAGCATGGCATTATAATACAAGAGACCAGGACATTTCAAAGGGAATGTCTCAAAAATTATAGATTACTCATTCTACTCTGCCTACATAAGTATTTCTGATGTTGCATCAAACATCTTGGGTCTTAAAGTGCCCGATAAACTATAAAATGCGCATGCGTCCAGGTGTTGATAAACTATAAATAACGAAAATCCAGGGTTTGTCACCACAAGGTAAGCCAGGACGTGTTGAGAGAACAGCTAGTGTTGATATTGAATTTACATGTAGCCAGATAAGTTTCCTTATTGAAATTACATATGGTTATTAGCAATACTTTGTAGGTGCTAAATAATAAAATATTTAGAGTATATATGAGAGAAATTGGTCATTTCGAACCTGTTGAAAAGTTTGTGGCTCTCGGCTACACCGGGGAATTTACTTCCATGAGTACACACATAAATGTGGGGTTCCCCAAGAGGTACGCGACAAGGTGACCTGGCATCAAATGTGCGACTTAATGCTACTATCGAGAAGATAAAATAACGAATACGACAATAAGTTATTGCATGTGACAATCCGAGCCTTCATCTCACTGAAGTATTTTGAAGTGAAAATAGGATTTTTGTTTTGATACATGGATTCATATGAACGTAACTTTATTCTGACAACTAATCAAAACTGAACAAAATTGATTGTACGTATACAACAGACAATTTAATGTTTTACAATGTTTTGATTGGCTAAACGAATGAAACTAACAAATTATGACATGTAAAATGACAATTTTGAAATGTAAAATTTAAAAGTGACAAACACAACCTCCCTATCCACTCTTTGGGAGCCCTAGTAAATTAGTAATATGTACATGCAGCAGTGGTACACTACGCTTTGTATTCTAAAGCCTGTTGTTCACTCAACGTATGTTTTGTGTGTGGGCAGTCAACGATAATCATTGTTTTATCCCGGTTATATGACCTCGGCAATTATAACAGAACCGTACTAAACGAAAAAAACGCAAATAAGAGAAAGCTTTCACACACATATAAAAAATGAACTAGTCTAATCTGCCAGTATAAACTCTGTGCTATACGTAGCCGGGTCAGGCGCACACTTTAACAATACTTTTTATGTCACCACCACAATGGGTGACATATTTTTATAGTCTCCAACTTTTTTGTGGCTGGTGGTCAGTGTCTGTAACAAATGGCAAGTAGTGACATTTTGCATGTTAATGCCTTGTATTTTATTATGGAGCATGTCATATGATGGCTTGATGTAAGACTTGATGTTAGGCTTTCACTGTAGCCAAGAAAATTTGCATTTTATTAGATATTATGTTATGTCTCCCACTGTGGGGGACCAAGTCAGTATTTTGATTTATCTCAAAACTCAATTTTTTAGATATCAGATTCACCCACATTTCTTCCCCTAAAATGTTTTTTGAAAATTTTTGAATTTTTCTGCAATAAAATGTTGCTTCTTAAAGTATGTTTGTGGATGTACATCAATATACTGATATGGTCTCGTATACACATTGGATTTGTGTTGTACTATTTATGTTATCCCCTGTACTTTATTTATGTTGTACCTTTTTTAGTATGGCAAACTTATTGAGTAAGTTCCGTATTGATTACTCTGTCATCAACACTCTATCTTCTGTTGGCAAAAAACCATCACAGAAATCGTAAGTCACATATGCAATGCTGTGAACATGATTAACTTGACGATTTGGCATCATTTGATATATCTAAATCATTCTGCCTTATAAATTGGCAGTTATTTTGTAATGCCAAAAATGCCAAATTAATCAAGTACAAAATAAGCATGGTGATAGTTTTGGAAACTACTGTACAGTTACCCGCATGATTCAAATTATATTAATCTATTTTTCTGTAAACAAAAATGTGTTGTCAAAAAACTGTCAGACTCTTGAGAATTATTTTATAATATGAAAGGAAAAGATTTTGATGAAATAACTGATAAATTGAAATTAAATGTACATTAAAAAGCTTGTCATAACAAAATCTCGCAACATTGTGTATTTTTCCATAATCTGTTGCTTTTGACTTTAATAGTGAATAAATTGTTTATGTTGTACATAATCAGACTGTGCATGTTAATGTATTGTAGGTTTAAGGAGTTCAAAGATCTGATTGCTGGGTGGATGTTGAAGGAAGAGGAAGGTGAGACCTCCACTTCTCATCCCTGGAAAATATCAAGTGAAGAACTATTAAAGAATAAAGATAAGGTAGGAATAACAAAAGTTAAATTCAGAAGTTAGCACTTGAGAATGCTACAGTTAGATTATGAATCAGATTATAGGATCACTGAATCACATATTCTTACTATTATGTCACCACCAAAAAGTGGTGACATATTGTTATGGTGTTCATTTTTGTGATGGTGATCAGGGGTTGGTGATCAGCGTCTGTAACAATATTGTGAGCAACTAGATGGTGACATTTTGTCATGTTAATGCTTTGTTATAAAACTATTATCATTGGTAGGTGGTGTTTTAAAATGATAGAGGGATGATCCATGAAAAGTGAAACTAATTCTATAACTTCAGTAATATTGCATTAATTTTGTTCCAGTTCAGTACAGACATGCAATGATAAATTCCATGGAGTTGGAATTAAATGTCCTAAATCAGGGGGGGAGATTTCCCAAAGATGACCTATCATATTAACACGTTCGAAAACAAATTTTATAAAGGCCTCGATTTGCTGTTGAAATGGATCTCCAAATGTTCACTGTAGTTTTATGAGTATTCTCTACAAGTATGGATCGAATAACTTCAATAGTATTACCGTAGGTTTGAAATGATGATGTTGAACTGATGTTAACGCCATTCCCACGATTTCAAATTTAACTCAGTGCGCATGCGCAGCACTGAGAGAGCATGTGCTCATGTTTGTTCACGTGATCGAATCCTGCAATTTGATTGGAGATGATGCAAGAGATGATGTAATGGGGAATCCCCGAATACGATAGAATATGAAAGAATTATGGGAGCTACTCACTCCTCCTGGTCCTAAATTGTTAAGAGTCTTGACAATGGTGTCACAAAAGGAAAGATGGAGATTTATTTTGTTGCTTTATAGTTGAATTTATGCACCTTTTTACATTACTGATATTTGTTGAAGCTAATGTTGAGACTTCTGTTGTGGTGCTAATTACTATTACCATCTGCTAAGGTGTTCAGCCTGCTGAAAGTTTCCATATTTTTACTTGCAGACGTACAGACAATGTCGGTTACGGGAACTGCTTTTAGAACATTCCAATGATGCTGCACTTATTGTCATGTGAGTATCAAAATTTGATTTATAAGATGTAGATACATGAAACTTATTGTAGACCTATTTGTAATTGGTCATTAGAGAACAATGTACTCACAAGTTCCACTTTTTAGCTAAAATATGCCTTAATACATTTGTAATAAAATAGGTTAATAATAAGATTGATTTTAGCAGGTTTTGTCTTTACAGGCTGAAAGTGTTTCCAGGAAATGTTTGAATGCAATATTAATATTATGCTGGAAATCAGATAAACATGAGAATGTGATTGGATATAAGCTTTTTCTGAAACCTTCATATGGATTGTCCACATGCCCATAAATTACAACCGCTTCTGTTCAGGTTTATTATGCAACAAAATGTAAATTCTTTTTTTCCAGGACACTACCCATGCCTAGGAAAGGCACTTCTGCTGCGCTATATATGGCCTGGATTGAGACTCTGACAAGGGGCATGCCTCCTATACTGCTCCTTAGGGGGAACCAGGAGAGTGTGCTAACTTACTACTCATAGCATGCATGGAGAGTAAAGAGTAGATCAGTGTGCAGCATTCCCCAGGGGCAGTTCTATGAATAATCATACATACATTGTATAATAGCTTCTTTACACAATGAGACGGAGAAAGGACTGATCATGTATATTTGGATGCCTTAAGCTCAGATGTGTGTTTATTGTACATCATAATCTAGAGAATATTGCTTGTCAATGTGGTAATCACTGAATGTAGACTGGTGTTAAATATGTAATAATGTTACAGAGAATGATATTCAATGATGCTTACACACTACATGTATAATAGACCAACCAGAAATTCATGTCATCTATTGGTTATGATGTCATTCTTACAGTCTCAACTTGTTCAGATTAATTTATTGGATAATTCTTAAAAATGTCTTTCAATTTTGTCAAAAACATTACAACCTGCAAGCTATTACATCACAAATCTAGCCAAAATACACTACTGTAGTATCTTTAAAGGGGTGATTTATTGGAAAGATCTATGGAAGTCTTAAATAGCTTGGGTGAACTGGTCACCACTAATGAAATGTAATGCAAACTTGTCTTCTTCAGGTGCCTTTATAATTTATATGTATATGATATAAATTGTATAAATACTAGTACTAATAGAGTCAGGGTAGATAAGCGAGTATAGCCTTATATGGTATGTGGGGGGCACATTGCAGTGAAACCAATCCTGAGTTAATCATATCACATTTTTAATTTTACTATATTGTATCATCTGATTCTATGGATGTGTTTCTTGTCTTTTTACAGTATGATCACATTAACCATGACATATCATTATAATCTTTACAAAATATGTATTGTACTTTACCTTATACTTTACTCATAAAAGTGCTTAGAATCAAGAGCTTTCAGTATTTATTTCTGGTTAAATCGTTCATTCATTTTGTGGCAATTTAAACAGATCTATGAAAGTAATATGCCCATGCAACAAATTTTATTTAATATTTATGTTATTCTGATGCATTTTCATGCAGCTGGTAGATTCTGATTTAAACATTGTAATGTTTGTTTTAAAAGTAAATTTATTTATTACAGTGTGTGTATATATGATTAAAGATATAATTATTATTTATTGGATTCTAAGCATAACAATTACATTACATATTAAAACTTGAGTCTCCTCAGTGCAGTTTGATTGACAGTAAAGCTGGCACAAGAGAAATATCAGAAGTGCGCGAAAATTAATGTGAGTACAGTTTATAAATTGAATGCCAATAGAATAACTTCATGTGGCAGTTAACGTTAAGATTCAACTTTATTTTATTCTAATGATTATTCTATTTATTCATGGTAACCTAATTGACCAATTAAACAATACAAAAATGTTAAACATTTGAAAATGAACAAAAAGGTTACATGTTACAATGTGTATTGTAAGATGAAAGATCTTGAACAAATGTAATATTCACATGTTAAGAAATATTATTTTATATTTCATCCAGAGTTGAGTGTAATACTATCACTATCAAGGTTAGTTTTCTAGAAATGATATGAATTTATTATATTATTCTATAGTATTTCTTTTGATATTTTGATAATAATATTGATATTGAAAATGGCATGATTTGGAGATTTTACAAAATCCCGTATTTATTATTTGCACATTGTAAAGCATGGACAAAGACAAATATACAGTTTAAATTGCAAATGGACTGTAGAATTTACACGAAGTGTGGCTTTATCCCCTATCTGTAATGTAGTTTCTGATAATTGATATATTTTCAGTTGAATATGGAAAGATGAGACTAAAAGAGGTTCTGGTAAACTCACTTATCACGATGTGTAAATAAAAGTATTCTTATGCATTAACAAATGTTTTGGTATTAATATGTAAGTTGTGTCTGGTATAAGGGTTGTATGCTAAATCTTCAATATATTAGGTGCCACAAAATATTACAAACTATATGTATGCAAATTGCACTTAATTTTGAAAATGTGTTCATTTAATAATAATAATAATACCTCAAGATATGTCACAATCATAATGTTAACATGTGCTTTATGTTGGGAAGGTGCAACTAAAAACATAACAATAAAATGCAACAAAAACAGATAATGTGTTTCATGTTTTCTTTTATTCTTTAGTAAATATATACCATTTGTAAATGTTGACACTAACCTAAGATTATATCAGATGATTTCTTCCTATACTTCAATGAAGAAAGTTTTTAAGGACACCATATACACTTACTCTACTATACCTAACCCCTAGAAATGCAAAAGATACTCTGTTTGTACTTGTCTAATTGTATTGTTCATTATATTTTTGAAAATACCTTATTAACATTCTATGAGTCATCTGATAAACCATTAATAATACCTGGGTCACATTTGCTCTGGCGCCCGGGCGATTGAGTACTTTGTTCAAAACTGAATACAATACTTGAACACAATACTCAATAGGCTGGGCGCTGGCTGATGAATCGGAGCAAATGTGACCAAGGCATTAGGAACAGACAAATAAAAATAGTAGAGTTAACCTCAATTGGGTTGCTCATATTCTTTGATCGATCTGAGGTGGGGCATCTTTCTAGAACTGGATATAAGTTTACTTAGAGAAAGAATGTGGTATTCATTTAATTTACTTTGAATTGCACTTGAACAGTTGGTTTGTTGATTTTCTTAATTTTCCAAATAAGTGTAAATGAGATTGAACAATTGAATATGTTTTGATTTGTTTGACAGATAAAAATATAACAAACTAAAATGTTTTGAATATTGTCAAACACATAAGTTCCATACCCCAAGACTCGGACTATATCAGACACTCAAAGAGTAATTTCAGTTTTGTTCAAAATACCCCTAATTAACACTAAATGGATTTTATCATCAAGGTAAATCAAATTACTTTTCTCAAAAGAGTGACTCTGGCAGTTATTTGTTTGCCTTGGAATTTTTACAAATGGAAAAGCAGTCTAGTGCCATCTAGGTTTTTGGCAAGGAATTTTCTTTTTGGCCAGCCAATTCAAAATCTCCAAAATTTTTTGTAAAAAATGTTAATCTTTGACAACTCTTGCACAAGGTGACCAAATCTTATATGCTGGTGCAATTGAAATTGACCACTGTTTGTTTAAACTAGACAACTAGAATATATACTGGTTATAGCATTTGGTCTCAATTGCCAGGCCTGTCTTAGAACAAGATGATGACAATATAGCACTTTTTCAAAGTGCAGTAAAAAGGCCACTAAAAGTATTATCTAATAGTTAAGAGATTCATCTCAGTGATGTTTGGCAATGGTTGAAAATGAAAATGAAATTAAATTGCGATGAACCTTAACTGAGTGATACTAATACTATAATGGTAGTATATCCATGTTGAAATATTGGCAACTCTTCATCTGAAGATTCATCACATGTCTTTATATCTGAATAATCAGGAAGATAATTGTACCCAATTTCTCCATTCCCATAAAATCCATATAAAGGCGTTTTGGGGAAAAGTTTCCTAAAGATTTCAGATTCCACATTTTGTTTATGATATAATCCATAACCTCGGCCTATGCATGCAAACATGAAGCCAATTCGGTTACTGTCTGGGATGTGACTCCCTCTTAATTGTGACATCACAGATTCCACTTGTTTAGGGTTTGTGACATCAGCTGGGACTATGACACTAGCGACCTTTGTGTCATCACCACAGAATGCTATACCCAAGGTTGACATCTCTCTTCTCCTGAAAGTAAATACAATCTCAAATTCAAATAAAACATATTTTGTGCTTGGAATATCACCAACTTGTAAAACTTTTCTTACTTTTCTAAAAAATTAAGTATTGGTTCTGCAGTCACATACAATACACAGTATGGACTCGCATCCTCCTAGGCAGGTGTCCAGAATCCTTCTTTCCCCCTCCTATAACCAATTTGGAAGTGCACGATAAAACTAAATCACGTGATCTAATTATGCGCTGATGACGTATTTATGATTGCTGTCGCAATGTTGCGACAGCGAATCAAATTACGAGTTCTTAATCAGGGAAATGCTAACTGCTTATCGCAGGGGGTAAAAAGAAAGAATATATTCTGGATTTTGAAGCTCTGTGATCGGAGGATGGTAAAGCCTAGTGTAAAACGTTAATATCGTGACTAATAATTCTTCAGATTTCGTATTGGAAAAAATGAACACCTGATATTGATTGATGTTTTAATATTGGTATACTAGTACACATACAATATTAGTAGGGGAAGGGTTACTTTTAATTTTAGTATCATTTTATAGGGAAGGAGGAACTAACTTTGAAATACTGAATCCTAAATCAAGTAAATATATTTAAACAAAGCCCAATTTTAAGTCTATTTCTTTTCAAAATGTGAACTTACAGTATGTCGTCATCATCGTCCTCCTGACAAGATTCTAAGTACACATCATCAACCATTCCCCCAGCTACAACTATTTTCTGCTTGAAATACCCATACAAGGCTGCTGTTAATGCCTGATTTGGGAAATAATGGTCTGCACTAAGCTGGAGCAAAAGTTTTGGTATGACACCCTCTGGAAATCCAGGATTGTTCTGTATTCCCCAGAGACAATGTTCTGAACGCCAATTGAAGTAATTCGATTCTGGTTCAGAGTCAGGTAGATCCATGAAACCATCAAAACTGAAGGTATAGATATCAAGACCTGGGATCTTAGGAAGGAGTAAACAAGTCAGAGATCCATCTGTTTCTGACTCACTGCACTTGGTGTTGTCAAATGTGGTGCCTAAAAATAATAAATAATAAAAAAAAAAGTACCAAAACTACTAATATGAAAATACCATCAAAAGTATCTTTTGTCATGTATTGTACATGTATATGTATCTAATTGTCTAAGAATATAACACTGATATTATTCAATTTAAGTTTGAGCTTTCTCAACAGAACATGCTCAGTGATAAGAGAACAAGTACTAAAGAAGTCCTATTAATAGTTAATAGTACTAATTTCCATACAGCAGAGTCTTAATTTTACACATATTATTGGTACTCTTATTAGAAATACTACATATTACTCATTTTACTCAGAAAACATACTTACTCACGACTCCAGCTGTTACTGATGTAGCAACTCTACACTGTTGAGGCAGCTGTGATTTGATGTAATCCAAGACTGTCACCTTCTTTGATCTAGCTCTTGTTTGATGGGCTTCCTGCCCTACATGTTCTTCAGGCGTCGTCTTGATCTGCTCCATTTGCAAGGCATTACTGCAGAATATCAGAGCAGTTCCTGGCTCACTTGACATATTCTGTGATAATAAAACAAATTATATTGAGGTTATGAAATCTGAACACTTTTTTTCGCTCCCATTTTTTCTCCCATTGACTCCCATATTAAAAAAACTTGAAATGTGAACCTCTCTCAATTTGGACAGTGAACAGTCATATTTGAAAAATTAACCTGTCTAATCTGAACACTTTTCATAAAATTTCACATGTTTCATACAAAATAGCTCAAATATTGTTATGATATCAAAACTTGATTACAATAGGGCTTCCCAGCATGACTATAGCCCATTTCATTGTTTTATTGCACCAGTAAAACCTAAAAAATAAGAAATCAAAAGATCATTGTGCAATAATATATGGAAAAATATAATCCTATTGTACATGAATGACATTTGTTTATCTTGGATTACTTCTATTTGGCTTATAAAGTGTGTGGCCTCTTATATTTGGATGCTTCTCTGTCATGTTATTTTCAATAAGATTAACATGGCTGAAATTCTTTAAATTACAAGAGGGCACAGGCTTATTGCACAAAAACTAAAAAATCTGAAATATGCAATTGTCACTCATGTACAATATGAATATACTTTTCTCTATATATTATTGCACAATGGTCTCCTGGTTTCTTATTTTTGGGGTTTTACTGACACAATAAAACAGTGAAATGGGCTTTAGGTTCATTTGAATCGAATTTTCAAATTTCTGAAATGACATAAGGCTATGTGGTCATTTTAAATATAAACATGTACCAAGAATGTATTCATATTTCTTCAGAATTCAGAATCTCGCGAATGCAAAAACCTTGAAATGTGAACACCTCCTAATCTGAAAGCTTTAACCCAGTCCCAATGGCGTTCAGATTAGACAGGTTCTACTGTATGCATAATTTATACTGGTCAAGTCAAGGTGGGCCCTTATATTTCTAATATTACGTTTTCTCCCAAAGGTTTTTTGAACTGGATGATACAATCTCATTTCACACATTCTGACTAGGTAGCACCCAATGTCAAACTCCCAGATTCAATGCAATTTGATATAACATTTTGAACAATTATAGGAAAAATTACTGAATGTACTATTAAAAACTGTACCTGTAATACTGAGTCAATTTCATCTTTGATATTGGTGGCCATGCTTTCTTCATAATGAATCCAGGAAAACTGTTGTCTTCTCTTTTTTATCCTCTTCACACTGTCATGCCATCTTTTACATACTCTGAAATATTCAGTTGATAAAAATATATTTAAAATCAGATGTCATAGTACTATCTTGTTTAATCACGCACTATCACCAAGCGATGTCATCATCCATCAACTTTTGTAAATAGAGGATCAATGTCCAGATGCATTGGGCAAACTTTGATATTTAATTTAATTGCACCTTCATGGGCCTATGATGATCCTACAGTCCTGTTATGAGTCATTATTCACATTAATATTACAGTCTGAACACAGCAGCATGAAATGCTATCTATACTTTTTTTGGAGGAAGAAACCTACCCAGCTACTAAAAAAGATACATGGTATGGCCTGGACAGTTTAAATTATGTGCTTTTATTCTAGACTTGCAATGGAACAACCATTCTTATTGAGATTTTCAAGATTTATTCTGGAGACATTTTCCAAAATGGAAATTAAATATTTTATCAAAATTCCTAATCTATATGATTTTGATATGCTTTTTTCAATGGAAAATAACATTTTGGGAAAAAATTGCTATACCTGCACATATTATTTCCTGGTACAAATCTCTACTATCATAAAAATACCAAAAAGGACCCACGGTCCTGTGCTCACACAGTGCAGAACCTTCAGAAGAATGTATATCATGATTTTCAAACAAAATTATTGATTTTGATTTGTAGTCTTGAACTTTGAGAAACTTAGACAGCCAAGTTTGTGACCTAGTTTGAGGACCTTTGACCTTGAACATTTTACTTATTCAGAGCTCCGTAGGTCTTTTGTGATTAAGGTGACCAAAATTTACATTCAAATAATCAATATGAAAAATCAACTTTTTTGACCTTTCGAAGGTCACTGAAGGTCAAATCTCAAAAACAGTAAAAATTTGATGCTGACATATATTGGCCAATATGTAGGGAATGCTGAAATCTAGTACTGATGCAATTCATTGCAAGTAATGAACAAGTATAGGGACAAACTTTGAGAAACTTGTCAATCACAAAACCTACCATTGACGATATATTATATATATATATTTATTTTTGTACATGAGAAAGTTTCAAAAATGAAATCTCAAGAGAACATAAGTTGCATATAAAGCAACTACTACAAGATATTTGAAAGTTCTACTACAACAAAGTATCTAGTATTTACAGAAAATTTGACCTTTTGACCTCAAAATCAGCAATTTCTTGGAAACAGGGCGAACTTGGAAAATGGCGATGATAGGTCAAATAGGCATTATGGATATGCATAAAATCAATGTGGCTATGACTCAATCAGAATAGCAGTTTTAATTTGTGCGGCCAATGTTGATGGATGGACAGATGGACCAATGGAGGGACGGACCAAAGGAGGACCAACGGATGGACGGACGCCTGGTCGATCCCATATGTGAGCCAATAAGAGAATTTTCAAGAGGCCATACATCAGTGGATGAGATTATATAAAATGTAAAATATACAAATTTTAAGGGATGTATCTAGACAATATTGGAAATTATGGGCTTTCAGACAACCATGGGTAGGAAATGGTGATAGAAAATCGACCTGTCATTTATTTTTGTTCCCAACTGTAATTAGTTACATCGTGTTTTATGATGTAATGTGCAAATTATAAACCAGGAAGCATTTTTTTCAAGAAGCCTTCCTCACTTTCGCTTACTTTAAGAGGTATTCTCTGGTAAAACTTCTCCCATCTGTGACAGGAGCTACCATTGACCTGTTTTCAGGTTTAAGATAAGATAATATTTATTTAACGTCAGTTTTAATGTACAAGAAAACATTACCGCAAGCGCTATTCTCTGACTAGTGTATAATAAACTCTATGGTAAAAAGTGTAACAAATAAAATACATGCAATCATGCATACAATAATTTAACAGAGTTATCTATAAGACTTATGACTAGAATACATAGTATAGACTGGCTAAATGACTGAGACATCTAGTGACTAGTTTATAATTTGAGGTGATTAGTTATTATTTGCACATTGCACATATACAATCCTGACCCTCCCATTGGGAGATTAAACATTTGAACTCTCCCAGGGAAATTGCCAATCTGCATTTATTTGAGAGGCTGTCCCAAATGAAAGCAGCATCCACTCTGAAAGAGTGTCTTCCATAGCGAGAACTACGGTATGGAGGGACATTGATTGATCTTAATGAGTATCTATGAGTGTTAGTTTGAAATAAATCTGACAAGTAAGATGGGCACGTGCCTTTAATGATTTTGTAGGTTTCAATTGTGATTTGTCGCATTCTACTGAGTGCATAGTCAGCACCATCTATCTAATATCTAACATAACATAATGAAGTCCGGTAACTTAAAAAAAAATTAAAAAAAAGAAAATTCTAAATAATTTTTTTCTCATGCCAGGGGCTTTGATCAGTGATATTTTATGTTTATTCAACTTTCATATTTTTGTTACTTGTCAGAAAATTTTTCTTAAAACATTTTTCGGCGACCTATAAATAGATATGAGGTCATGTCCATGAGCGGAGTTTTGACCCAAAAAAGTAAGAAATTTGTGCTTCAAGCTAAATATCTGCGATTTTCAAGTGATTCTGACCATGTTTTAGTATCAAAATAATGCTTAGAGTATTGAGACTCAATTGAAGTTAAAAAATAAGGTGAAATATACACAAACTCAGTGATTATGACCAAACAAAAACGGGAGTCCAAACAGGGAGTCAAAAGAGTAACCGCACTTTCACTTTTAATAACTGAATGATGATTGATGGTGCTCACTGTGACTGAGTATCAGAGTGAGTACCTCAGATTTTACAAGTAGTTCTTACTAAAAGAAGACAATGAATGATACTTTCCTGAAAAAAGGAAGGAAATACACACACGCCTTCATACTTAATTTTGTACCAGAAAATAACATGAGCAGGTATAGCAATTTTTCCCAAAATGTTATTTTCCAGCAGCACCTTACGGTAAGGTGAAGTCAGTGAACATGAAAGAATTTTGGAAAGAAAGGCGTAATTCTCATTACTTACCTTGAACATGTGTTCAAACTTTTTGCAGGAAGCTTCCTTAGTACATCTTCTATAATTTCAGACAAATCATTCAGTATATTAACACTTGAGGACACCGTTTCAGTCTCATTTTCTCCAATATTTTCCGCAATATTTTTCATCAAAACGTCTGCCATTTTGTCCAAGTCACGTGATCTACTCAGTGACACGAAATAGGCCTAAATAGAACTAGTTACTATAATATAACAATTTATACATTGAATTAATTCATTACTTATGACTAATTTCTATCTAATATTTAATAAACATATCATTTTGATAATCATTTTTTATTTAAGGATATGATAAATTGGTAAAATAGTAGCTTTACTTTACCTAGTAAGTTGTTGACATGTTGCCAGGTCCGCCATTAAAATTTTAGAAATTCCAACCAAAATATGGGCTTATTAGCCTAGTTGAACAATTTGAAGTCTTTCGTTTCAATAATATTGTAGGACAGCAGCGGTTATGGTTAGAATGGGTAGTGGTGCAAGTTCTAACGTAAAAAAGATCGAAATCGATCAAGATAATGATGAGTTTGCCAGGTACAAAATATTTTTGAAATAATTTTTTGAAATGAAAATATTTGTATGTACATAAAATCTCTATAGTAGGCTTTGTCAAGTCACGTTGTGGTGTATTATTTATTTTCATCAAAATACAAGCATTACACAGAAGTCTATTTTATGGAAGACATCCTAAGGGACACATATTTCACTACTTTATGAAAAGAGATTTACAACTAAGATCTGTTTCCATGAAAAAAGGCAAGCAGTTGACTTTAGAAAAATATGAGTTACCTCATGAATGAAACCCTCTTGTGCCTCCGAGATGGTAGTAGACATTCCATGAATTAACATTGTAAACTTAGTATTGTCCACCTAAAGCATGAGCACAATATCAAAGATTAAAAATTAAACTGTCAAAAGAACCAAAATTACTTACCAGCTCGCCATTTCCGGAAGTTATTACACGTTATATTTCCGGATAACTAAATGTTTGTTCGCTTATTTAGCGATAACTAAATCAAAGCGATGCTACAGCCTTCTAGTTTTTTGTGTAACATATTATCCTCCTATCTTCCTCTCTAAACGCATTTGTAACTGATCATCAAACTTTTGGAAATCTTCAATGATTTTTGTCCTACATGTCACAAATATTATTTTCGGAAATGTCCAGATTTTGGAAATCCCAGGTAAGATTACTATGAAGGTATGTACTGAACAAACTATTTTTGGGAACCATGCGAGTATTGCTCTGAAGGAACTGCTTGGACGTGAGGACTTTTATGTATTACTCTACACAATCATGTGGACAGAATTAAGCTTACAGTGTTAATTCATAAAATGTCTACTACCATCTAGAAGGCACATAGGGAAATGGAAACAGTCTTTAGAGATATATGCATTTGTAATTGTCCCTATAGCTACAATATTGGAAATGTTATGCATGATTATGATAATTTATGCCCGTCTGTAATTAATATAATTCCTTTACAGGCCAAGAAGCAGCAAAAAGAAGGCTGGAAAAGCAGCAAAAGATGAAGTAAGTGAATTAGCCTAAACATGTTTGCATGACAAGAAGTAGACAATTAGAATATTCTTGTTGAATAGCAAAATTAATTTGGTGCAGATTTTAGGTCCAGAACAGTCAACACCAACCAACCAAGTCTAAACTTCAGCAAAAATGTGATTTCAAAGAGGAATGAGCTCTGCTTGGAATAAGGGAGCACAATCAGTTAAACTGTTGCATGTGTACATCAAGATACAAGAAGTTTAAGATTAAAAAGTACAAAAATTAATTCATGAAGCTCATGAAGCAGGCAACTCTCAAGTGAAAAATTAATTGAAAAGTAAAGAACTACAGTATGACTTGTACTGTTTGTTTTAGTTAGACCAGACCTTAGGTTTGCTGGAGAAGTGCAGAGCTTCCTTGTCTGAGGAGGAGAGGAGATCCAACACCTTGCAGTCCCAGACCAAAGACTTGCAAATCCAGGTGATATTTCTTGTGCCATTATGCGAAAGTGAAAGAATCAAAATGATAAAAAGTGCTCAGTTTGTATGCCTCACTGATAATTGGGAAATTCAATAAAAACAACATTAAGACTATTTAAATAGGTAAAATGTTCAGCATCTGTTTCTATACTACTTTATTAGTAAGAGAGATCCGTGTAGTGAAAATAAACCATAATTCTGGCATATATTGTTTTTGGCATCACCCACTGGTCTCTCTGTTTGTCTGCCTGCCCACAATATTCAGACAGATGGTAACTGTCATTCATTTGTTTGAACCAATGCTCAGACCATTTTATGGGGTGCCTGCAGATGATTTTAATACATGTTATTGTATGAGTCAACACATGTCCCCACATTCATGAAGCATTCTTGAAAATATAAAGCTTTAATAATGCTCTGTCCAGACTTAAGTATATTTAATTGACACCTCAACACTTCAAATTCCAGTTGTCAGAAATAGAAAGCACAAACCTTGACCTGAAAGAAGAGATCCAAAGATTGGAGGAGAGACTTGAATATATGAACAATCAGAACCAGCTCCAGGAGGACAAGGAATGTCCTGAATCTATGCAGATAAAGGATCAGTACATTGAGAAACTAGAGACAAAAACAAAACTGATACAAGAGGAAACAGATCAACTGGTAAGATCTAAAAAATGATAGAGCAAAAACTACAAAATACATTCAAGTTCAAATGTATGTACAACCTTCATGACTTTTTTGTAAAAATGTCAAGTCTTTAATTCAACAGTAAAGTGAAAATGTATTTAGTTTAAAAAGCTTTTTGTGAAATCTTTGAGTCTGTAGTGTAAAAACTGAATATAAACCTAGTGACCTTTCATGTAAAATGTTCATGTTTTTATTTATGTAAGTTAATCATGTTTTCAGAAAGCCAGATTCAAGAAGAAAATCAAGAAGGTTGGAACTCAGCTGGCTGAGACAAAGCAAGAATCAACATTGAAGATATTTGAACTGAAGGATGAAATAACAAGACTTGCCAATGAAAATGCTCAACTCTTAGGTAAGCCATATAAGACAACATGCGACAGTAGGTATTATTGGCCGGAATCGTAAGAAAATCTTCACCTGAGTGGGCCATGAAAAAATATGATTATATTCGCGATTTGACTTAGTTGAGGTACTTCTTGTTTGAGTTTTCCAAAGATTTCAAGTAGTGGCAGAATTTAACCAATTCTTTGAAATGCCTCTATATTTTTCATTGACTGAATCATATTGCACATCCCTACAGTATATATCCTAAATAGTGAAAACAAACTTCCTACGTCAATCCAGAAAGTTCCACCATGCACGTATTAAACACTGAAACGGAAATGAAACCTTTGCATATGAATAACGAACTCAGAATAAAAATCAAGTATTTTTGTGTCCTGCACAAACAAATCCCAGGATTATCTATGCTCATTAAATAAATAAGCTGGTGGATGTTTATTGTGAGGGAAAATGTCCAATGTAACAGACAGATAATTTGCTATTTAATTTAATCAAGGTTGGTTGGATATTTAGAAGGTGCATTTAATAAATGTGAAAGGCCTGTATCAAGGCCTGTACCCACCTGAACAATAAGCAATGGGGGTTCAAGCAGCCATAAATTCTTTCAAAATCATGCAGTTTTTCACCATCCTGAGAACTTTTCAAGCGATTTTGGGCCAAAATTGACAAAAGTGAATCCCCTTGGCAAAAGCTGGCTACGGCCTGTGTGATTGCTCAGATTAGTCGTATCATTGATACCAGGATACCAGGGTTAAACATACTATAGATACACTTATTTCGACGCTACTTAATTTGGCAGATTTGCTCAATTTCAAATATTGGACGGTGGCTATTTAATTTGGTGGATTCAGGATTGAAGTTTAATTTTTGTAGATTTTTATGTCATTAAGACAGGTGTTTACATAGATTTTTCAGTATTTCTTTTGGAATAATGTAGTATTGATGACATGTTAACAGAAAAAGGGGCCCTGGAGATTAATTTCTGAAGTGCATTGGACAAAAATTCCAAACTGAAATTTGACGGATTTTTTATCCAATCCGTCAAATTAAAACTGGATCCAAATTAAGTGTCAGTCTACAGTAGTTTATATAGGCAATGGTGTCACAAATCATTGTTTCACAACAAAATATGAGACCTTACATTCTGTGTTTTCATGAACTGAAGTCACATAACCAATTATAAACTCATGTATTTCCAGAGAGGCTTTCACATGCTGGACATGAAAACTCTCCTAGAGATGTTGAACCAAAATCATCAGAAGAAGACAATAAGTCTACATTTCTAGTTTTAGAGCTTTCTAGACAAATAAGCGATCAAGATTCCAAGATATGTACTCTTGAACAAAATCTTAAGGAAAAGGATAAGATAATTAAAGACCTTAAAATGAAACTAAAGACTGCTCTTAATCCCCCAAAGGAAACTAAACCTGAGATAAATGGTGCTATGATATCATATGGGGCAGAGGAGAATGAAAAAGAATCTGAGGAGTATCTTGAGTTGAAGAAAATTGCAAAAGACATTAAGAAATACCATAAAAAGAAAAGGAAGGAAAAGGTCAGGAATTTTGATGATTTCCGGGAATCATCAAGTAAAAGTCGAGATTCAGGAATTCTTGATGAGGATGAGCCAGGATATAGGCATATTTCTCACCACAGTGCCAGATCCCAGCGCCTTACATCAGCCACAAGTACAGTGTCTCGTATATCTCTTAGCTCAACAGCCATAGACAGTGAAAGTGATGCAGTATCCCAATCATCTGTTAGGGAGATCAGAAATGAAGGGGAGGCTTCAGCACGTAGCTCTGCAAGGGAACGCAGAAGTGCAAATAGAACTAAAGACCGAAGCTCAAAATCTAACCTAAACAACACTCAAAACGGATCACAAAGATATTCTCAAGTGTTGAATGGAATGGGAGAATCATCTCAAAATGAGGTGGGTTCTCCCACTATGTTAGAAGGGAATGACTCATTAACAATGAAAAATGATATAGATCAAATATTCAGAACAGTCCCAGTCACTTAAACATCTCATGGGGAACTGTTTTTATTCCCTTGATATGACTATATTTTGTGAACAAAATTCAAATGGTTCAAACCCTATTTTATCAAAATATTTCAAACTATTTTGGGAATTTTTTAACATTCTGGGTTTCATCCTGGGCTTTCACTTTTTCTATATCATGAATCATCTTTTCAAAATATTATGTTCATGAAAATTAAATGCTATTAAAGTAGCCTACTAGGTTTAATATTTGTCATTGTTCTATGGAGGATTCTACCTAAACTTCTAACTGGTTCCAACATACATGTTAAAAATTAAATAAATGTATGATTGAATTTGTAGAATGTTTGTTTTGTATTGTACATCAGTATTAATAATTTAAAATGCTTTATTTTAAAATATGTAGAGGTACTGGATTGTAAGACCAAGCTACACGATGAACTGAAATATATATTTCGATTCAATGAACTTAATGTTTCTTTTTATATGCCAACCATAGGTTTAAGGGTGATGTAAAGATGGAAGTATTGTAGTTATGAACATGTTGACTGCTCTGCCATCTTTTAATGTATCCATCACCCGAAACACTGAATGGTCCCAACCAATATTTGTTCATCCATTCAAATTCAAAAATGAGTTTTGAAGAAAAGTTCTGCAGATCTGGATTTCAAACTTTCAATAAATGTTTTAAATTGTCTGCATAGACTTTTTTGTTAACCAAAGCATCAATATCAATAAAATCCTAGTCGAGCTAGTTTTACTACAGGTATTTGCATAAACCTAACTAAAACATCTGATTTGAACCAATTTGTTCATTTTACACTGAAGCTTGCAATATAATTTATTAGATTTAACAACTTTACACATTCATTCCCAATTGATACCATGAAAATTAATAGATCTGTCGGAGCATGTTTCGTTTATCCATGGCTGCCAAATGTTTCTACCTTCTCCACCAAATCCAGAACTTTCCTCTTTCACGAACTGTGATGGTCCCACGTAATCTTTGGATAACTCCTAAAATCAAACCATCAGATAACATTGATCAATTCTATATTTCTTTTCTTCATACAATTCATACAGTGATTACATGGTTTTCATATTCATTCTGAAAAGTTTATAACATGGATCATGGATAATTGTGCTACTGTGACTTTAAATGATTTATATGTTTGTTCAACGTTTTTAGAATAAATATAGCCCTAAGTTATATTTCCTTTGATAGACATAATAAACCAACTTACCAATAAGCGATCAAGCATTAGCATGACTTGTGATACATTTGTGGCACTAATATCATTCCTCTCATAAGGGTCATTTGCTATATCGAACAGCCATAGATTTTTTGTCTTTGGTTCATTTAAACTTTCAATTTCAACTACAGAGTTATTTGTCAGTTCAGGTGGTTTCTTCCAATCGCTCCGTCCTAAAGGTTAAATAAAGGTGAAATACAGCATGTACGAGTATATGCTGTAACATTCATATGCCCCTATAACCCCCCCTCACACTCTTCATATATGGGGGTGAAGTAGATAAGGAAGGGGCCCTTTATTCAAGACCAGTCGGTGGAATTTTTTAATTAGCATTTAGCGTATCATCGTAAATGAGTTTTTTTTCATTACTAATTTGACGTGTCAAATGCCTTTCACTGAGTCTACCCCAGCCCGATTCAAAACGACCTATTACTTGCTCACATAATAAATGATCGCATTTTCTTGCAATGCAATTCTTCAATGAGGTAAAAAGTTTTCCGAGTTTGAATCACGCCTAACCATCGACAACGTACATTGACAAAATATACCGTCGTACATTTAGATGTACGGTGTCACTATTTATCCGATTTGAAGCAAAGATAATGATGTAGGTTTGATGTAGGTTTTAAAAAAATAATCTGAGGAATACATGACATCGTACATCTAAAGTTTACGACGGTGTGTTTTGTCACTGCACGTTGTCGATGGTTAGGCGTGTGAATATTTAGCGTCATTTTAACATTGTTAATCATCATTAAAAGATAACGTAACACACGGGTAGTATCCAAACACCCGCTATGATTTAAAAGTCGCGAGCAGGTTCCCGCTGAAATCACGAGGAATAAAAAGAAGTGATGGGTTATCTTTTGTTTACTTGAATTGTTTGATGTACAAAGCGTTTTCTTTTAACTTTCCTCAATTATTGGGAAAAAAGTATCAAGAGCGGTCGTTCTGTGGTTCTTTATTTAACAATTGAAGAGAGAAATTATAATCTTGAATCTTAATCTATATATTTCTATTCGTTTTAGGTGAAGGACGACGTTGTCCTGTGGTTGAAGTAATGAGAGTGATATGATATAAAAATGTTCTGAGGCCCCACTTCTAGCAGGAGCAATAAAGCAAAGGCCCCACTGAAAACATGAGGAGGCCCCGCATGAGAACATGAGGAGGTCCCGCTGAAATCAGGAGAAAGTGTCTCATCTGCGTGTTGAGTGAATCCTGATTATACCCTGAAAATCTCCCGCATGAACGCAGGCACGAACGAACACAGAATGAACGTGCGGACGAACAAACACAGGGACGAACGCAAAAAGTTACGAACAAAAACCTGAACGAACACACGAACGAACGCAAAAACCATTTACGAACAAAAAACGAACGAATCCTCGCACGGACGCACGCACGAATAAATAAACGGACCGCCAGACGATCGCGCGCAAAAACGGCCGGACGAACGCACGGACGTTCGGACGGACACATCCATGAACGAACGGACAGTCGGACGAAAGCAAGTATGAATAAATGGTCAGACAAAAGCATGTACGCACGAACGAACGGACGGTCGAACGAACGCACGATCATACGAATGGACGGTCAAACGAACGCACGCATGCGAACGCCCGATTAAACGATTCGACAAACAAACGCACGAACAACCGATTGGACGGTAGGATGAACGCTGCCATGAACGGACGGTTTGACGAACGCTCGACGCTGACAGATGGATCAAACTGCCTGAAGTTGCAGAAGAAATATATGCGATGTTTCCATAGAAACAATGTTATGTTATTGGCACGTTCATGTACGTTCATATAAAGAAGGTCAATATCTCCATGGAATAACAATGAAGCTTTCCTAGTTTTGAAATCTGATCTTGTTTTCAGCGGGGCCTTTTCAGTGGGATATGAACAGTAAATTATGCAAACGAGCATGTTGACGCCATTTTCTTCCATGTCAGTGAAAAAAGAATCATTTTTCATGTCATTGTTTATCAAATATATCTGTTTTCAAAGTATTGCTTGAATATCAAAGAAGGGTAATAAATATTTTCATCCTTTTGGTCCATTTTCCAAAGTGATACAAATAAACAGGACTATGCTCGTGATTTCAGCGGGAACTTGCTCGCGACCTTTAAATCATAGCGGGGTTTCGGATACTACCCGTGATAACAGAATACAATAGTACCATTCTGTCCTGTGAATATTTTGTAATCTCCCATCCTGTAGATCGCATGTAGAGAAGTATTCCACGTTCCATTGTATTGTGCCACACCTCGTATTCTTGGACCTGTAAGTTCCATGTTATGTAAAAGCTCAGTCCTTGGACTCGCTGCACCAGTCCTGTTGAAAAGGAGGTTCTCGATCGTTATTTCGCATACGCACAATGCGCATGATGGGATGTTGTTTACTTTATATAATATAGTACATAAGATATATACGTATATATGGGAGAGGGGTTATTTTTTTAAAAAGTAATGATTTCTCACTTTAAATTAACCTATTCAGGAATGTAATTTAGAGTAGACAATGGCAATCCATTGGACATGCCACCAATCCCATACTTTTCTTCATAAAAGTGATCAAATTGCCATTTATCGATAAAGTACTGGTGTTTTTTAATATTTGGATTCTCCGTAATTAATAATCGACTTTTCATTTGTATTTACAATATATTGCCCCTTGCGATTTCTGATATCGACTTGTTACGTACCTTATATGATCCCACACATCAAGGCCATCAATATCACATACATTAACTGTGCTAACATTTACTCCAGCAATTGACAGTATGGTGGGATACCAATCAGTAGAATGTATGAGACCGTTTGAAACCTGTGCTGTAAAGCATTTATGTCTTAGATTTGTAAAAATTGTGTAAAACTGGTAAAGTAACATGGTATATGATTAGCATAGGCACATAGGAAGTATTAGCCATTGTTTAAACGTCGTTTACAACATAAGGGTGACGTATATGTCGACGTTGCCAGGTCATAAGTTAAAATCAGATGGTACAATGGGTTTTATATTTCGTTTTGAATAACTCCTTCATGGAATGTTCCTTTTCTACCTGGAATCCAAGGAGCAGTGACGATCCCAAGGCCCCATATGCCACCTTCCCAGTACCTTGGCCTGGATCCCCGAAGTGGCCACGAGAAAGAAAGATTGTCAATATTCGTTCTATCAGAACCACTCCTATCTAAACAAATTACATACATAAAATGTTCAAAGTTAAAAATTCAAAGTTTAAAATAGCAGAGACTAACATAAGAAAATAGTGAAGCCAAGAATGTGCCCGAGTCAAATGACATAGCAAGGTTTTAGAAAATTAACATGAATAAAAATACTTGTGTGACTATATCTCTTATCAAAATTAATTTGCATAACTCACCATTTGTGATAATAACCACGGTGTTATTTTGAATACCCCTTTCTTTTAGTGCATCTATTATATCCTGTATTGCACTGTCTATGGCTGTCACCATACCTACATACAAAAGAGCATGTCATAGAAACACTCGTTGGATTAGCCTCTTTTGAATATGTAAACGATTTTAAGCATATGGCTCAATGAATTGTTGATAATTTAACATATTTAATCCTAATGTGTACAACGTATTTTTCATAACACTAATGGACAGGGGGGCAGATGACCCCCCCCCCCTCTGGCGTTTCCAAAGATGAAACTCATTCAAAACTCTCTCGAGAGGTGTACTAAAATCTAAAAAAAGTAGGTCTAATGGGGTCAAAAGGTCAAAACAACATATATTGTTTTGTCAGCCAGAAAAGGGTTATAAATGCAGAAATGTGAAAGATGTATAGGATAGGATCTACCTTTTTGGAACAAAAACATTGGTAAATACCTTTCCTATATCTGGAGATTTCATTTGGTCGAAATTTTGAAGAAATTATATATCAAAAAATGAAGGGAAGGGATACAAAACAGTAAAGAACCAAAAATACTGAATAAATAATAATTTTGCAAAATAAACCTCCATGAACATATCCCTGGCTATAATACAGTTTAAAAGTTTTGGATATTGGTTGAGTATCGGCTGAGAATTTTTTTTAGTGCATCTCGATCAGCGAAAACGCAATCTCGCGTGTTGAAAATAAGCGTATTTGAGCCAGAAGTTGTAGCATTGACCATTTTCATGATTTATTTTGCTTCTATTCATAGATGCTAGTCTATATGTTTCTATAGGTAAATAATCAAAATATTACATAGGATCCCATTTTTTGTTCTATATTTACTAATTTATGAAAAATATGACGGGAATTTTTTTTCAAAAACTAGCAATTGTAATTGCAATTTACTCGAAGCAACTTGTCTTTACATCATTGTATAATATTTTGATGCATATTGTTGGGTCTCTACGAAACGATGACGCCAATATGATACGACAAACTTCTGAGTTCAGAGTAACATATCTTCTTTATTATAAGTCCAACTATACTATCTATTTACAAGCTGTACATTATTGAGCTATTGTACTGACGGTAAAAGACCCAATCGTAACTCCGGATCGTAACTCCCAGGGTGAGGTTTCGAAGCCTCTTATATAGTACTACTATTGGCATGTTGCCAAATCACAATTGGCAACCTGCCAATGACCAATTTGGCAAAGTGCCAATGAAACTTAATGACCAAATTATTCTAAGTTTTTACTGAAATGTCACTGAAAATGCTTAAGTCCAACTGTATGAATGATTAAAATTGCCTAAGTCATGAACCACTGTTATTGCAAAATGACAAGAGTCCACCCCCTTTGGTTGGATGTGAAATGTTTAAGTATTGAGATACAGGCTCGTGAAAATAACAGAGTCCAGCTAGTCTGGTTATGAGAAATGAAGTGTTGCCTATTATGATGAGTGAAGCTATGCTGCCATCTTTGGGTAAGAATTGAAACCTGGCATAACTTAGAAAACCCCAACAATATACATTCACTATTTTGTAAATTACATGCATATTTAGATGGGAAAATAACTAAAAAAAGCCTCGGAATGGAAAAATATTCCATGGTCATAAATAATTTTTTACTGAAATTATTTGGATCGAAGCGCGAGTCGTTCGCCACAATATGGTATTGAAAATATTGAATCTCAGTCAACAAAAGCCCGATTACCTTGCAATATGGCTATTTTGAAAGGGTCTTCACTATACTCTATGGTATATATTCAAAGGAAAGTAAATAGAACCGGCTTATATTTTTATTCTATGAAAACATAGAGATGGTGTGATTTTAAAGCAATTTCTGGAAAAACATTCCCACCATCCCAACTCGGCCACTATATCCCCGATCACTTCGGCATAGGTGGTATAAATCATCTACACGGTCATTCCACATATAAGCAGACATTCGTGTCGCCAAGGGTTTTTTCTCAAGCGTTAATAGATATATATAGAAACTTTTTAAAGAACATCTACTTAGGACCAATACCCACTTGTATAACCACCAAACAGCAAATTTTAATTGTTTGGTAGTAAGTGAGAATATTTTCTAACTTAATTTAATGACAAATTCCTCAGGTACGTTATGTCGCCAGAGTGCATAGTGATGTTTTATAAGCATAACTGAAGTAGTTATAGATTTCAGAACACATCCAAACTTCTTGAAAAGATACCTGTGGGTGTATACTGTATTTTACCAACGTTTCGAGTAATTTAATCCTTTCTAACCTAATAATCAGATGCCCGGAACCCATGTCGCCAGTTTTTTTCTAAAATACCACTTTAGATATTTTAATTTCTAGAGAATGCACGAATCACTTAAATGTTTAACCCAAAGTGAAATTTTATCAGAAAATGATTTATCAAAATGCATGCAAAGTTTCAAAACTGTATTCTATCCAGAACATAAGTTATAGGTCATAAAGGTGTCATTTTTCAATTCAAAAGATAAGGATTTTAAGGTACGTTACAACATTTCCCAACATTTTGTAAAAGCTTGATGGAATTAGTAAATAAATTCTTGAATATGACAAGGCGGACATTCAATACAATGTGCTCATTACCTTTGTTCGCTCTGTTATATTGCTTTATTGGAACATGTAATGAGTTTTCCTCATGTATGTTGCAATAAGGTACGTTACGGAACGTACGAAATAAGTTGATTAACTCAGCAATAAATGCTGGTAACTCAGTGGAGGAGATCATCCCGTGATCTCATGATACGCCATACTTTATTTGCAGTCAAAGGAAATGGGATTTCTTCCTAATAATCTAGTAATACGACTTGAGTTTTATATCAATTAAGGTACGTTGTTTTTGATAACGTCGCTTAATACTTGTTTTATTTCTGTCTTAATAGTGGTAACTAACCCGGGAATTCACAATTTGTTGCAGAATATGGCCAAGACTAAAGCAGAAATTCCAAAGAATTATAGAGAAAGAAAGAAAAGAATCGAGGGACAAAAATACCTTGAAAAGGAACGTATCAGAAGAAGATGGAAAACAATTGAAATAAGATGATGAAAATCGCCGCCAGTGACATGCAATTGATCTTGCAAAAGTGGAGCACATCTACAGTGTGTCTCAAAAGAATACCAAAAGACAAATCTTTCTCAAATAATTTGACACCATCAGATTCAAAATCTGTCCTTGATTGGCTTCTGGGGACAGCTTTTAGTGTCCCATAGTCAAACCTGACTTGCGCCAACTTCTAAGTGATTGGATGGACCAAATGACAAAAGAGGAACAGTTTCTTTAACATTAAACTTTCTTCTGAGTAGAAGCTTGACCTTTACCTGAGTCATTCTGTAATTTTCCTATCATACATATGATCATTGGGTCTATCCACATAAACATGATGAAGAAACATGAACATGTTGAGGTCCCCTCAACATGCATGTTCTCCAAAGCAAATCTGAGATACCCTTGCTCATGCGCACATGCATTGTAATATCACACTGATTCTATCAATTGTTTTTGCAGAAGTTCATAAGGTCAGTTTGCGATGATGTAAAGCGCTTTCAGAGGCCCTTCAAAAAATAAAGGGTGTTTAGTGGGGTGACCCTGGGGGCCAATCCATTTTGTAATTCAATGCTATCTTCTGATTTTCAAAGAGTTCTACCAAACAATCTGCCACAGGCTTTTGTATGATCCTGTTGCCATCATAACAAAATTGAACACTCTGACAATGAAATCTTGTATTTCTATCCAGAAAAGAAACAACTGGATCATTGATCATATCAAGCATCCACACCAAAAAAGATTTGATCACCACATATCCAACCACTGAGAAATTGACGCAAATCAGATTTCACATGAGTCTATAAAATCTGTCCTGTGCAGTCAATCATGGACGGATTTTGAATCTGATGGTGTGAATTTATTTGAGAAAGACTGGTCTTTCGGCATATAAGTATATTTTGGGGAAAAAGTCTAAATCATGAAAGATATTGAACTTTTTGCAAGTGTAACATTTTTTGAGACACACTGTAGTGAAAGGAACGAAATGTCTTAGATTTAAGCGACGTTCTCTTTCATTTGCCTCTACTATGAAGCATTTTATGTTTTGTTGTTTTGTTGTTTAAGAAGTTGTTATTGTTTGTAGTTGGTCATATCACGAGTTTATATTCTTCTAAACAAATAAGTAAATGATATTGATCGAGTTAAAATGTTTTGATAATGATATTAAGATACGTTATTATTTTCAAAGTAATTTTGTATCTCTATTAAAAGATATAAAATGGTTTATGGTGACAATACAAAGGACAGGAGCTTGTGTTTTAAGACTTTGAATATATACGAGAAAGATTCGGTGGATTAACAATTGCGTCAATTTTTACTTTAAGCGACGTTGTTTTGCACTGACAAGTTTAACTTATTTCTGATTATTACTAGATGTCTTTGCCACATACAAATATAGGATGATTTGAAAGCGAAATCCCACAGTTTCATTGTATGCCCAAAATAACTTCTCACATGTTGTGTTAAACATCATGAGAAAACATGACAGTGTTGCGTTTTGTAAAACATTTTTTTTGAGAAGCGACTGCATTAATGCATTACAACGTACTTTTATGTTATTTCTTGATTAAAATGCTTAGTGATTTCCCAAATGCAATTTATAGTTTTGTTTCTTAGTGACCTATAGAATAGAGATTACCAGAGGAAGACATCGCATATCAAGTTAGCTAAAATCTCCATAGAATAAAAGAGGTATCGAGAACGAATCTTAAACTATACGCTTTTTATAATTATACACCTCTTATTTTCAAAATAGTGTAACTTTTGATATATAAAAGTTAAAATGTCAAAACTTGGGGATTTTATAGAGGATACATAAAACAAAATCAAAATCTGAAAATGAATGCAATGAAACGAAGTTCATTTTTTAAAAGTTTGGAACCTTAAATGTCTCCTTATATGTGGAATGACCGTACAACTCATTGAGTTTCGGGCTTGGTACCCAAAAGTCCTTGCCACGACAAATTTTGGACTCCAAGATCTTTTCAGCAAAAGGCCAAGAGTACTCTCATAAGTTGCATTATATTATTCAACAACAGAAACAGCGAAATCATCACATCATAAAAACAGTATTTTAACACACTACTGATTTACCTCCATACGCTGTACGTGCACCACTGGTAGTTTTAAGTTTTTCGGTTTGCATCTTTTCGAACTCATCAACACTTGGGGGGCGAAATCCTGCGGGGGCAGTAAAAGATGTCACCAAAAAGAATGGCTGAAATTGAAATTTTGCAGAGATCCCTAACATAATTTATATGTTTTAATGAGGTCTTGAAAAATCTACACATCAATGCATTGAGCAAAGGTTTTCCATCGAAGCTTTGACATATAAAATGGTGCATGATGTTTTGTCCCCGTCCCATGCGACTCAATTTAGTTGATCTAATGCACATTTCTGCAAATTAAAAATGAGAGCATGGCTTTACTTTATTTCTTGGTTGTGTATTGATGATATCCACACTCTTGTCCTTAAAGAGAGTAGTAGAGTATGTTCCCTGTGCATCCCAGGCTGGAGAACCATCTGTATTATGCAGATCTAGACCACACCACTTTAGCCTACATTCTCGGTCTTGTATTTGGTTACTACTACACCGACATGTTATATGCTCAAAGTGATCCATGTCGTTCCCACCGTATGTTCCTGGAGTAAAATTATGCAACAAGACAAATCGTATAATACGATAAAGTGTAAGATAACATACGACTGTTAAAAATAAGACAAGAAAATAGTTTAGTTAGCTAGTAAGCCTACTTAAGTATGAATGGGTTACCAAAAAATGTGTCGAACCCCCTATTCTGTGGTAAGCAATATTTGGTGTAAAATCCAAGATGCCACTGTCCTACTAAATGAGTAGAATAGTTAGCTTCCCTGAGCCTCTCTGCAACGGTCATGCAGTCACAAGGCATGCAGTGGGCCTTAGCTAAGTTGATATCACCCTGCTGTCCAGTGTGAAACTATGAAACAAGATCAATTAATATCTCGTAAAATACTCGTTCATAGTTTAATGCAAAAAGATGAAGAAAGAAAGAAACAACGATAAACAACGTCTCGATAATTAAAAAATCACATATTTAACCCAAACACTTACAAATTCTTTCCTTATAAGTGTTACTTACATGGCTCTTGCCAATCATGATGTTTGCTCTTGTATGTGAAGACCTTGGTTGTACATAATAATTATCCAGCAGTACAGCACTCTTTGCCAATCTATCCAGTGTAGGTGTCATCATGTATTCATTATGAAATCCTACATCAGTGTATCCCAGGCTATTAAATATCACCATTATAATATTGGGTGGCTGGCCAGGAAGAACTTCACTAGTATCCTCTGGTGTTGTCGGTACAACTGGCTCCCCATCACAAGTGGACAACTCTGAAATGGGTTTCAAAAGCTATGTTATGAATGTCGATGTCGTTAATAGTGCTCCAAGGAACCATGCTTTACATGAACTATCTGTAGAATCCAGACACATTTCCTCCAATTTTGGACGGTTGGGATGACTGTATATGGACACGAACTAGACAATACAACATTAAATAAAGTACAGTAGAACGTGTATATCTGAACACCTGGCTAATCCGAACACCTCCCAATCTGAACACTTTTTTCGGTCCCATTTCTTCCTCCCATTAACTCCCATGTTAAAAAACCTTGAAATGTGAACACCTCCCAATTTGAACAGTGAACAGTCATATTTGAACTTCACCTGTCTAATCTGAACACTTTTCATAAAATTTCTGATGTTTTACACAAAATTGCTCAAATTTTGTCATGATATCAAAACTTTGGGAAATAATCTTGAATGGTCTCATTCATAATGGGGCTTTCCAGCATGATTAGATTCATTTGAATCAAATTTTCAAATTTCTGGAATGCCATAAAGCTATGTGGTCAAAAGAACTATAAATATTTACCGAGAATGTGTTCACATTTCTTCAGAATCCGGATTATTGCTGATGCAAAAACCTCGAAATGTGAACACCTTCTAATCTGAACGCTTTTATCCGATCCCAACGGTGTTCGGATTAGACAGGTTTTACTGTATATGTATACTTTCTTTCATCAATATTTCTTCCCGTTTTAAAGAGAGAATCAGATCTAGGCATTTAGGCTAAAGAGATGAAAAACAAACCGATATGACATAAAATATGTTATTATGTGAATCACCATCATCTACCCCTTTTAACAAGCTGTTTGCTAACCGCAACACCTTCTTCAAACTGGACTTCATTTTTCTCTTAAGTTGTTTTGTAGGCTCTCCAGCCGAGGCCCAGTCATTCACTACAGAAACTGCCACTTTGACTTTCTGTCGTCAAAACATTGAAAATCGTAGTATAAATGCATGAATTTTAATATTAGGTTTGACTTTTAGATTTTGTTTCATTTTTATCACAACATTTTTCATTGTTATACAGCATTGGATCGTATCTGAGCCCCCGTCTTGTTTTACCTGATGCTTTTACACTATATGCCTATACAAATGTACATTTTGAACTTTTGAAGTGTATGCTAATAACAGGGACCGTAAATGTTTAAAACATACCTTTTGCAGTTTCTTTATTTTGGATTTGAGACAGTCTCTTTTGTATTTGTCTAAGATACTGGACGAGTTTTCAACATCTTTAACAAATGAAGTTGTATCCGCCAAATCTGGAGGGCTGCTCATGAGGATTATAATATCCTCAGTAGTACGTTTGATGGCCCCATATTTTGCACAATCACAGTCATCTCCATTGACCATAGAAATCACCACAATTGCAGAAATAATCCCAACTTGTAACTTCACTAAATAAAATATCATAAGCTATGGTCACATCATACAAAATGTCGATTGATGAATATTAAACATAACTAAATCGATAAAGTCTATTCTTTAAACCATAACATCGGTATTTATATTATATAATGAATATTTTATTACTTACTGTTTTACGAATATTTCAATGTTTTAAAACATGTTATTTCCCATTTCTAACTGTTTCATTCATTCTGATTACTATTGGAATGTCATTTGTATTCATGAAGCAATAAATATAATTTAGATACACGTCTAATCAATAATGATTGTTAGTTTTAGTAGTGTAATGCTAGAAAAGAAAGATAAAACAAATCAATTAACAAACATTTAACGAGTCATATTGAAGACCTGTCCAGTTTTATGGTGTACTATAGTACATGATTTACCAAATACTACATGATGAATTTACCTCTAAAAAGAGAGCTTTGTCTTAGTTTATAACTAGTCTCTGCGCGCAGGGTAATATCCATGCAATCTCTGACAAGTGTTTTACATATAGGTATTCCGTTTTTAGATATAAAAGTAATACTATTTTTTGTTAAAATTCGTATGATGTATCACTTAAAAGAAACATTTATTTCTCACAAAACGATGTCATATTCTAAATATTCCAGAAAGAACTTCAGTTGTAAAAGCGCGAAACATGCATTAAACTGGCATTTTCTGAACGTTGACGTAATACCATAATGGTATGTCAAATTATGGGGAATTAAATCGTTTTCACAATTTTGCATCATATACAGCAAATACAGCTTTAATCAAATCGCAATAAGGAATTCAAGGCATGCCTTCAGCATGATAAATGGTTATCAATGTTCATCAATCCCATATCACATCAGATTCTTACTAGATTGTTTTGTTTTGTTACTTTTCCTTTTCACTTGGTTCTATAAATCCAATAAGTATTAATAAAGCCACCACACTTCGTAAATACGGTTGTCTCCCCAACATGACTTGAGTTTACAATTAAGAACACATGAATAAGAAACTAAATTATAACATTCATTATGTAAAATAAATATCAATGTGCATGTTTAAAGAATATACACACAACGTTATCGATTTAGTTACGTTTAACATTAATCGACATTTATTATGATGTGATATTTTATTTTAACTTAAATGATATTTATTTAGTGAAGTTACAAATGGGGATTATTTCTGCGATTGCCTTGATTTCTTTGGCCAATGGAGATGACTGTGATTGTGAAAAATCTCGGGCCATCAAACGTACAACTGAGGATATTATAATCCTCATGAGCAGCCCTCCAGATTTGGCGGATACAACTTCATTTGTTAAAGATGTTGAAAACTCGTCCAACCAGTATTTTAGGCAAATAAAAACAAAACTGTCTCAAATCCAAAATAAAGAAACTGCAAAAAGTATGTGGGAATCATATGTAAAACAGCATGTGTGTAGCCATGTGTTTTTCTTAAGCTATAAAAACTTATATTTTCCCCTTTTACTCAAATTTGCCTCGAATTTTGCTTCGCCTATTTTTCGATCCTAGCTTTGTCCATCATTACATATAAATAATCAAATGAATAAAAAGGAAACTCGACTAACATTTAACACTAACTAAATACAAGACACGACAGAAACAGACACGCATCATTAGATTGTAAATACAAATATGCTGTGAATCAATATAAGTGCAAAATCATCCAAAGCAAAGGTCATACTGATTTAATCTCCCTTGATTAATTTTTCTATAACAAAAATAAATCTTGGGAAAACAAAATTTTGATTATACATGTTGCTCAATGTGAAAAAAGGTTTTCAAAATTTGAAGGGGAGCTGGAGTTCTCTACTTAAAAATGATATCGCATTGTCATTCTGACAGAGTTCTAGTCAATATCGAATGTGTCCAAAAAAAGTGAATCGCTTTTTGACGAATATTTTCTTAGCAATTTGTAACTCAAACTCATTGTCGAAACCAGATCGAGATATCAACTACAAAAATGGTATTCAAAATATCCTAAAACTCCAACTGGATTGCGGAAAAGACCGACCGCCGACCACCGAGTCACTCTCCACAGTACACGTGGTCAGGGTGGTCGACCTGTCAGTCTTTTGTACATAAAGATGAATATATGCAAAATTAGAAGAGAAAACTAAAACTAAAATCAAGGCATTAACATGACAAAATGTCACCACCACCTAGATTTTTTTTAAATCACCGCTTTTGTGCCGTCAGACTCCTAGCTGATAGACCCATGGCATTTGCCTGTATTTTGTACCAAAGACATATATGTTTTATATGTCTCTGTTTATACCCTGTAAAACATTTAAGGTATAGTAGTTAAAACTTGTAGTTAACACAAATGAATAATATGATTATTACTGTTTATTTTCTTCATGTCGTGTGAATACAATAACCGCAATAACACGAGGTTGTTAAAAATATTATTCTCATTAAGCTGAAACAACACTCGTGACAATAATGTGTTGTGTAAACTCGATACAAATAAATATAAACACGTTTTGTGCATGAAAAACACGATTTAATGTTCATATATATAGATACGTATATAGAACTTATGCACATTGATTACCGTTAGATCTGAAAGAGAACCCAACCTGAAAAGGTAAGTCATTGACTTTGCAAAAATCATGCAAATAATTCATTCAATTGATATTCAAAAAATATTTTAAAGAGAATGAGGTTATTATATATTGTTTATATGGAGACTTTGTTATATTGCTTTGAAATCTTGGCACAGAGTCTGTGATTTACTTGCTGAAAAGATTAATATCGTTTACAAAATGAAATAGGAAAAGGACGTATGTATGCATGAATATAAATGAATTTTCAATTTTTAGGATATTTTAGGATTAGAGTTAGAGCTGTGAAAGGATCAGACGAAATACTTAAGGGTCATATAAAATTACCCATTCAAATTATTAATGCATTCTATATTTCTAAATTATTACAGGTAGATGCATGGTTAAAACTGATGCGTTCGCGTGATTTTAATATCTGAATATAATATAACAGACATAAAGTAAAGATATGTAAATAATGATATTCATGTATTTACGGCTCATTAAGTTGAAAATCTTTTTAATCAGATCAAAATGGCGCAGTGTGTAGTTTGGTGTCTGCTATTAGCGACGTTGTCAGCGTACGCCTCAAGTGACTTAGGAACACTGGTTGAATACTGTCAGAAATTGGACAGTGCTGACGGTGAAGCATATAAGGAAATGGTCAAAGAGATTTTGAATAAACAAAAAGTAAGTACCATTTGTACCATTTGTCTGTTTCTTTCGCATGTAGTTCATCAAAAATAAAACACAATTATATATATATAATGCACCTATTATGTCACCCGGTATGTCACCTAAAGCCGCCACTATACCTGTACTCTGGCTAGACTTAGGTGTGGTCTTCCTTTTAAAGACGAAAAATTCAAAACCATTAAAAATGATCGCTGCTGTTTTCAACAGCCAGACACTACACCCACCATAGTCAATTTTGGCTTCATCATAGTGTTTACAGTCTCGAAATGTTTGATCTGATGATGTGAATGTATAGTTAAAAAGATAAAATAACAGTCACCTTTGTGTTGTTAAAAGATCGGTCAAGTTCGGTATTTCTTATTGTAGATTTTTTCTATATATGGATATACAGGGTGGGCCAAAAAACAATACCCAAGTTTAAAGATGAATGATTCATATGATCCCTCCATATTGCAGTCACAGCTGCACGCAATATGCTTGACTGAATCATCATAATTTTATTTAATTGATAATTAATTAAAAATATGTAAGTATTATTGCTGAATTTTGCACTATACGTATAAATGTACCTCTTTTGAAGGTGCCAGAGTTCAAATTTCCCTCCATTTTCCAAAATTTGGAAATCCGCAGTGAAAAATTTTATGGTCGCTAATGATGCCCTGGTGTAAATTTTAGCCTCTAACTCCACAAGAAAACAACAGTTTTTCAATCAGATGGTGTCATATTGTCAGGAAATGATTTATCTTTAAAATGATATACAATACATGGCATGGTTTAAAGTTATATCATATTATATTGATCCTTAATCTTGGATATTGTTTTTTGGCCTACCCTGTATAAATGCTATCGACATCATTCACAATCAGCAACTTTGGGGTTTTCAACCCCAAAATACTGACACCAGATGATTTTTAACATAAGAGCCGAGTGGTACTAAAATTGACCCTGCGAACAGACAGTGCCTCTTACCGAAAACTAAAAGTTTATAGTATTTGGGCGTACATATAAATGATTGATTGTTACCTGACAGGATGCTTTAAAGAAGGAACGCACTCTAAAGAATGCGCTCAAGTCTGGGTAGGTACATGTTGTATATCAAGCTAGATGGGTATGTACTTGTACGCGCTGTTGTATCACGCCTATAATGGGGTAGGTACTAGGTATCAGTAACCAGTCATGGTAGTATATCAAGGATGGTATGTACGTTGTATATCAAGCCAGGTTGATATGTATTTGAAAATGCTGTTGCATCACGCCTAATTGGTAGGTATTGAGGTCATGGTGCATGTTCGGAATTTTGCTGCAACCCTCAATAGGGTCAAATTTGAATAACTCCTTCCCCACAATGTCTACATCTCTCACTTTTGCACAACGAGTGTACTAATGTACCTAGAAAAGAATGTAGAGAAGAATGTTTTAATAAAATGTTTAGAAAATTCAGTAAAAAAATCAGAATTTTTTTTCACTGAATATCCTTGTTTTTTATACATTTTACAAAACAAATCTTCTCACCAGTCTTTTCTATGCATAATAAGTGCACTCTGCAAAACTTGAAGATGTAGACAATGCGGGGAAGGAGTGATTCCTGTTTGAGCAGCAAAATTCCAAACATGCACCCTGGCCGTAACTAGTCCGTACAATAAAAGATGGTATGTACGTTAATATCAAGCCTGGTGGATAGGTACTTGTACACGCTGTTGTATCACGCCTAAAATGCCTAATGGGAAGGTATTAACTAGTTCGTGTATATCAAGGAAAATGCCTAATGGGAATGTATTAACTAATTCGTGTATATCAAGGAAAATGCCCAATGGGAATGTATTAACTAGTTCGTGTATATCACGAGGATGGTGTGTACATGTACGTTGATGTTGTATATCAAACCTAATGTGTGGGTAGGTATAATAGACTAGATGCGAGTAGAAATAATCTTGATTTACGTCATCAAAAATTCAAAATTCAGTCAAACTGATGTCATATTTGGAATCTACATGTAGAATTGCATCTAGAAATGTGGTTTTGAAAAGAGTTTATCAACTTTGAAAATTTAATTTTCTTGGAAAATGGGACTTCTAGGTCGGGGGGATTCCCCATAGAGCCCATGTTGTAAAATCACAAAAGGTGAAATATCTTTTCTTGTGTTGGGCAGATAATATTTTCTTTTACTGGGCATATTTTAATTTGTATAACTATCAGATACAAAAGGGTAATATGAAAAGTGAACCACTAAAACTGATGAATATTCAAGTTTAAGGGAATTTTGTAATACCCTGCCATGTTATTTCCCCCGACTCAGCCACCTGGTGGCGAAACTGGTAACTACCTACTCGCATCTGAGTAATTGTTGTACGCTGTTGTATCACGCCTTATGGGACTAGTCAGTGTTTACTTCCTGCGAAAGCCTGCTATAATGTGAATTTTGATATATACTATGGAGGTTAAGCGTAAATAGGGAGGTTAAGATTAGCGTAAAAATGTACGTGTACCTATCCCATCCGTAAGTTTGTTACGGATACGTATACGTAGGTAATGCGTATTGCAAAATGAGTTTAAGATTACGTAAAAAACCTACGAAAGCTACGAAACCGTATGCTACAATTTATGATAAAATTAACATCCTAATTATAGAATGAAAACCATGCGATGGCTTATATGGCATATGCCACCTACAAGAACTGTTATATACTTCAGAGAGGTGTGGTGTAGCTACTGTAGTTGGGAGGGGGTGCTGCTTGTGGGCCCGCTAATGGGGCAGTGACTTAAGGCAAAATGAGAATATACCATATGCATATGCCACCTCCAAGAACTGTTATATACTTCAGAGAGGTGTGGTGTAGCTACTGTAGTTGGGAGGGGGTGCTGCTTGTGGGCCCGCTAATGGGGCAGTGACTTAAGGCAAAATGTTTTCTAGCATGATCCAACGATGAGAGTGACCAAATAGTAAAGTTAAACAATTAAAACCACGAGAAAATGTCTGATTTCATGCATTTACAATAAGCAAAACTGATGAAGAATGTGTAAATTCAACAATCATCACATGGCATCGTTTATCGGATCAATGAATGAGTTCGACCACTTAATTTCTATACAGATCGAATGAGAAATGTTTGTTGTTATTATTTTAAAGTTTAATGAATGATATTTGATCAAGAAATGACATAATTTGTTGGATAAAAACATACCGGTTTTCGAATTACCTATCTTCGGCCATTTATAGGTAATTACGTATCGTAAACCCAATCGTAAAATACGTATAGGTATAGGTAAATGGGTTATTTACGCTAATCTTAAATTCTCTAATAACCCATTTACATAGTGACCTTTAAAACACGAATTAATGTGATCAGCGGCTTACTTTTGGTGACTACATCAGTGACATCCATCTGTGCAAGCATTGGAGCGCTGGGGTAGTACTTCTTTGTCGATCAAAGATGGGTAGATACTTGATGTATATCCAGATTTTAGTTGTTATGGGAGCATTGCGAAAGAGTCCTCTGGGATATGTCGTGGGATATGTATACAGTGATTGTGCAAAACCAAATGTTACCTTATTATCTAGATTCGTGAAATTCAAGACCCCAGATTCAGACTTTACATCTAAAAAACATAGTTTGACATGATATTGATAAGCAAATGGGAAAGAAATGTATTCGTTCTATTCATTTATTAAAGTAAAATTTGAACAATAGTGTGGTAATTGCGAAAATTACGAAAATGACCTAGATTTTGACTTTGACCGTTTACACTCAAAATGTTGAGTTTACTGACTTTTTAACACGTCTGCAGGTCCGTGCTATTATCTTTTTAAAAGAATTTCTATTACAAATATTATGTCCTGCGTGATGTTACAGTGGGCAAAGATATGTTCGACCAATCAAATAGTTAAATCATTTTTCTTGCGGTATTGATTTACTCAGTAATTTTTTAGGAACATAGATACCAAGTTTCCAGATTGTTTCAGTAGAATTAAAATAGAAATATATTTAATTATACTTCTGGACCACCCTGTATATATACAGATTTTATTGATAACTTAGAAATGAGGGAAAGATAAGCAAGGCTTGTGCTGAGTTGAGGACCATTTACGAAGCAGGGAAAGAAGGAGCAGAACCAATCGAGAAATGTTGTGGTAACTAAATTGAAATATTTGCTGACATTAAAGTTATAGAATTAGAGGAACAGCAGGTGACAAAACTGTTAACGAACACATAAAAGTAAAAATCATTGGTTTTCTTGAAATGAAGACTGAAAATGACAATTTAGTTTTAGAAAATAGACATGGCAAGAAAAGAGATAAGTCCAAAATAATCTAAATTGAAACCATTTTTAGAAAGGTTACTCGCAAGATCTGATTGTCTGATTGTGCCACCAGCCATTGATGAATAGAATTTTGGGAGATATTATATATGACATTGTAATAGGTACGAAGTGTATTCATCGCTCTGATTGAAGCCATATGGGGACATCTCAATCTTCATTTCTAGGTAAGAAGAAACCTAACATAGTGCTTATCGTGGCCGACACCCTGGGGCACAATGACATAGGATACAACAATGAGAAGTTCTATACTCCATTCCTCGACTCACTCGCTGATAGTGGGGTTAAGCTCGACAAATACTATGTTGACACCGTCTCTACTGCCTTTAGAGCCAGTCTTATGACCGGGAGACATTTTGTAAGACCTATGTTTATTCTTCAAGTTTGTTTTGTGTTTAATAATAGGGAGTTTAAGCTTGTATTGTTTTTCACAACCTAAACGTGAACGGAAAATAAAGCGATGCATTTGTATGGGCGATTGGTCATACGTATAGGTTGGCGTTTCGATTTTATATGCAAGCTTAAACTCCCTATTGTTGTGCATCTCTCACAAGGATTCATTATTAGAAAACTACACTTTAAGTAACAATTGACTCATACTTTGTTATTTTAGTGTAGCTATTTTCCAAAATACAGAACCATGATTATATCAGCTTTTGACCTATTTGTCATTTTGGGCTTCAAATAACCCCAGTAGTGTAATTGAGCTTGTAGTTGCGAATGCAACTTTCGGCTGTCGGTTGCCGGATTAACCTACTATTTTATGAGCAACTCATTTAAAAATGACTAGTACCTGTCACTATTCCATTCATATTTCAATGCGTTTAAATTAGTAGATTAACCCGTGTGACAGATCTGAGAGTCTCCCCAGTTAAAACTGTCTCCCCATTTTACCCTTGTTAATATAGGAAATAAAACCTGGTTTTCAATGTCCTCCAATGGACAGCCAACCCTAGGGATCGGGGTCCGCCGGACACTGACCACCGGGGTACACTTAAATCTGTTACACCGGTAGCCGAAAGTGATTGTTGCATTCGCGAATACAAGCATAGTAAAATGGACCTAAAAATGTTTTTCATGTAATTCGCGAATACAAGTATAGTAAAATGAACCTAAACATCTTTTTAGTAAAAGATCAAATATATAGGTCGATGTTCTTTCAGATCAAGGTCAATATATCGGTTTTCAATTTTAAGGGAAATTAATCATGACATTGATTACAATGACTAAACTATACCGATAATTGTAGCCGAATACAGGTGCCATGGGAGCTATTTACCCCTGCGCCAACCATTGTATACCCTATAGTGAGACAGAGAAAAACCTTCCGACGAGGCTCCGCGATGCCGGCTATTCTACATACTATCTTGGCAAATGGCACATGGGCTACTCTAGAGAGCAATGTTTACCAACGAACAGAGGATTTGACTATTTTTATGGTAAATCAACCCCATAAAAACGGAATGAGCACTGTATTTTTTTAAATGATACGCTAAAGAAGGTATGGTATCTTTAAAAGACACAAGGTCAGCGGCGTACAAATCAATATTTTTCTATAACTCAAGCACGAAGTGGCACGGGTGGTCATCGGAAGTTTTGTCCATCTTTGGGAGCATGCTATTTTTCACAAAAGCACTAAGAAAACTCCACAAATTATTTTTTAACTGAAATGTTTCGTTATACCAAAAAATAACCTATTCCACGCAATGCGTATATCATTTGTGGATAACCTTCCCTTCTGTTCGAAGCTCAATAACCACCCTGTTCTAGCATGACGGTTACGTCAAGGCGATTTGCAAAATTTTGCGGTAACGATAACAAAAAATGGCGGATGGGAAAGATAGCATGTCCTCTTTCTCGCCTCTAGGCAAGATTCACAGATAAGGTTTCCATTTAAACTTCCATTCGGTATTCGGTGATGGTTATAAATACTGGGTCAAAAAAGTGGTCTACATGAAGCAGAATCTAAACTGTAAATCTACCGACTGAGCCATATCCAAGTTCATAATTTTAAGTCCATTCTCGTGTTTTCTCAGTATATGTGCCTCAGAACCACTCAAAATATTAACTGTAAGTAAACTGTGTATAAATAAGCCATAAAATGACAAATCAAGAACAGGAACATGGTGCATATTGTAAATAATAAGGTTTCAGACGCAATGTCGTTAGACGCGTACGTATGAATGTTATGGACGGTAACGTATTGTATTAGTTGTACATTAGATATTTAGCGGACGGTTACGTGCATGTACACCTGTCAAGTCAAAGTTGCTAGATGCTAGCCTCTTTCCATGTTAATGTTATAATGTGTAAGAAATGGAATATTAAATTGCCTATATTTGTTTTCAGGACTCGCAAGAGACGCTCTTGTTTGAGTCCCGATAGGACAGGGAAAAAACTAAAGTGGCTTGCTTTATTTATGAAACCAATGAAAGTGAAAAAGATAGCAATGAAGAGGCAAAAGAAGATTTAGCATCAAGTACTGATGAAGATGACAAAATTAATAACAATGAATCGGGGTTTCATATTTGAACGAGGTTCGCGTAACCGTCCATCAATTTTTTGCGTTACCGCAAATTCAAAATATTTTATTATGGCTTGAGTAGAACATATTAGGTGGTTTCCAATGCTCAATTGGCTTTGTATGATCGTATGTAGGTTACATCTATACCCCATGGCTTTTAGGCAATGTAGACCATGCCCTAACGACAAAAAATGAACAAATTGCTAAATTTTGTGTAGTTTTGAATTTCAAACTCGACAGTTTTTGCTTATTTTATGTTATCCCTGGGCATCACTTTGCAAAGATTACGTTCAAAATATACATTACTGAATGCATCACCGAATGCGACGCTTTCATAAATCGTTCATCCTTTCATTGATACACAGTAGTAGAAAATAATACACCAACCTTAGTTTTTCTGTCCCATCCTGGCCATTTTATTGGATAAATCAGTGAACGTAGCAGTCCAACCTCGTTTTCAGATGTTTAATTTTTTTGTCCAGCTTGGGGAGCAGTTTTGTAAGACACATTTGATACTGCTCCCCCAAGCTGAACAAAAACATTAAACATTACTTTTTATAAAAAAAAATGAAAAGACCCAATACATCTAGATCTCATTAATACCTTCAGAGTTATGCTAAAAACATATATAAATATTATCATGTCACAATATCGAACCATTAAAAAGTCAAAGAAATTGTACATTTTTGAGTATGATACCCTGGCGCCGTTTTCAATAGCTTTTACTCCTAACGTTATTGTACTTCAACAAGAAGTGAAGGTTATCCTCCAATGATATACCCATTGCATAGAGTAGTTAATTTTCTTTAACGAAGCATATGAGTTAAAAAATGATTTGTGAAGTTCCTTAGAGTTTTTATAAAAAACAGCATGCTCCCCCAAGCTGGACAAATCTTTCTATGACACCCCGTGAGTGGAGGTCGTTTGGAAACCTACCCCCCCCCCACTCATTTCAGCAACGAGAAAGAATGCCGGGAACAATACTTTCTATGTTTATACAGGGTGGTCCAAAAAAATGGGACACTCGTATTTCAAAAATAAATATTGATTTTCTTGATGAAAACATGTCATATTATATACCAGTGGATAGGGAATTTACTTATCTTTAATTTGGTATATCATAAGTTCAAATTAATTTTAATGTCTGTCAACCAGCGTCTATAATATAAATTATGTCATTTTCATTTCAAAACGGGTTCTCCGAAACTTGCAAAAACCAAGTTTTTTGTCAATTTTATTTACATAAACGGATATTCAATATGCCCACCATTTTGATCAAATGTAGCCCTCAAGTTTGGCCTAAACTGGTCAATAGCATCATTGATATGCTGTTGAGACAATGAAATTCACTTCTCAACAATCCATCCTTAATAAGGGACTGCTGGGTAGATGTAAGGGGTTCATGTTAAACCAATTCTGTTAGTTCTCCCAATATTTGGTCGTCGCAGACGTTGATATCGGATGACCCAATTATGTTGTTTTTGGACCATTCTGATATGAGCTCATTCTGAATCATTAAATTTTTCAACAAGATGGGGCTCCAATCAATAGATCCCACAAGAGTGTCAAATGGTTAAAAGAAAATGTGCCTAGATTCATTCCCCTTAATCACTGCCTCCCCAGATCACGCGATTACCCAACATCTGCGACAACCACGTATGGGGAGAACTAACAGAATTAGTGTACCATAAATCCTTTACCGTACATCTATTCAGTCCCTGAAGGACAGAATTATTCAGAAGTGAAATTTATTGTCTTAACAGCATATCAATGATGCCATTGACTAGTTTAGCCCAAAATTAGAAACATTATCGTGAAATGCAGTCAGAATTATCGAAAATAGGTGTGATATGAAATGCTCAAAATCAGTTAAACATTGTAACCATTCTAAAAATTATCTTCATCCCGTGACGTCTTTAGTTTTTGAGCTACCACTTTGAGTGAGGTTTAATTATTACTATACACCAATCTAATATGGCATCTGCGTCCGTTCATGTTTTAAAAACGCTATGTTATTTATCTATTTTCAAATCTTTCAAATCCAGGATCGTACCAGGGCTGGGGAGACCACTTTACACACGTACGAAAGGATTGTATTAAACGAAACAAAGCAGGGGCGAACGATTTCACCATCGACTGCTGTAGATGGGGAAGAGATTACTGTAGTTTAGACTGTGCAAGGGGTGGCAAAAAAGAAGGTATGTCTCTTCAGGTCTACTGTTTCTTTAGTTGGTAGTTGACAAAACAAGGAAGTGTACAGATTACCGAAATAGAAGTTATATAATACATTCACAAAATAATTTTATTATCCTTATGATCCATTCTATTCTCATATTAGGTTTGGATTTATTTGAAAACACGACTCCTGATTATACTAAAAACGGAACTTTCTCAACTGACCTTGTAACAGATAAAGCTAAGGCTAAAATAGAGGAGCATAACGCGAAATATCAAGGTGATAAGGTAAGACATAATAACAATATATTTCCTTGTGCGAACATAATTATTGAAACTTAAGGGACCGGCCCATGGTATGTAGATGTTTATTTTAAACCATGAATTAAGTTCTCATCCATAACTTCATATTGTTTATAGCCATTGTACATGAATCTTGCATACGTAAATCCTCATATGCCCGTGCAAGCACCACAGGAATACATTGATATGATCACGAAGATCCCGGATGGAGAATTAGGTCCATATAAAATGCCAAGAAGAACTGTGGCAGGTTTGTTAAACATGCTTTCATATGTGATTATTGAAAAGAAATTGATTATGAATATAAAATGTCGCTAAAATTATTGCATATTTGAGATATCCGATCAAATATAAAAAGTAACTGAGAATCCAAGCTACGGGAACTGTTCAAATTAAATTTATAGATAGTATTTGGTTTATTTACCAAATAAACTTAAAAATTAAAGTATTTTGAAAAATAAACATAGAATCATTGGATGACCTTTCAAGAAAAGGCATAAGAACCGAATACTGGGGCATGTTTCAATTTTTGAGGTTCTGGGTTCTTACCATGTAAATACTGGAATAGTATGTGGGACGAACATACCCATGATGATGATATATACCAAAATCTTCATAATGAACGTTCTTCTTGGACAAAACGTTAAAAACACGCGCGTAACACTTTATGTGCTTTATTTCAAAATGATGTGCAATCCTTATTTTTATTAAATTAAGTTTTAATTTAGGTAAGAATGAATTCCTTAAACAAGCGTATTTGTCACGAGGTCATTAGTGTTTAGGTAACAATCTGATAAGACGCTGCTTTCTATACATTACAAAGCGTTGCGCTTTTAAAATAACATGACACTCATTAGATATTAAAAATAGCTTTGGCTAGAGGTCGCATCTCGTTTATTAATTATCAAGGCCAGGACCCATTGAATTACATCAGATAATTTTCCAGTAGTGTAAATTTACGCATCATTTATGAACATCGGTAATAAAGTATGCCTACAGATGCATGTCTGAGTTGATTTGGATTACTAGTACATAAAATCGTAAAGACTGAGACTTAATGATATGTTGAAAAAACTTTCCATTGATTGAATGCATTAATTTTCACCATTAAAACCTCTATGTGAGGAGCCTCGAAATGTGGCCTGAAAAGGTATGAACTAATGCATGGAACCTATCGAACGTTGAACATGTTTAACCTGCAATGACGTCTAAGAAGGTGTTCACTGTATAGATGACGTAGCCAGAATGATTTCGTCTCTCCTAAACACTACACAACTATTCACTCACTCATATTCTACTCGCATTCGAAAATAGCGTTCGATTTTCGTAACGCTTAAAGCTACACTCTGTAGTAATATGTAGAAATAATTTATATTCTAATTCGTTACACTCAAACGAATATAAATAAAACTTCTCAACTTCAAACGAGATCACTGGACCGTCACGCTTTTTTACCGATCCCTAGGAAAGTAAAATGCCATTTATTTCAGAATACATCGCTTTCAAAGAGTGAAATTAAAATTAGAAATAAGGTTTTAGCTGAAATTAATAAATGTGAAGAAAAAATGTTGAATTTCCTTAAAATTCCTCAGATATCGATAGATATGTACGGTGTGAAAAATGTCCTATCTAACATTTTGCGCTTAAAAATACGCAAATTTTAAATCCAGCCATCATGTACGCGAATAGAATTAAGAAATACATCAAAATTAAAACAACTTAAATATAGGTTTAGTGATTACTAGTCAAACGATACGAAATACGAAGTGTTAATTGTGTCCCATGTAGCTTTTTGACGTCATTTTTTGAACTGAATTTAAATTGTTTTTGAATTTAGAGAAAAGCGCTGTTGATCTCGTGACGTTACAAAGTATGCCCCAGTTATTGTTCATAACATTTGAGAAGGAATACTAAAAGCAAAATTTATTAGAATTCGATTTTTCAAAATGTTCAACTCGTCTATATCATTTCTGAACTGTTGTTTTATACGTACACCTCCTCCAAAAGTGTGACAATCCTGTCTTTCATTATTCGACAGCGTCACAGCACCCTAGCATCTTTAAAAATCGTTACCTTAAATAAGTATTAAATGCGTTGGGAAATTTTTGGAGGGGACTGTATACCTTTTTAAAGTGTCTCACATATTCGATCAAAACTTGCCATGCAAACATGTTAGTCTATTTTACTGGCCCCCCTGCTGTAACAAGGAACCCAAAACACATTAAAACGTAAACATAAACCAATTAGTCACTTCACTATGGAAGTGAGGGGTGTTAGCAAAAATGTGTATTAGGCCATAAGAAGTAGGTTATTCGTTTTGCGTCATGGCAAAATCCAAATCATGCAAGGGTACAAGGAAAACAAACACAAACTCAAGAAAAAACACAAACTTGTTTATTGGCATATAAAGGGATGACATGCCAATTTGCAGTGATTACAAACACATATCTATACATCCTATACAATATATTTAAGCATAGCTATTATTCAAGGGTACAAAATAAGAAAATACACAATGTATGCTAAAGTAATCAATAACACTGTCAATTTTGACACACATCAAATGATCTGCCATTTCGTCCGATTCTGATTGAATGAAATGCGATGGTACTTTCAAACCCTTGTAATTGCTATTTGGATGTGTTTGTTTTTTTCTGATTTACTCAAAATCGTGCAAGCAAGGGGACGCAAAACAGAGAATGTACTTCTTATGGCCTTAGCAGAATACGCTGTGTGCATGGACTAACACAATATCAGTGGTCATTTACTGTGTCAACTTAGTAACCCTTGCATATCGTGCTCACTCAAGTATTGAATAATTTTTTTATGATCTAAATGTTTGTGGTTTATAAAAAATGTGATATATTTTAGTAAGAAATACATTAATTAATATATTCATTCAAACAGCACTAGAATGCGGGAAGAAAGGGCAATGGTGACAAAAACAGACAGAATTTTCCGTAAGGGTTTCAAACATTTCTGAACACAATCATACATGTATTTCATGTGTACTGTTATTTTTAGTGCTGTATTTATAGATATAATTTCATGTATTAAAATATTTTCCAGCAATGACTTCAAATTCGGAACCACACCCATATCACATTTTCTTCAATAACTCCAAACATGTGTAAACATTGACCATGTGCATATAAATTCAGATTTCAGGAGCTCTTTCCTATTCGAGTACCTCATACACCCCTGCATGGATTTGAGTTGGATTCGCCTTTTATACGTGAGCCGATACACTTTGCAAACGCTGATTGGATAAAGATTGCGAGAATCTTTAATTTAAATGTATTCTATAATTATTGATAACATGTGTAAGATCTGGATTTAACTAACTAATAATCTCAATATCATCTAAAATTGGTCCTAAAATTTTCAGCCATGGTTTATGCTTTGGATGTTGCTGTAGCAAAAATCGTACAGACGCTGAAAGAAGAAGGGATGTGGGATAATACAGTTCTTGTCTTTACCACAGGTAGACCTACCTGTAAAATTCAAATGAGAAAACACAACATTGAATAGCAAGACGCTGCTCAAGACTGAGATTTTAACAACACCCAACTACAAACACTGAACGCTTTTATTGCAATGCATGATTATAGTCAATCGCCAATTTCATTTAATGTGTTTTCACTAACTTATCGCCAAAATTTAACACGATTCATTAAAATGAAGCCTAAAAGTGTAGGAGCCTTGCAATTCGGCAACTTTTAGCCATCCTAATTCATATCATCATATGACTGACACTTTATAATAACACGATTGTATGTAGCTATTACTTTCGATACTTTTAGATAAAGGTGGAAACAAACTTCACACCAACAACTGGCCTTTGAGGGGAGGAAAATTCACTTACTTTGAAGGTGCAATTAGAGGAATAGGCTTTGTTGCAAGTCCTTTACTTCAGAAAAGTTGTAAGTAATGGTGTGATATTCTCAGTGTATCAGTATTCATTTGAGATTAAATTCTTCAAATGGCATAATGTATTGATATTGCTTAATGATCGTGTACATATACATATGTTAAGAATTCTTGTGGCTTGGTTTTATGATTTATAGGTTTTATTTGCCTTGCATTGTATGCTATCTTTTTCATGAATGTGGTCCATTTCAGAACAAAGGAATTATAATTTGAAAAACTATTAGTATATTATATTTACAGGTTGCGATGACGACTGTAAGATAAACAAACAACTGTACCATGTCTCAGATTGGTATGCAACATTCTTGCGTCTGGCTGGAGGAAAGATTGGAGCATCAGGATACGATTCACATGATATATGGGATTCTATCAAGTAGGTGTAATGTTTAATGGATGGATTAGTTTTTTCTTGATGTAGATTAAGAATTGAACAACGTCTCTCTTATTTAATCAAAATAGAGCATGTTACTAATACATGCAACAAAATCTTAAATATCCATTACAAAATAATTCCATCGTTGCGGTTACATTTGTATTTGAATTTTAGCCGATGTTCGCAAAGTCCACGAAGGGAAATTCTCCATTCCCTGAACCCAACAATTCCAAGGAAGGGTGTACCTATGTATCCTGTTAACGTGACATTTGATACAACAATCAGGGCAGTTTTGAGAATGGGAGATTACAAGATATTTACAGGAAGTACGTTCAAGTATTTTAATAGAATTCATGATAAAAATTAAGTCCTACTTTTGAGTCTTTGGCTTGGATAGAGCGAGTCAAATGTCGGGTCTTTGAATAGGTCCGGTTTAGAACTTTTGATACAGTTTTGACAGTACATTATAGAGTTCGAGGGGAATGGAGGATTTGATGGTTGGCAAGCTCCTCCAGAATTTCCTAAGTTTGTGACAACAAATCATACTATGATCCCGGACAAGAATGTATATCTTTACAACATTGCTAACGATCCTTTGGAGAAGAAAGACCTGAGTGCTTCCATGCCAGATAAGGTAACTCTCATTACGATGTCAGTGCTAAACAAAACAATTTGTTAGTCGGTTGATGCACTGACCCTAATCAGTCGATCTTTACTCGGATGTCTCTCCCAAAAAAGATTGCTTAATGGAGTTTCTTTTGACTTCTTTGTTTAAGGCGTAGCACCCTCTAGGACTTCTTTCCTTATAATTTTACACATCAAGATTACAAACATTCATCTTAATTCACATATCATCTTAAAACCTTGAAAGTCTACAATGGTAATGCTTGGAAACTTGTTATGAATACAATATATCAAATGAAAGATGAAATTATTAAGCTTACTTTTGATTTTATAGGTTCGGGAAATGTTGGATAGGTTGAAAGCACTCCAACCTAAGACCAGACGAGAGCCATACCCATGTCCCGATCCAGATTGTGACCCTACAAAGTACGACCCTCCAGTTTGGATGCCATGGTTGTAAATCCGAAAAAGGATTTTACCATGTACTGTACATTCTATAATGTACCAGATTTCCTTGTTTTGAATTTCTCAAACATTTACAAATTATCAAGCGCAGATAATAAAATATTTGTAATGTTTACTGCCAACTAGTATTTGAGTTATATTTTCATTTTAAAATTCAACCTGTCTAGACTAGGTGCATGTTAGGTATCCAAAGTAAAACATAACTACAAATCGGCAACTGCGAGGAGTTGCAAATCCCAACAACACTAAATGCATGATTCTGTATATGTTACAATGTAATATCTACCATGTTTTCTACCCTAAATTACATTGGAAGATATTAAAAGACATTAGAGTCAGATGTATCTTAATTTCCAAATTAGGATGACCAGTTAGGAGTTCCAAATGCACAAATCGTAAAGACAATACAATATTTGAGATCTAATAATTAGGACCTCAAAATTAACAAAAGATCCAGTTTTCCCTTTTGCGTAAAACTATTCACCAATACACATCTTTCCAGCTACTATGAAAAACATCTGTCTACTATAATTCAAATTATCTCCCAGACTGACTCACTGACTGATGGAGAAACGGATGGGCAGACCGAGGGGTTTACTTCGTTCGTTTGGATAATGGGTTGTCCATATGCAAGGCCATATTTTATATTGTCCAAAAATTAGTAAATTTTACCAAACTGTATTTCTAGTTCACATAATGGAGACTTTAAATGTTTGAGAAAAAAATTCATAAAATAAAAACACATAAAACATATTGCTACATTTATTCATGGACATAATGTGTGGTTTATTTCTGAGAATAGCAGACAATAATGTAATATGGCAACATATCTTGACAACTGAAAAGATGGTAACTTCATTTAAAACAGATTAAACCTTCATAACGATTGGATCAAGACATGTATTGGTACTACAGAAATTTCATGATTCAGTCAGAAATAATAAATCCATCTATTTTTACTATCACATTTTATGCATTATATCAAAGCATTATAAGTTATGAGTGTTGTTCAATAAAAGCTCTTTGTAGTTCATCAATCATTCCCTCACACATACAACAACAAACATAATCAACAAATATAAATATCTCGTACTATCAACAGTATTAATCATATATGTTTTTAATAAAACGAAGCAATATCAGTATGAAAGATGACATTAAAAATTGAATTAATGGTTGGGGTTCTATAGGCACTTTGACATCATATGTGAATTTATCCGATATACATTTTATAATTATTATAAGTGATGTATAATAATCTTAATTAAAAACTGATTATTTAAATTGATGGCTTTGTCTGAGTCCTATAAAGAGATCTTCTACTACGTTTTTCTGTTTTACTGCAAGATTTTGGAGAAACATCTGAAGCCAATGAGCTCGCTGACCTTTGACCTCGATTTGACCTTGACCCTGTGTTGATTACAGGTGATTGTAAGAGGTCTCCAAGACCCCTGGATGACAGCGGTGAATACATCTTCGATCTTTCACTTCCACTGGTGTTTTTTACTAGGGTTGAAGTTGAGGGGGTAGTTACAGGGGATGTTTGTCTAATTTTGTCAGATCCCTCAGGACTATTGTGTTTTCCCGAGAACACTGGGGAAGTAACAGCACTATATTCAGACTCCTCACTTTGATTTCTCTTCATGCCAACAGCCTGGTGGACAGCAGGAAATATAGGAGATGGAGCAATATCTGATTCACTATGTCCATCTGAATCCCTACTTCTTGTTTTACGTATTGGTTGGAGCCTTTTAATCCCTCTATGCTGTGGAACTTGACTAGAACCTGAGACACTTGGTGAAGGTTGATTTTGTCTTTTAAGCTTCAGGGTTATTCTAGATGGGGTGCCTGGTTTTGAACATTGGTTTGATATTTCTGAAGAATACACCCCAAAGCCCATGCTACTGTTGCTCTGGTTACTGTTGCTATGGTCACCAGAGCGCAACATTCTTCTTGGAAACTCAACATCTGAGTCTGATTTCTCAATGAAAACTTCATTTGAAGCAAAATACTCAGGAGAATTAAGATTATTGCTCTTTCTGGTCCTTTTTGAGGGGGTTCCAATATGCTTGGCAGGTGAGAGATGGTGGCTCCCTCTTTTGAGTTGTTTTCTTTCATCTGTTTGAACCAGGGAAGTGTCCTTTACTTTACCTTCTGTCTTATAAGGGGGAGATAATGTCGAAATGGCTCTTAATTTCTCAGGGCTCATCATTATTTCTTTTTTCATTCTCCGGGTAAACCTTGGTGAGGCTGTAGATAAGGAATCTGGTTTTGCTCTATTGTCAATTGTGCTTTTTGTAAAAGGTTCATTTTCAACACTAGAGTCTGATTGATTCCTTTCAATATACTTGAAGAATTCTGAATTTTTGCCAAACACCTTGATGGGGGTTGGCAGCTTTCCATGTACATCAGAGCTCTTTGAGTGTTCATCTAATGAGACTGGGGTTACCCGACCTTGATAAGAGTCATTGTCAGAGATATGTATTTTTCTACTGGGCTCTACAGTGGAGGAGACATCCTCCATTTCTTCAAGAGCCTCAGCGGTGAGTCCAAATGGCTTTGTGACATTAATTACAGGTGAGGTAATGTCAGGTGAGACTTTAAGAGGGTCAGAGGTGGCCTTGAGGGGGTCTGGGGTGGCCTTAAAAGGGCTAGTAACAGTGGGTGATATGTCTTGTTCACAGGAAGTTAGTGATTCCTGGGACTGGGATGCCCGCTTCTGGCCCCTCCGCTTTATTTTTACCTTACGTCTTAAGACTGGTGATTTAGCTTTCTTGTCTAATAAATTCAGATTGACTTCCTTATTTGAAGAGTTCAAATATTTTAAATCTGTAAGGCTTGGTGTTGGGCTAGATCCTTTCATAGAGGATGGGGAAACACTGTCATAACGTCGTTTTTTCCTGGGCCATTTATCAAATGAATCTGGTGTTTTAACTTTTGGCTTTGAACCCTTGGGAGTAACTGAATCTGAACTGGCTTTGAATAATGCTTGTTGTTTCTGCGGGGTTATCTTCAATTCTGCTCTAGGCTGTAACTGTGCACGTAATACCTGGGGTGGACTGGGTCCTAACATACCCACTATATTATCAAGTTTCAGACTGGTATTGAGTTTATTTGGACTTTGACCCCAATCATCATCAAATTCATTAAATAGGACATCCTTATTCACCCTGCGTTTCTGTGTCACTATTGCTTCACCAGGTATAATAATAGGTGACTTCCTGAGGTTTTTAACAGAAGTGTTATCTGATTTCCTAGCAGGAGAGGTTTGTGGTAAGTCAGTTGTGAACAAACGAACTGATGCACTTGATTTAGCTATGCTTTTTACATGAGGGCTTCTGATAAATTTAGGGGAAGGGGTGTTCTTCACTTTTATGTCCATGGAAAGTGGTGATGTCATAGGGACTGAACCATGAGATGCACTTCCTGGCGTTTTAAGAATACTTCTACTTGGTGTTGTACCTTTTTGGGAAGGAGTATGAGGTTTCTGTGGTGTCATATTAAATCTGATTCTTGTTGGGGATCGTAACAATTCACGCTTCTTTGGGGTACACGCAAGTGGTGGAATAACTTGTGAAGATCGTGATTTGGAAGACAGTCTACTATTTGAGAGTTCTGAGAATAGATTTGGGCCTTTGGGAGATGTGAAGACACTAGGACGGAAGCCCTGTGTGTTACTGCAGGGGCTGACTGGATGTGGAGCTAGTCGTTTCTTCACAGGAGTGCATTCTGGGGATTGAACAATGGCGCCACCTTTACCTGGTGATGGAGAGGCCATAAACTGAGCGAATAAATTCATGACAGGTTGTTTATTGGGAGTTCTGTCCAACTTATTAGCACTATTAGAAGTATCTAGGCTTTCCCCAGTTGGTGTGAGTCCAGAAATGCGATTCTCAAGTTTTCTAAATTTATCAGCATTGCGTGGTTCCGAGGAATAAAAAGATCGACATCTGGGTAGACCAAGTACAGTAGCTGATGATGCTCGTCTAGGTGACCTTCGCAACAGATTCAATACTGAAACATTAAGAAATAACAGATTAATTAATGATACATTACAGTATCATTACTGATACATAATGTAATAAAAAAGTCAACCCTGAAACATAATGAAATCACAGATTCATGCTTTGGCTGAAATAATGAGAGTATGGTAAAATGTAAAGCTACTTGTTGAAAAAGAAATCCTGTGCTCCATGTGTTAATTGGTATAACATTGATTCAGCGTTAGAAACAAATTCTCCTTTTGTCTAACATTACAAACTCTAACCACTACAGCCGTAAAATTTTCAGAAGACATATTTTGAGTCTATAGCCAATGATATATAGCCTATATTCGGTACATGTCATACTACTACATAGTGTTTGTTACATTAACAAAACGGGACTTTTTATGTCAAAATCACCCAAATCACCTACTGACATACCCCAGTAAGACAATAGCATTACAGAAACACAAGAGAAAAAAAGACAAAAAAATAAGTTCACAAACAAAACATTATCATATATACTTGAAAAGTTACCTGGTTTTACAATGTTCCTGATAGGGGATTCCCCAACCACCATAGGCGACATAGTCTTTGATCTCTCATGACTCCTCAACTTTGCCTGTTGTCTCTGCAGCAATGAGAACCCTTGTTTATGAGCTGGGGTCTCAGCTATATGTTTGGCTTTAACAACATGATGGGCTGAAAAATCAAGTCACACGGTTTTCATTTTTCATTAGAAGCCTGTTTATGTTAAAACAATATTTTTGTCAAGATTATTTGAGTGAAAAGATAATGTTTTGCTTAACATAGTCTATAAAGAAAACCAGACAAACATTGAAAGATAAACATGAATTTTTTTTTAAATATTACTTCAGAGAATATTTTTATATTAAAGTTAAAGTTCAATACAAATTCATCATGCATTTCAACACAAACAATTATAAAGATGATACAATTAACTTGCTTGAAAATACACCCACCATTTTAACATTCCCACAAAATATTCAATAAAGTGTATGGGTAAATGACATTTTTTTGAAAATTTAAGAACTAAAGACCAACACAGTTGACATTAGGCAGTCGAAAATTCATAGTTTATGTTTCATTGCTGAAATATTTAAGGGCAATTAAGAAATGGTTGTCATGGAAACCTATTGCAGAGCAATATCTTAACACCAAGGTAAACAGAAATGAGAGAGGCTTAGTTATATTATCAGTAATATTGTCATACAATAAAACTGTCGTGGACAATGATTTTGATCATAAATGTAAGAACAATTTTGAAAAATATGATTTATAATCAAGATTCAAGGCAGCAGTTCATAAACATGCATTTCTATTTACAAATCGCATCATTAAAATGTGTTTAATGTTGTAGAACAATGTAAGTGATGGCAGTGAATACATCAAACGTTTTAACCTTTATTGATCCAAGTACCGGTAACTATTATTCTTTGTGTAGCATAAATAGCTAAGCTTTAAGTCTCTAAAAGGTTAAACTGACACATTTTACTATATGTTTGGCATAGCATTCCTTTTTTAGTCAGGAATATTTAGGTGAAAATATTTCAAAAATATATAGAAGCAATTTTAAGGTGGATTTCAAAACTTCATACCATTCTTTTGAAAACCTGAAGTGGCACCAAGCAATCCATTGACTTTTTCACCGAAAATCCAAGATGGCCGCCACGATGTATTAAAAAATCATAAAAAATGACTAAAGTTATGATTTAATAAGTCAAAATAGTTGTATACTGATCAAACATCACTAACTATAGTACCTATAAGAAGTTCATATCCATTTAAGGTCATTGGATCATTTTTGGGTGAAAACTGGAGTCCCGCAAGGCTCAACTTTATGTCCGCTACTTTTTTTAGTCTGATGACTTGCATTGACCATGGCATTTGCACATAGCAATGCATAGAAATCCATTTTTGTAACTTGTGCACCTAGGACCACATTTAACCTTGCACCCACACTTGACCAATGCTTCACATGCTGCTTGAGGAAGGGCTGTATATAGGGGCACCAGGAGGGACATGTCATACTGCCAGCCCCATGTTGTGAACTCCGATACCCATGTTGGATTGAGATTGTACAGTTGGCCCCAAACAATACAAACTTGGTGAACAAGTTCTTAAAATTTTCTGTGTAAGGGCTCCCTTTGTTGGTGGCATTCTATCAATGACTGTATGGTCATCACATAACATTTGCCTTTGTGCTGCATTGATATCTATCTGGTTGCTGGTTCAATCATTTACTAGAACAGAAAAACGTTGTGGGACTGAATGGCCTTAACTGACAAAGTCAGGTTTGTTGTAACCATTTGTGCTACTTGTAGAAAAGCTGGAGTAACTTCCTTCCTTGAACACATTCCATAACTTGAAGGGCAGATTATTTGCTATGGCCAAAGAATGGTGCAGTTAATATAATATAATTTGATACCTGTAATTTTTGAGAGGTCAGAAGGCAATCCAGATTGACACTTATTGCACCCTAATGCTGCAGCCATGGCAAGAACAACTACACCAGTATCTCCACTGATTCTGATTATGTGAAATCTTTTTTACCCTCTGAGTCATCTGTTTTACCTGAACAAAGAGTTTAGTGTAGTATCAGCTTCTTCATGAGTGCAAGGTTCAATCATTACTGTAACTGGCATCTGAGGAAAGGATTTAACAGATTCCACAATAGTCATAAACATCAACCTCAAAAATAGAGTTGGCTAGGAATGCTAACAGCTCAGTCTTGTTCTGGTTGTTTCTTGGAAAGCCTAACCAATTCCGGGGCATCACATTCTCTGCATAAACCATCAATTGCCACAATGAATCCTTGTCAGGGACTTCCTACTGTTTTATAGGTAGACATTCCAGATAACATCTTATCTTGAACCACCTTCCATAGGCTGCCTTAACTTGGGATGAGACAATGGTACCATATTCTTGGAAGTTGGTAGCCACACCAATATGCATTACATGGACCCAAAGGATGCCAACTATTAACATTGCATCTGCAGGTGGCTTTTCCAATACTTCAGATCTATCTGGCTTAGCTTCTTGACATTTAAGTAAGTCTGCTTTTGTTGTGAGTCTCATGGCTCTGTGCTTAGGTAGGGATAGTGTGGTTTTCATGGTTTTCAGACTCAGACATGTCTTGTCTTGATTGGCATGCAATGTAGAGCAATAGCAAAAAGGTTATAAACATTTCTCAGTTCCTTGACTTCAGGATTTACTTGCATGCATAGTTGGAAGAAAATTACCTTTTTGCTATGCTCTATATTACTTGCCTTTGACAATTGAGACACATAACATGTGTGAGTTTTTCAAACATGAAAACCATGAGTTCCCGCCATCCCTAGCTAATCACAGAGCCATAAGACCTACAAAAAAATCACCAACTTAAATGCCTAGAAACTAAGCCAGATGGACCCAAAGTATTGGAAAAGCCACCTACAGATGCAGTTTTAATAGACTGCTCCTTTCTGGAGTTTCATCCCAAGTTATAAGGGAGCTTATGGAAGGTGTTCCAAGAATAGACGTCTGGAATGTTTACCTACAAAACAGTGAGAAGTTCCTAACAAGGATTTATCGTGGCACTGGTGCTAGAAGGATGATTTATGCAGAGTTGCACAAATGCCAAAGAATTGGCCAGCCTTTCTAACAATTAATTACCCTGCGTGCAGAGTCTAGTTAAACTACACTCTGCCTAGTAGAGACCATATTACAGTTTAGTAGCCCCGCCCCCACGACGGGTACCGGTGACAGTTTGGGTAATAATATAAATCACTTCTGACCTATGCGCTGACCTTTCTTCCACCATTCAGCGAGCCTGAACAAACATACGCCAAATGCGTTCTAATTAAATATGCGCATGTCATTGGTCAATTCCGGGCTCAACAATCGTCAGAAGGAATGACCATATATAGAACGTCGGTCAAATTTGGCCGACGAACACTGATTGGCGCGGTGAGTTCACAGGTTTATTTTAGTTTGAAAGAGTGAAGACGAAGCTCTCTTTTAAGAAGTGAAGTCAAACGAATGCAAAGGGTAACAATTAATGGAACCAGACTAGGCTGTTTGCATTCCTGGCCAACTTTATGTCCGAGATTGATGTTAATGAAAAGCAAATGATAACTACTATTGGGGAATCTGTTCAGTGCTTTCCTCAATTGCCAGATACAGCAAAGATTGAACCTTGTACTCATGAAGAAGCTGGCACTGGGATCTTCATGTTCATGTAAAACAGATGACCTCAGAGGGTAAAAAAGACTTCATGATCAGAAGTGGAGATACTGATGTCCTTTTTCTTGCCATGGCTGCAGCATTAGAGCGCAAAAGGTGTCAATCTGGATTGCCTTCGGACCTCACAAAAATTACAGGTATTAAATTATATTATATGAACTGCACCATTCTTTAGCCATAGCAAAGAATCTGCCCTTCAAGCTATGGAATGTGTTCAAGGAAGTTACTCCAGCTTTTCTACAAGTGGCACAAATGGTTAAAACAAACCTGACTTTGTCAGTTCAAGCCATTCAGTCCCTGGAACATTTTACTGTTTTATTATATGATCGAACCAGCAACCAGATAGATATCAATGCAGCACGAAGGCTAATGTTCTGTAACAGTCATACCAGTCATAACAGTCACTGACAAAATACCACCAACAAAAGGAGCCCTTGCACAGAAAATCTTAACTTGCTAACCAAGGTGGTATAGTTTGGTGCCATAACCAAAATGGTTATCGAGTTCACAACATGTGGCTGGCAGTATGACATGTCCCTCCTGATACAACTTTGTACGGCCCTTCCTCAAGCAGCTAAGGCATGCCAAGCATTGGTCAAGTGTGGGTCCAAGGTGAAATGTGATCCTAGGTGCACATGTTACAAAAATGGATTTCTATGCATTGCAATGTACAAATGCCATAGTCAATGAAAGTCATTGGACTAAAAAAGTAGGGGACATAAAATTGAGCCTTGTGGAACTCCAGTTTTCACACAAAAAAAATCTAGTGACTTAAAATGCATATGACCATCAAATAGGTACTATTATTAGTTATGTTTGATCAGTATTTTACTATTTTGACAAATTAAATGATGATATTAGTCAATTTTAGTGATTTGTTGATACATCGTGGCGGCCATCTTGGATTTTTGGTGAAACAGTCAATGGATTGCTTGGTGCCACTTCAGGTTTTCAAAAGGATGGTATGAAGTTACGAAATCCACCTAAAGATTGCTTCTATATATTTTTGAAATATTCTATGAACTTATCTCCTATTCAAACCCGACTAGTCAGGAATATTTAGGTGAAAATATTTCAAAAATATATAGAAGCAATTTTAAGGTGGATTTCAAAACTTCATACCATTCTTTTGAAAACCTGAAGTGGCACCAAGCAATCCATTGACTTTTTCACCGAAAATCCAAGATGGCCGCCACGATGTATTAAAAAATCATAAAAAATGACTAAAGTTATGATTTAATAAGTCAAAATAGTTGTATACTGATCAAACATCACTAACTATAGTACCTATAAGAAGTTCATATCCATTTAAGGTCATTGGATCATTTTTGGGTGAAAACTGGAGTCCCGCAAGGCTCAACTTTATGTCCGCTACTTTTTTTAGTCTGATGACTTGCATTGACCATGGCATTTGCACATAGCAATGCATAGAAATCCATTTTTGTAACTTGTGCACCTAGGACCACATTTAACCTTGCACCCACACTTGACCAATGCTTCACATGCTGCTTGAGGAAGGGCTGTATATAGGGGCACCAGGAGGGACATGTCATACTGCCAGCCCCATGTTGTGAACTCCGATACCCATGTTGGATTGAGATTGTACAGTTGGCCCCAAACAATACAAACTTGGTGAACAAGTTCTTAAAATTTTCTGTGTAAGGGCTCCCTTTGTTGGTGGCATTCTATCAATGACTGTATGGTCATCACATAACATTTGCCTTTGTGCTGCATTGATATCTATCTGGTTGCTGGTTCAATCATTTACTAGAACAGAAAAACGTTGTGGGACTGAATGGCCTTAACTGACAAAGTCAGGTTTGTTGTAACCATTTGTGCTACTTGTAGAAAAGCTGGAGTAACTTCCTTCCTTGAACACATTCCATAACTTGAAGGGCAGATTATTTGCTATGGCCAAAGAATGGTGCAGTTAATATAATATAATTTGATACCTGTAATTTTTGAGAGGTCAGAAGGCAATCCAGATTGACACTTATTGCACCCTAATGCTGCAGCCATGGCAAGAACAACTACACCAGTATCTCCACTGATTCTGATTATGTGAAATCTTTTTTACCCTCTGAGTCATCTGTTTTACCTGAACAAAGAGTTTAGTGTAGTATCAGCTTCTTCATGAGTGCAAGGTTCAATCATTACTGTAACTGGCATCTGAGGAAAGGATTTAACAGATTCCACAATAGTCATAAACATCAACCTCAAAAATAGAGTTGGCTAGGAATGCTAACAGCTCAGTCTTGTTCTGGTTGTTTCTTGGAAAGCCTAACCAATTCCGGGGCATCACATTCTCTGCATAAACCATCAATTGCCACAATGAATCCTTGTCAGGGACTTCCTACTGTTTTATAGGTAGACATTCCAGATAACATCTTATCTTGAACCACCTTCCATAGGCTGCCTTAACTTGGGATGAGACAATGGTACCATATTCTTGGAAGTTGGTAGCCACACCAATATGCATTACATGGACCCAAAGGATGCCAACTATTAACATTGCATCTGCAGGTGGCTTTTCCAATACTTCAGATCTATCTGGCTTAGCTTCTTGACATTTAAGTAAGTCTGCTTTTGTTGTGAGTCTCATGGCTCTGTGCTTAGGTAGGGATAGTGTGGTTTTCATGGTTTTCAGACTCAGACATGTCTTGTCTTGATTGGCATGCAATGTAGAGCAATAGCAAAAAGGTTATAAACATTTCTCAGTTCCTTGACTTCAGGATTTACTTGCATGCATAGTTGGAAGAAAATTACCTTTTTGCTATGCTCTATATTACTTGCCTTTGACAATTGAGACACATAACATGTGTGAGTTTTTCAAACATGAAAACCATGAGTTCCCGCCATCCCTAGCTAATCACAGAGCCATAAGACCTACAAAAAAATCACCAACTTAAATGCCTAGAAACTAAGCCAGATGGACCCAAAGTATTGGAAAAGCCACCTACAGATGCAGTTTTAATAGACTGCTCCTTTCTGGAGTTTCATCCCAAGTTATAAGGGAGCTTATGGAAGGTGTTCCAAGAATAGACGTCTGGAATGTTTACCTACAAAACAGTGAGAAGTTCCTAACAAGGATTTATCGTGGCACTGGTGCTAGAAGGATGATTTATGCAGAGTTGCACAAATGCCAAAGAATTGGCCAGCCTTTCTAACAATTAATTACCCTGCGTGCAGAGTCTAGTTAAACTACACTCTGCCTAGTAGAGACCATATTACAGTTTAGTAGCCCCGCCCCCACGACGGGTACCGGTGACAGTTTGGGTAATAATATAAATCACTTCTGACCTATGCGCTGACCTTTCTTCCACCATTCAGCGAGCCTGAACAAACATACGCCAAATGCGTTCTAATTAAATATGCGCATGTCATTGGTCAATTCCGGGCTCAACAATCGTCAGAAGGAATGACCATATATAGAACGTCGGTCAAATTTGGCCGACGAACACTGATTGGCGCGGTGAGTTCACAGGTTTATTTTAGTTTGAAAGAGTGAAGACGAAGCTCTCTTTTAAGAAGTGAAGTCAAACGAATGCAAAGGGTAACAATTAATGGAACCAGACTAGGCTGTTTGCATTCCTGGCCAACTTTATGTCCGAGATTGATGTTAATGAAAAGCAAATGATAACTACTATTGGGGAATCTGTTCAGTGCTTTCCTCAATTGCCAGATACAGCAAAGATTGAACCTTGTACTCATGAAGAAGCTGGCACTGGGATCTTCATGTTCATGTAAAACAGATGACCTCAGAGGGTAAAAAAGACTTCATGATCAGAAGTGGAGATACTGATGTCCTTTTTCTTGCCATGGCTGCAGCATTAGAGCGCAAAAGGTGTCAATCTGGATTGCCTTCGGACCTCACAAAAATTACAGGTATTAAATTATATTATATGAACTGCACCATTCTTTAGCCATAGCAAAGAATCTGCCCTTCAAGCTATGGAATGTGTTCAAGGAAGTTACTCCAGCTTTTCTACAAGTGGCACAAATGGTTAAAACAAACCTGACTTTGTCAGTTCAAGCCATTCAGTCCCTGGAACATTTTACTGTTTTATTATATGATCGAACCAGCAACCAGATAGATATCAATGCAGCACGAAGGCTAATGTTCTGTAACAGTCATACCAGTCATAACAGTCACTGACAAAATACCACCAACAAAAGGAGCCCTTGCACAGAAAATCTTAACTTGCTAACCAAGGTGGTATAGTTTGGTGCCATAACCAAAATGGTTATCGAGTTCACAACATGTGGCTGGCAGTATGACATGTCCCTCCTGATACAACTTTGTACGGCCCTTCCTCAAGCAGCTAAGGCATGCCAAGCATTGGTCAAGTGTGGGTCCAAGGTGAAATGTGATCCTAGGTGCACATGTTACAAAAATGGATTTCTATGCATTGCAATGTACAAATGCCATAGTCAATGAAAGTCATTGGACTAAAAAAGTAGGGGACATAAAATTGAGCCTTGTGGAACTCCAGTTTTCACACAAAAAAAATCTAGTGACTTAAAATGCATATGACCATCAAATAGGTACTATTATTAGTTATGTTTGATCAGTATTTTACTATTTTGACAAATTAAATGATGATATTAGTCAATTTTAGTGATTTGTTGATACATCGTGGCGGCCATCTTGGATTTTTGGTGAAACAGTCAATGGATTGCTTGGTGCCACTTCAGGTTTTCAAAAGGATGGTATGAAGTTACGAAATCCACCTAAAGATTGCTTCTATATATTTTTGAAATATTCTATGAACTTATCTCCTATTCAAACCCGACTATTTATATGAGATATGAACATTTTCAACTGAAAAGAACACGATCAATGCTAATACCTAATGCCAATGAGCTTAACAACACCTAAACATTGAATATTTCACTTTATCTAGTACATGTAATCAGTTCAGTTTAAAATGTGTTTGTTCAATGACTTTCATCAGACGGATCAATATGTTAATACTCTGATGAATCACTTTTCAACAAAGAGGGGATTCCCCGTCTTAACTATTGGAAAAGAACAAGATCAATAGACGCACTGGGAATTTTGAATACCTGCCACTTCCAAGAATTCAGCCATGTTTGATTTCCCTTTGCCAACGAAAAAAGGTTGCAATAAATTTTAGGATGTGAACTCTGTAGTATCATTCTATTGAAGGGGAGACAAACACCTGTACCTGGGCATATGTCATATAGCATTAAATAGGAAAATTAGATAAAATAAAAGTACTGCATAATGATGGCTTCTCCTCTGTTTAAAAATAAACTGGAATCAAACATGGAACATATCCTGAAGAAAGTATTTGAATTATTAAACAAAGGAAATGAGGCTTCAACAAAGGAGTTAGTTAAACAAATCAAGATCCTAGCCAAAAGTGACTCAACAAAGGATGCAGTATTTGATACATTCATTGGTCCCTTTAGGTATGTACTCCCCAAAAACAAGATGGAACTCATTATGTTAGTTTATGATCGTATTGCTGATCATATCTTCCAAGAGCTTGAAAACAATATGGTCTTCATCGGAGATGATTTCCGAGATAACTTCTCTGAGATGGAAAATTTTTGGGACTATGTGACAAAAAAGAATCGTGCAGATATGGAAACATTTTGGCCTAGAATGATCCTTGCAGGAATTCTGGGATGTGGTGAGGATGTCACGGATATTAAACAGCTCTTGGTTGCCATAGAGATGCAGGCAAAGGAAACTGGAACAATTAATATGGCTGACTTTTGTATCTCCATATTGCCAAGCTACAGCACCTTCATCAAACTTTTCATAAAAGAAGCAGTAGCACCCGGTAACATCAATGAAAACATGGATGATTTAACAATGATAATGAAATCTATTGATGCAAGTCAGAATGTGAGTGAATTTGTACAAAAGGTTCATGATGCTATAATACCTGAAGGAACTATTGAAGAGAGAACCCTTCAAGAAAAACTAGCTGAAGTTCATGTTGATGACATATGTAAAATAGTCGAAGATTACGATCCCTACTTCAAGGTGACCAAACAACTGCACACAGGGAGCTACTATGATGGCACAAAGATTTCAAAACTGGATGAATTCGACTCATTGGAAGTGTTGGCCATGTCAAAAGATGTAGTCATAGAAACTGGCTGTTCAAGAGGACACTTTCATATTAGGGTACCAGATGACGTAAAACATCATTTAAGGAAACAGGAGGTAATAATAAAAACTTGAGAGCTATATATTTCAAAATATATCTTGATATTCTGTCTTGTACATAGATGTGAGCAGAGCTAGCCTTTGATAAAAACTAACACACAGTGATAAATATTGCACTTTGAAAGAGCAAAATGGCCACCATTTAATAGTATAGTTTCCATATAGCTTTTGAAATCTCGCTAAATCTCGTTTTTCGTGAGATTTTAAGAGACTTGCATATTAGACCCCTAATGACTTACATTACCTTCTTTTAAATGGTATATTTGAATTCAGTGAAATGTTTTTTCCTAAAATAGCTTTGATTTACACAGTTATGTAATTTGAATAATTTTCTATGACAATTTAAAAAAACTTGGGCCAAATGTCCATAGATGCAATGCTAAAATTCTTTAAAACCGTGGATTATTTGTATGTCAATCAACATTTGCATGTTTAATCACAACATGTACATAAACAGGGTCATCATGTGGTATATCATTCAAGTTTTATACAGATTCAACAAACACACTTTGATAAATCATGAAATTAAGCCACTTTTCCAAGATTTTACCATGTAAGTGAATGGAGCTCTAGCCCAAGTTAAAAGCTGAATAAAAGATGGCAGCACGAGATTTCATTGATTTTTCTGCTATTTAGAAACTATCCTATTAACCAAGCATGCCCAGAACCTTAGCAGATCTTGGCACTAGTCAGCTCTTGCATGTTTAAAAATTTCAAGTTCAATGATAAGCGATTTTCATAGACTTTTGAAAACGAGATTTATGTGGCAACAGCCACAGCCATTACCTTCTCCTGAAAATGACCAGTGACATTTGACTTTTATGCCAACGGCATATTTTGTTCTTGTTTCAGGAAGAATATGCAAAAAGTAAGGGGCGACCTGTGATTGAACCACTAGGAATTGTAAATCAGAATAATCATATATCCAGCTATGTGATGGTGAAATACTTAAGAACAGTGATATCAAGACACGGACTGACTCCCATCACGTTTATGCCTAATGCTAACATAGAGCTACAAGGAGGAGGAGGGTTTTGTTCATATAGCCTTGATGTCACCTTCTGTTTACAGATGGACCGATATAACCCAAACCACAAGGTATTAAACAAATACTGGATGACCATGAGGTGGATATGCCAGAATACCTATCCGAGGAAAAAATACTAGGCGAGGCGAAGCCGAGCCTAGTATTTCTTTTCGAGGATAGGTATTCTGGCATATCCACCTCATGGTCATCCAGTATTTATTTTATTATGCACCTCCCTTGAGAAATACTTTAGGCTATTTTAAAGAATGGGTCTACTAAAATAGAAGCCGAGCCTATAAAAACCCTGGTGTTCGACAATCAAAAATTCCATTTATTCTCTCATTTGGCCTTATTCTTAAATATTCCCTCCATACATAATAAGTTTGGCCGATGCCTTATCTAGCGCCACCTACCCTTTGTCAGTATAATCACAGGAAATTGAATTGAAATCCCCTTCTCTCATATCATCAAATCATTTCTCCCTTGCATTCGTCTCAAATTCAACATGGTAGAGATTCTAAGAAAATGACGTCATCGACAAATGGACTCGTCAAAAGTAATTTTTTCGAGGATAGGTATTCTGGCATACGGGATGGTTGGAGATCTCGTTGCTTCAATACTGGATAGAACGAGATCTTGCTGCCACGTATGGCAATAGACCCTGCAGCTCTTAACCAATCAGATTTGAGTATTTTAATGAGGTGCATAATAAAACTCTCTACATTTTTACTGTCATACCCACCTCTACAATAGCCAACATAACTCTTTGAGCTATTATATGAAAAGCAAAACTCATTGAGAACTGTACTGTACTTTATTAATTCTTTCCATGTTTTTGAATGTGACCATTGAGCCTTCAATCACACTATAAAAAGTAAACAACATGAACTTTACTTGCTCTTAAATTTATAGTTAATGGATACAACATCTCATTGTGTTTCCTATATTTGATATGCAATATCTCTGTTACTTAATGCAAGGGCAGAATGGGAATTAAAAGGACTTCAAATAAACATGCATACAATGATAATCAGTGACCGAGTCATTATAAGTCAAATATATTTCAGATTGTATTTGATGAATTGCCTGAGTTGTCAGAAGGGAACATATCCTGTGTGCTGGTACCAAAGAGTCTCCAAAAGTGTGAATTAGGACACTACTGTTGGCCAGTTTCTTGCTCTACCCATGAACAGGGTCTTGTCACCTCTATGTCACCTAACCATGTCACCATACAGATGACACTGAAGCTTGTCACAAGGACACTGGTGAACCACATGCTCCACATGTGTGCACTGGCTAGAGGGCACTACATGGATGATTCCTACATACTAAAGATGATAGTACTCCATCATGATAAAAGGTTTAATATTATTTTTTTAAAACATCATATCCTTAAAGCCCCACTATACTTAATTTAGAAGAAAAAAGAAAAAATTATCAATGAAACATATTACTCACACACTGGAATATGACACAAAGTTTGATTTGCTTTAATACTGAACCAAGAAAAAAATAACTCACAAAGAAAAAACCATTTGAAGTTCAGAGATCATTAGACATGCATGCACATGCTAAACAAAGTGCATGTTTTTAATTACTTTTAATTTAAAAGATGGCGACACCTCATAAAAATGAATGTATCATGTAGTACAAACAACTTCGCCATCTTTCAATGGCATTGATAAAAACTATTTTTTGATTAATTATTGTAAGCTTTGATGTGGTCCGTTTGAGCTGTTGTTGGTGTCAAATGAAAGATAGGGTTCTTATCAATACATTGGACATTCTATAGAATTCATATAAAAGTCTTTATTTTGCCTAAAAACATTGAAAATACGCAGAGTGGGGCTTTAAATAGATAGATGACTTAGTATTTACATGCAGTCTTGTTTTCGGACTGACTAATAATGTCGATGAATATATGTTTATCTTTCCATCAAATTATTGCTCTTTGGCCCTTCAGGTGGAGATGAAAATCTAATATTTTGATCATATCGACACATTTGTACTCAATCAAGATTCTAATTCTAAACATTTTTTTCATTATCATGAAGGTGTGATGTCAAACATCAACCTGGCAGTCTGGGAATGTGTTTCAAACAGATATGTGCCGAGATGTCTGACCTGTTTGGAGCAGATGTCTTTAGTGTTAAAACTGAGCATGAAAGACTTGTCCTGTTTGTACGATTCCATTTGATGAAAAACAAACTTTCAGACAAACTTTCTGAATGTACCAAAAACACGAATCCTCTTGTATCCATGGGAGTATCAACAGCAGAATTCTCAAGTGTAGATGACATCATTAAGAAAATGTCAAGTCAAGAGAGAATGAAACTTAAGGAGGAATACATGAAAGATGAACTCTTTAGAAGTGCATTAGAAATCCTAGTGCCATTCCAGCCAATATCTGCAAACAGCCCAATAACTAGTGATGTCTGGCCAGGATATCTCGCTATCATACCATGCCTCATGTCAACAGACACGCAGAAAATACTGGAGTCCATATTCCGTGAGCATCATCACTACGCCAGGACACGTCTCGATGACATATCTTTACCATTCAGGAATGTTCTCAAGAAATATGTGACAACGGCATCGTTTCAGTGTATCATGAGCGTGAGAGCGGCAGTGTTCCTGCTTCAGAGAATCATAAATGAACTTGAAAACAAGACAACTAGACCTATGTTACAAGATATACCTTTAGACTGAGGTCACTTTAAATACTGTAGTATGTTTAAAGATGTTCTGGTAATAACTTACCACATGTTTCTTTTTATAGATTATCATTTTTCGTCACTGAATCCATGTACATGAAAGTTTGTAAAATACCTTACTAGCATTATAGTCTAAGCAGAAGAGTGTTGAATAAAAAAACATGTTATCTAGCTGAAATAGGAGCACACGTGATTTAACTTTTTAAACCCAAGGACCAAATAATATTACATAAGGTCCTATTGAGAAAATGTCAGTGATTATCCTAGCAACTGAGAGGTGGACCCAGTTGAAAATTTCAACATATCTTGGCATCTTACTAGTTGAAAATCCCTTTACAACCAGATTTTGCGAATTGACAAAAATAAGGATGTCTTGACATATTTTGTCCAAGTTTTAAAATAATTGCTGGGAATGCTTGATGCCTTCAAAGAACAGGCATAAAGGGTTAATTAAGACCCACAAACCGCTATAACAAAAGATTTTTTAAATATTTACCTTTAGGTTTTGCTGAGCCAGGTGATACTTTCTTTTTACTTGGGGTTCGGCGTGACTTTGGTCTACTAGGAGTGGATTTAGATTTTTTATCTGTGATTGCAAATGAATGTCTTCGTTCTAGCTTAGTGCCACCTGGTGGTGCAGCTCCCATATCGAATAAACTTCGACGTACATGCTTCATGTCTGACTCAGTCTCATTAGCTGCAGCAGCCATCTTCTTTTTCTTAGCGGAAGATTTCTTAGCTGACCCTTTACTACTCCGTCTCTGAAAAAAGAATTAGTACAAAATTATATTTTTGACAATTGTATTATATAGAAGAATCAAAAAACAATGGTCTGATATCTCATATAAATGATTATTCAATAAATGGTTACAAAAGTGTAGCAAGTTATTACAACAATATCATGGCTATTACAATATGTCTCCCAATTATTACAATACCATGGCTATTACAATATGTCATCAATTATTACAACAATACCATGGCTATTACAATATGTCTCCAATTATTACAATACCATGGTTATTACAATATGTCTCCAATTATTACAACAATACCATGGCTATTACAATATGTTTCCAATTATTACAACAATACCATGGCTATTACAATATGTCTCCAATTATTACAACAAGGCATTAACATGACAAAATGTCACCACCTAAAACAATTTGGTCAATTTAAAGCAAGTTGGAAAATACCTTTTGACCTTAAGAAGGTTTTTGAAGATTTGAGCTTCTGGGATCTTGTAGATGATTTTGAAAAAAGAAATTGTTCAATCTGAAGCAAGTTGAAAAAATACCTCTTGACTTTTTTTGACATTGAGAAGGTCATTGAAGGTCAAATGTCAAGTCAGATTTGAACTTCTGAGAACATGTAGATGATTTTGAAAATTTTTTTTAGTCAATTTGAAGCAAGTTGAAAACAGACCTTTTTGACCTTTTTTGACCTTGAGAAGGTCATTGAAGGTCAAATGTCAAATCTAAAGTCAGATTTGAACTTCTGAGAACATGTAGATGATTTTGAAAAAAAAATTAGTCAATTTGAAGCAAGTTGAAAAAAGACCTTTTTGACCTTGAGAAGGTCATTGAAGGTCAAAGGTCAAATCTAAAGTCAGATTTGAACTTCTGAGAACTTGTAAAGTCAAATTTGAACTTCTGAAAAGATGTAGATGATTTTGAAAAAAATTTGGTCAATTTGAAGCAAGTTGAAAACAGACCTTTTTGACCTTTTTTGACCTTGAGAAGGTCATTAAAGGTCAAATGTCAAATCTAAAGTCAGATTTGAACTTCTGAGAACATGTAGATGATTTTGAAAAAAAAATTAGTCAATTTGAAGCAAGTTGAAAAAAGACCTTTTTGACCTTTTTTGACCTTGAGAAGGTCATTGAAGGTCAAATGTCAAATCTAAAGTCATGTTTGAATTTCTGAGAACATGTAGATGATTTTGAAAAAAAATTTAGTCAATTTGAAGCAAGATGAAAAAATACCTTTTTGACCTTTTTTGACATTGAGAAGGTCATTGAAGGTCAAATGTCAAATCTAAAGTCAGATTTGAATTTCTGAGAACATGTAGATGATTTTGAAAAAAGAAATAAGTCAATTTGAAGCAAGTTGAAAAAAGACCTTTTTGACCTTTTTTGACTTTGAGAAGGTCATTGAAGGTCAAATGTCAAATCTTAAGTCAAATCTAAAGTCAGATTTGAATTTCTGAGAGCACGTAGATGATTTTGAAAATTTTTTTTAGTCAATTTGAAGCAAGTTAGACCTTTTTGACCTTTTTTGACCTTGAGAAGGTCATTGAAGGTCAAATGTCAAATCTTAAGTCAGATTTGAATTTCTGAGAACACGTAGATGATTTTGAAAAAAAAATTTAGTCAATTTGAAGCAAGTTGAAAACAGACCTTTTTGACCTTTTTTGACCTTGAGAAGGTCATTGAAGGTCAAATGTCAAATCTAAAGTCAGATTTGAAGGTCAAATGTCAAATCTAAAGTCAAATCTAAAGTCAGATTTGAATTTCTGAGAACATGTAGATGATTTTGAAAAAAAATTTAGTCAATGTGAAGCAAGTTGAAAAAAGACCTTTTTGACCTTGAGAAGGTCATTGAAGGTCAAATGTCAAATCTAAAGTCAGATTTGAACTTCTGAGAACAAGTAGATGATTTAGAAAAAAATTGAAGTCAGTCTAAACAGTATTTGTTAAGTTATAGGAAGTTGTAAAAACGCTAAACAGTATTTGTTAAGTTATAGGAAGTTGTAAGGACGCCAACCTCCAACCACCAACCGCCGGACGCCAACCTCCAACCACCGTCGCAAAAAAACGGAGACCATAACAATATGTCACCACTTGACATAACAATACCATGGCTTTAACAATATGTCTCCACTTCTTGATGTTATTTATGTTGACATAATTTGTCAAATTAACAATTTTCTTAACAGCTATGATATTGGGCCTGATCATATTACAGTATTTACTGATGGATGTAGTGGACATACCTTATTGTTCTGTGTAGGCTTCTTGAACTGAATTTGTTTGGCATGTTTTATTCCAGCCAAGGCAGGATGATGTACCACCTTACGCTGCCTAAAATAAATTATTTAACAAATTATAATCTTAAAAGGACACCTCAAAACACATGTATTTTTACTTTGTATATACTATTTAATTAGGGAAAATAAGTATGGTGTCATCTTAAATCTTCTAAGCTTCCCTAGACGATAACATTTTCCAGTGAAATCGTGAACATAACCCTATATGATCCTGAAATGTCAATATCTCTATAAATCATGAACCAATTCTCATGAAATATGGCTAAAAACATGGAATATTGGATTTTCTTTTGATTATTTAAAAATATTTGATGAAGGGTTTCTCAGATTCCTGGTCACAGGGGGCAACTTCCTTCCACAAGAGGCCCTCCTCTAACTGTTGGTGTAGGAAACATACCCCTGAACTGTTGAATGATTATATATATATCTTTTATTGACTCTCTGATGTCATTACAATGACACATTAGTCACTAAAAACTACAATCTACAAAACTGACCTAAGACTAAACTAACTATTGAATACAAAAATAAAGTTGTTGTCAAATACAATTCTAATTACATCATCAAATGTAAAATACAGAATACAAGATAATTGTAAAATACAAATATAACTTGACAGAAATTTAAATATCAGTGTGATGCATCGTTGACACATTAATCCAATTTTTTGAGTGAATTATAGATGAACTTTGCTAAATGTAAAATTACATAAGAATTTTTGTGAGACATTAGTTTTTTAAAAATAATGTCAGGACTGCCTACAAAATTAAATCGTGTAAGGGTGTCGAACAAAATTTTTCTTTCTGTAGTGTTTTTCTTACAAATCATGATGAAGTGTTGTTCATCTTCTAAAATACCACAAATATTACATAAACGTTCATCTACAGGTTTTGGCTTTGGCTTTAAATGACGACCAAGTTCTATATGTAACTTGTGGGAACTAAGCCTAAATCTACAAATTGCTTGCCTGTAATTTTTATTTTGGATATTTAAATAACTCTCTCTTTCAAAGACATTTTTGATTTATTAACATAAGTTCTCAAGACAGGGTAATTTAATATATCTTTGTTCCATTGAGTTTTATAATTCTGATACAGTTTGCTTCAAAATGATCAATGAAAGTGTGAGATGTGTTTTCTGCTTAAATAGTGTCCCTTTTGGGTAGGGTTTTAAACTTGTATCCCTAACTGAAAGCTGTTTAAGATCATCCGATGTGTTTCATTAATTTCCATGAATCGCATTGGTAAAATTTTGTACAATATCTAATTTTCAGGCATGTTTGTTAAACTCTTGTAATTTCTCCAAAATTTAAGACGGAGAATAAATTATGGCATCAACCAAAGTTTTAGACCTTTCTCTATATCTACAACATGTGATAATATGAGTCTATTCATGCAAGTATTAAGGAAAATATAGCACGTTGCAGGGGATCACTGTTTTTTGGACCACCCTGTATATATAACATTTTTGATTTCACCTCCAAGGACCCTGACCTGTAGGACCTGAATAGGCAAAAAGAAGAACAGGCAAAATTATTAGATTAGAAATGATAATTTTAACATGGAAACAATGACATCATTCCTTCAAAGCAAGTGGACAAAATCACCTGTACACTGGTGATCCACTCGATTACGCTGTTTACCGAAACGGTTCGTTTTGGTCACAAAATGTCGGAACATGGAAGGTACGATTTTTCTCTTTTCCTTATTTCACACGTTGTAGGCAGAATTCCCACATCATGTCAGTATCATACGTTTAAGAAAATGTACATATTTGTGAACAAATAGTTCAGAAGACAATCAAATCGTCGATTTAATTCCTCACTTAAGTTACATAAACGGTTTTTCAAAAAACAGTTAAGATCTGCACTTTTAACCCAAACCATTTGTGTAACTTAAATGAGTAATTAAATCGACAATGCTGATGTCTTCTGAGCTATTTTTTCGCAAACATGTACATTTTTAAAACATATGATACTGATACACGTTTGTGAGAAAAAAAGTCGTGTGGATTTTGCCTACAACGCATGAAATAAGGAAAAAAGAAAAATCCTATCTTCGACGTTCCGACATTGAATTACCAAAACCAAACCCCTGTTCCCGGGAGGTTCACTGTATATAAGGCTTCACAGGGATCCTAGGCGCAAGTGGGGTACCTTTTTTTGACAGTTGGTCTGGCAATGGACCAAATTTTAGGATCTGGTATGAGAATCCCCCCCCCTCAAATTGTGAGATATGGTAATGGTTAGGTTTTACTGCTTACTGGTATGAGAATGGATGTGGAAAATATGTTATCTCTCCCTTTTGGTATGGCATTGGTCTAGGATATACAAATATCCTAATTTGAAGTTGTTTTGGATCGTTTTCTTCAAAGATCTGCCTTCTTCTTCAGTTTGATTATAAGCTTTTTCCCAGGGACATGAACTATTCTACTTTGAACAAATCATAGCTTGGATCAAGTCTCACAAGACTTTTGGCATGGCATTGGCCCTATATTTGGACATTTGGTATGGCATTGATCTTATATTTGGACATTTGTATGGCATTGATCTTATATTTGGACATTTGGTATGGCTTTTGGGCGATATGGTATACACATACCTTTTGATCCGTGGATCAACGACATCCATTGAACATTCATCAAGTAGATATGACTGACTGCCTGGTTGTGATGTACCCACAGATTGGAGCACTGAGCCTATACCAGACTTTTCTTGACTACTCGTGAATGAACTATTAGGAGAGAACAATTGAGGGAGAGTTGAAGGAGCTGTCAGACCCAGTTCTTCATAGATGCGTAGCATTAGCCTCGGAGATGTAGCCCCATAGCTGAAATAAGAGAATATTGTAAGCACTGTGTTGGGGAAACCAGCATTTGTGACATAAGTGCCTGCCCAGAGTCAGTTAGTTAAACCTGGCCAGCTAATTATTACAGCATGCTTATAGAGGAAAATAACATGACACCTAGTCGAGTAGTCACTGATAGAATACTAGATAATATAAAAAAGTCCTTATATAATAAAGCATCACTGCATGAATTAGTTCATTATTTTGCGTAATTATATTTCATGATAGCATGAAGGTAGTTGATCTCCATATACATGTAAAAGTATTATGCTTAGCCTAGACTTTCTCTTATAAACACACTTTAAGATATGAACCAGAAAGTAGAATATGCAAGACACAACTAGTATTTTGGTTTCAAGATTTTTCTTCGATTTGTGCTTTCTTTGTGTTTTCACCTCACACCCTCCCTGGCCCATATAGCCACTTACTTGTCAAGGAGCACATCTTGTACATAGTTTCCTATAAAGTTGGGGTCCTCCATAAATGAGACTGCTCTCAGCATAGTCACAATCTAATAACAGAAAACAGGGGGCAATTAGTAAAGATTCATATTCATATTTAGATCAAAATATTTTATGGTATGGGATTTTAATTAAAAACAACAAAAACAGATAAAACTAAAGGTAACTCCATCTTTAAAGAATCAAATAGGGGGGGGGGGGATAGACTTTTTGTTTGGATCTTTTTGTGCAAATAATTACAGCCCTATTTACTCTTATTTCATATGCACCTTTAACCAGAATTATATTTATAAAGCTTTCTATGATCCATAAGATAACTAATAATTATATTAGACCCGTTAATACGCGTTATTCTGGATCATATTTCAGTTTGCAAGTGTAAATTAATCCAACACATTATAACTTTGGTTTTCAAAGATAGCGGATAAAATTGATAATTCTACATTCTAAAATAAAAGATGCCAACCCCATCCACATTGAAATCAGAAGTTTGGAAAATACTTGGACTCTCAGATGATATTAGCTCATCGATATGTTGTATTTGTCCATTCAAATATTCAACAGGTTCATTTGGCATATTGGTGATCAAATGTTTTCCAAGTCCAAGGCCTGCAATTAGTCCTGTATGTTCAGCAGTCCATCTACACATTGGGTATATTAATACATGTATTTTAAATATTTCCACCAGTGTACAATCCCTGTTTTACAACTGATATATTAAAAGTAAAAGAACTTGATAATGCTGTCAATCTATCAGAAACACTATTTTTAAGTATATGACCCATGATCGGACACGGGAGGTGAAACCAGAGACCAGCCAGCCCACACCTGACCCAACTCTAGTGGGAATGAAACAGAGGTATGATTTGTATTAAAACAAAACGCATGTAAAATCAGAATATTTTAGTTACCTCATCAATGACATCTTCTGATGGTTCTTCATCTTCTGTAGTACTGGCAGCCTCCATCTCAATCAATAGCAATGTCTGCAACTGGTACCTGAAATTCAGAATATATAGTATAACATATGTACTGTACTAATATATGAAACACCCTCTACAAACCCAAATAGTTCTATGGAGATGGATTTTCCTTACAAAGAGTGACACGTATATGGAACACTCTTCAACTGATATATTGATTCTTAACATAAACTTCTTTAGTTTTTGTATTCCTTTTGTGATTCATTTTAACATGATTGAAATAGGAAGCTGAAGCAAAGTTTGAAAGCCTGAAGCTGGAAATTCCACCAAATAATAGAAGACTTTAATGTTGATATGGAGTACTCACTCAGTCTTTTTATTTGCTAGAGAAACATCATCAAAAGCTTTATTGTACTTGGTACGTATTGCCTTGCTGTCGAGACACAAGTTTGCAGCTAGTAGTTCTCTGCTTTTCTCCTAAATAAACATATACAAAAATACTGAACTGTGTACATTATAAATTAATAAAATCAAGACAATTAAGTAGACAAAAATGGATAAATGGTGAATGTAATTATCTAACACTGATTTAACGGCCAGAAAAATATTCATGTGAATTTTTGTGCAGCTTATCAAATGAAGGATTAGACTTTAAAGTTTTAATTTCTAGAATTCTGGCAGCAGGGAGAGTTGCCATTTTACCCAGAGGTTGTGCTGAGGGATGCAAAAAATTGCACACACAATGAAAACCAGTACTTTCTTGCTATTAGTCTATATATCATAAATTGTTTGTTTTGTCATAAAACCGTTTCTCACCAAAAAAAGAAATTTTGTCAAGAATTTTGTTTGATTTATAATGTGGTCTTATCATAGGATTTAAGAAAGATATTGACTAGAAAACTGGCTGAAGTGTATATGATGCGGTCAGTTGTGCTATTTTGTAAAAGGTGCACCGAGTACTGAGAAATGGGGAAGTTAATGCACACAACCATGCAGCTCTCTCTGGTACAAGGGTTATTACGATGGATAAATTCCATTAAAGTGAAAATCCCTGACATCATCCTTCATTCATCCTCCTACAAATTGTAATTAGGAGTAAGCAAATGAGGATAAATCATAAATGATTTTCACTGAATCATCACATGTAAAACTTACTGCTGGTTCATCAACAGTTTGTGACTTGAAGTAGTGTGATGTAACACTGACTGTACTCTGTGCAAACATCAAAGGGTTGCCCTTCTCAGCTAGTACAGTCTCATAGTTATGTCGAAGATAATCAATTAGTTCTGCCTCACTCTTGAACTCTGCAATCAACATTTAAATCAAACTATTGCACAATGCAATTTATGAAGGATTGTATAATTCATTGAATGTGTTTCTCATTCTCAAATCATTCCTCAACATTTTCTTAATAATTTTTTTTTAATATTTAACTTATTTTAATTTTAACCCTTTATTTAAATCCTTGTGAAAAGTTTTGAACCACTTTGGCCATCATGGTAATAACCTTGATAAAGAAAATTAATTGTGAATGATTTTTGGGAATGCAATATGACATAAATTAAATATATATAAGTGGTGGTTTGGAATAGATTGGGTCTAAATCAAAAGTAGTTAACCACTCACCAACACTGCAAACTTTACTCAGAGTGATCTTCTTTTCTTTTTTCTTCTCATTATCAACAGCTCTAATCTCATCTTCCTCCTTCTTTTTCTCCATTTCAAGCTCTTTCCTCCTCTCAATCTCCAGTCCCTTTGCCATGATTGCCTTGGCTCTTTCTCCCACCATACTAGGGGCCCTTGGTAGTCTTTCCTTGGACCCTGTGCGTTCCACTGTGACAATATTACAAGATTAAATCATGTTGGCTTATACTATAGTCTTTACCCAACATTATGAAGTTGAGATGTGTGTAATTCATTTTCAGTAGGTAGTTTTCTGAAACATTGTGATTTTTAGGACAAACTTTTACCTTATTTTCAAATACCCTTGTTCTAAACTCAATTCAAGAAGCAATAATTACAAAAAAAAAGTTTTCTTATGAATCAGAAATATGAAGAAAAAACCTTGTTACAATACCTCTAGTTTTGATTTCCCCACTGGACTTTTTGCGCATGTTATGAATGTCCATTGGCTTGTCTTTTTTACGGTAATAACTCTGTAATCTCTTCAATAGGGCGATCTCTTCTTTACTGCACTGTGGGCTGAAAATACGTAAACACTTGAAAATAATTCCATAATAATAATATAATAATCTATTTTAATGCTTTGGTCAAAATTTTCTTATTTCAAGTAATATGTTAAAATATGAAACAATAAAATAAGGCAAAAAAACAAGGCATTAACGTACAAAATGTGACCACCTGCCATTTGTTGCAGATGCCAACCACCAACCACCAACTGCTGAACATGGGCCACAAAAAAGTTAGAGATCATAACATTAAGTCAATGCAATTATGGTGGTGTCATAAAAATCTATTTTTCTTTTATAAAATAACTAAATCGTGCCATTCACTAAAATTATCACCTTTGCAGTTTGTCCATGCAGCATGTTGTTTTTATAAAGAAAAATATACAAGAAATACCTGTTTAATTTGTCCATGAGTGTTTTGCTGACAAGGGATTGTAGTGAAGGTTGGTACCAGGTATCCACCATACTCTCCCTAAAACTCATTCTACTGGGTTCCCCATCATCTGAAACAGAAACTAGTGTATCAGGAATTGTAAACATTGTACATTATAAATACTCAATAAATCCTGCTTTGAATCAAACCCCACCCCTTTCACACCCCACCTCCATCTTAAATTGCAGATTATTTGTAACTTAATATTGCTTCATAGTCATGTCTCTCAACATTCTCAAGATTTTTTCATTTGGATACAAAACTTAAGCAATTCTGACCAAGAAATACTCAATACTTAAAAACAAAAGATCAAATAACTAGAAATTTTCAAAATTCACAACAGGGTGTGTTTTCAACTAGATGCTGGTTAATTTTCAAATCATTTACTTGGTGCATTCTATCAGATGTATTCACCTTTGGATCTAGCCACACTAGGTTTCTTTTTCCCTTTCTCAATATGTCTCAGAGATTCTTCAACAAATTCTGTCATGCCTTTGTTTTTAGTACGCTGTCCTACTTTTAAAAGTGACTTCTCTAGGGGTAGTGTCTGCTCAAACATCATCACAGTTAGGGTTGCAGACACAGGGGTCAAAGGTCGCAAGATGCACGTCTTGGGGATATGAACAGGTGAGGTTATCAAATCTACTACCTGGAATCAGAAAATAATTTTATGGCCTCCAGGACTGTCAAGAGAATTTATTGGATATTTATTAACATACAGGGTGTCCATAAAATCTCTTTACAAGTACAATGCAAAGTTTGCGTAAAGTGTAAAGACTTTATCGACACCCTGCATAAAAATTAGTTCTAGAATATCCAAGATAAAATTCATTAGGTAAACCTAAATGCTCTTGATACATGTAAGTAGAGTACCAATCGCATAAACATTTATCATAATCACAATGTATACAAGGCTACTTTGGCAATAGCTTTTAGTAACAAAAATTACAATACTTGAGAAAATCAGCGGTTATATATCTTTTGACATGGCTGAAAGAAAAGCATAGAATAGTATTGTACCTGCAATTATCAATGTTCAACTTATTCTGATGAATGCAAAAGCATTGTAACTCCAGAAATGATAAAATTCCATAAGTCCGGGCTTTCTATCAACTTAGTCAAGATTAGTCTGCAAAAACCTGCAAAATGATTTACATACCATGTCAACTTGGCAGTAAGCTAATTGCTTGAGGAACTCCTGGAACGAGAACCTATCTGGTGAACGCTCATCCTTTAACTTCTCAACACAGCTATAAACTGTTGACCCAACCATATAGTCCAGGGGTACCTGGCTTGGTCTTATAGAGCCCCGTAATATCAACCTTGCTTGAGCATTTTCTGAGGTACTATTTTCTTTTTGGTGCTTTGGCTGCACTGTGTTTGGTTGGTTGTATGATGCTCTGGTTGAGTTTGGAGTCTTTGATTGTTTCCTTGGAGATTTTCTTGGAAGTGGTGTTATTTTTGATTCCCTGTAAAGAACATGATATTTATAACTATGAGAATTATGTCACTGTAAAACATAAATTCTGACTCATAAACGGATTATAGAACTCCAAATTTTAAAAGTATAGCTGTTTTTCTGGTTTGTGTATATCAGCATCATTATAATACCTTGATTCAATGACTTATGGCATATATAATATGACGTTTAAATTTATTCAACTGTACATGTTGCTTGTAATTTTGTCACCTCCATAGATCTGATTCTGCCTTTAATCATTGCCCATATTGCATAAGATACAATGTAATAATTTCTAAAAAGTGAATCCATTAATATTTACTACCTACAAATATCTTTGTTTATCACACATTTGTTTGATTGTGTTTGTACATGAGGAATACCGTTTTAGATACAATAAAAGCCATCTCTGGAGAGGTACTCAGGTATATAAACTGGTCATTTTTAAAAGAATTCACTTACTTGATAGTAATATCTTGTGAGGAAAGGTGCTGCTCATCCAAGATTGACTGTAGTTTCACACTGCACAGGAACTTGAAACATTTGCCTGAAACATATGCATTTACTAAATATGTACAGTATACAGATCAGAGCAGGCAATATTGATTTATTAATTATTTGACATGATATTTGATTTTTTAAATTTGGTTGTTGTAAGGTTGTTTTGATGTTCTAATTTGATCCCAATGGCATGTTAAAATTATCTAATAATTGTGCCTGTTGTTGCCTCGTTAAGAATGGAGTTACAGTGAAAATGGTATTTTGTTAAGCCAGTGTTAAAGGTCTATATGGATTTTTCATCACATTTCACTTTTAAAATGTTTTGCTACAAGCTACACCCCATTCTCTTACGACGCAGTATTTTCCGCTCGAGATTTGGAAGTACATGTACTCATTTATTTCAATGCTTTGACAGAATATGGTCCTTTCCCTTTCATAGAAACATTGACCATACCATGCAGATATACCTCTAGAATCACTACGTCTCGACATTTCGTCTGAACACAGTCTAGAACTTATCAGACCTTCGAGAAAGCAAAACAATTTATTGAAAAGAAATGATATCACCCGAAAATATAGATATTTAGGTTAACAATACAATTTTAACATATCATCCAGACACTTCAGTTTCCCAAATTAATTCTGGAAACTATGATGATTTTTGTGAAAAATGATACTTGTATAACGTCATAAACTTCCAGTGCTTTGACATATAAGAGAATGGGGTGTGTAAGCATGGGATCTACTGTACTTTTATGGGGAAGGGTGTCCAATAGTTCACAAACTGAGTAAGTGACTCATTGTCTGACACAATATGTTTTATAGACATGTAATATGTATGATAGAGAATAATATTTATAATTTAATGAATAAATATGCATGTAATATATAATGAAGCTTCATATTTTTCTTTTTTGTCTCTTTCAATGTTTTTTCTTACCTTGTTGAATCACAAGCTGACAATCATAACTCCCAGCAGTTTCAACTTGTTTGATATCTGTGTAATATTTTAGAATAGATCCATATGGTAGACACAACTCATCATGTTGACCTGATATTATGTCATCATCTAAGTCTGTGCTAACATATCCAAGATTTGAATCACTTAGGTTAGGATCTCCTTGTTCTAAGCTATTGCTGGAATCCTTGGCATTGAAGACTCTTTTTGAGACAATGGTCTGGCTTTCAGCATTAGTTGTTTTAGGGGATTGATGATTTTGTTGTATTTGTCTAAACAGGGGGTGTATATGTGTGATAGCTGTGGTACCGAGCTGCAAAAGACTTGTTATAGGGACTACACATCCACCTGTCTTCATCATTGCTTTGTTAACTAAGTCCATGCCTTCAAGCTCCTTGAAAACATAAAACAAATGAGACTAACATTTATCTAATTATATTCTTGATTAACCGGGAGCTCCATACGCAGCAGTCTAACCATAGTTTACCAAAATCATATGTTATTTGAGAAAATCTTGAAGCCTTGACAATTACAATCTACTTGTGTACTAGATTCAGGGCTCTCGCCAGGCTTTTAGGACTGTGGCGCAGCACCTAGTATGTATCCAACAGACTGACTAGAAGTCAGTCTGTTATGATGTACTACTTTCCTGTGGAAATTGCAGTGAAATTTTTTGCACAAAATTATCAATTAGAGGAATCATTTCTTCAATAAAATAAACATTACAAAATTTCAATGAAATAGTAAGGTACAATTAAAAGCAATAAAAAGTAACAAAGCATATTGTCAAGTGGAAATAAAGCTAGCTGAAGTAAAAATGTGCAAATTAATTTTACCCAATCGGCCATTTTGAATAGCACTTCCTATGTAAACAAATATTTAGTATTGCCAAACTTTAACATAGGTGCCTTATAGTCTGAATATAATTCAGACTAAATAGGATATAGTCTAGCGCAGCACCACAGTCTATTTAGCTCCCACTACAGCCTATTGGTTAATCATGATTGTTTTCATAGTCTAAACTTCACTTGAATACACAACAATAGCATGTTAAAAAGGATAAAATATATAAATATGATTAATCACAACTGAACTGTAATGTAAGATGTTTCTATCACACCCTTAATATTTTCTGCTGAGAGCCCTGAGAATCAAACAGAACTATTGGATACAGATAATAAGAAATGTACAATGTATTTACCGATATGACACTCTTGTTGATCTGAGAATCAGCCGACATGTCAACATACAATAGCTTCACTCTAACACCATTCAGTTCTCGTGCGATTTTTGGCAAAATAATTGAATCAATAATAAGATCTGAAGATGTTGCATCAAAATCCTCCTTTTCCTCATATCCTAGAAAAAGTTGCAACTGATGCAAAGAATGTGGACATGTTGTAAATATTACAACAATATTATTGTCATGGTCCGTCGCTTTTACTTTTCCCTTGCAAAGTAATGACTTTACCGGTGATGTTATACTTGGTCGATTCCATTCAAACTCAGTTGGAATTTGTTTTAGTTGGTCCTCCAGTTGCCTGACTACTAAACTTGACATAACTTCTTCAGCTGATGTCGGCATTGCCATTTTTGCTCGTTCCTGCTCAATGAGTAAGTGTTCATGTTCGTTCTGTATCCGAGACTCAACTGATATTTCAAAGTCCTCATATAACTTAGTCGTAAACTGTGAGAAATTTTGCTTTTGGAGAAATTCCTCTGTGCTGCTGTTGAAGAATTTATAAGCCCATTTCAGAGTATCAAAATTGTTTTGTTGATTTTTGTGTGAAAAATAGGTCAACAATTTCAAAGTGCTCAAACTTATTAGATTTGCTGCTCTCTCATGAGGAAACTTGCCAGAAGTTGCCTGTCTACCTCCTCTAACGTCTATCAACAACAGTAGTTTATTCACTGATTGTAAGGTATCCATATTTGCAGAAATTATTATTATTATACTTTTAAATTACCGCTGCCATTTTAAAACATCTTCCCAGAATCCTTTTAAGCCCATTGCGCATGCTCAGTGAGAATTTTACCCGCCATATATGTAAATGAGACGAAACTGAAAGTTAAACGTAAATAAACAATATTGTAATATCTACAACTCATGTGTTTTGCATCCGTCCCAAAATTATACCATGTAGGTCTCTTTCTCTTTATACAACCAATAGATTACTGGGGTGTCGTACCTCGGATGAACCATAGGTATTTGTAATACGACAAAGTATATTAAAACTGATCAATGACTGATAATGACGTCACTGGGGTAGCCCGGAAATCGAGAAATGGCTGCTGAGGATGTGGTTGCTAAAAAATATGCTAGTGGCATATTAGTCGGAATTATAATAATCTACTTAGCCAAAAAGTATGGTAAACAATATTTAATAAATCTATATAGACTCGTGTATGCATGGATACTAAACAGATTTGGAAATCGTTATTCAAAACTCATGAAAAAATTCAAAGAAGAACTTTTATCTGACATTGGGAATATTGTAAAAACAGAACCTTTAGAAATACTAGAGATAGGAGCTGGAGGAGGGCAGAACTTCAAATTTTTCCCGAGAGGAAGTCATGTTACATGTGTGGATCCTAATCCATTTTTTGACGAATATTTAAAGAAGAACCTTGACATTTTTCCTCATGTAAAATTGAACAAGTTTATAGTTGCGCCTGCTGAGGACATGTCACAAGTACCAGATGAGAGCATTGACATTGTTGTGTGTACACTAGTACTTTGTAGCGTAGATAACCAGGCCAAAGTCTTCTCAGAGATACTGAGAATACTTAAGAAAGTAAGTTTTATCATGTGTTTTTATCATTTTGTATGATAATTTATAGATGTATACAGTATATGATCCGACATTAGAGATTGCATGAAGTATAAGGGGCGAATATAGTATGAACCCAATTTGGGTACTGGTGGAACAAAAACATTTTTGATATATTCCTATACCTGCACATGTTTTTTTCTGGTACAATATAAAGTATGAAGGCTTGTATGTATTTCCTTGCTTTTTTCAGGAAAGTATCATTACATTGTCTTCTTTTAATAGGCCTATATCTGCATGGGCATAGCCCAGGGGGTTCACTGTACGTAAACCTTGACGGGGATCCTCGGTGCACATGGGGTACCTTTTTGGACATTTGGTATGGCAATGGACCCAAATTTTAGGATGTGGTATGAGAATGCCCCCTCATTAAACTTTTGAGGGATGGAAATGGTCAGATTTTTCAACTTTCTGGTATGAGAATGGTCATGGAAAATATGTTATCTCACAATTATGCTATGGAATTGGTCTAGTAGTTACACATACAGTATCCTAATATGAGGTTGTTTTGGTTCATTTTCCTCAAAGATCGCCTTCTTCTTGGGACCTTCTTCAGTTTAGATAAATAGCTTTTTTCCCAGGAAATATTCTACTTTGGACCAGTCATGGCATTGGTATGGCATTGGTCCTATATTTTGACATTTGGTATGGCATTGGTTTCATATTTGGGCATTTGGGATGGCTTTTGGGCACTATATCGGTTGGTATGGGAACACATTCAAATTTGACATTTTGGTATGGGAATATATTGATATCTGAGGGTTCAGCCTAGGACCCCTGCCAAATTTTGTACACAGTGAACCCCCCCGGGGGCATAGACAGCTTTCAGTCAAGGGGGGGGGGTGCAATCATTGCATATGCCAGCTAAAAAAAATTTAAGATTTGTTTTGAATTCTACAAAAAAATGATGTAACTTCCTTCAAAATTGAGCTAGAAGCTTTAAGTAAAAAGCACTCTAAAGCTCTTTTCTTTTTTATATAATGGTTTCATTTTTATTTGTTATGGGAGGGATGCGTTCACAGCCCCTTGCTACGCCCATGATCTGGTAAGAGGTCAATGGTAATCAAGTGTTTTTGAGAAATTTTGGAAACTTGAAAAGGCAGCCATTTTCTTAAAATATCAGCATTTCTTGGAGTTACCATTGACCAGGCTTCCTAAAAGAAGACAATGTAATGATGCTTTCCTGAAAAAAGCAAGGAAATACACACATGCTTTCATACTTTATTTTGCAGGTATAGACATTTTTTCAAAAATGTTTTCGTTCTGCCAGTGCCTTAACCCAGTGATGTAATGCTAATATGTTCTGTATAAATTAATAAATAAGTATAAAGTAATTCTGCATATGTATTATGTAATGTTATGATATATGTTTATTTCCAGGGTGGAAAGTTCTACTATCTTGAACATGTTGCTGCAGCTAGAAATACTTGGATAAGAAAACTACAAGATTTTTTAAGTGGGATTTGGTGGTTCATTAGTGATGGCTGTACTCTCAATCAAGAACCATGGATTATCTTAGAAAAATCTGGATTTTCCAAAAATGATCACAAACAATTTTACTCTCCTATTAAAATGAAATTATTAGCTCCTCATTTTATGGGCTGCTCAACAAAATAGATCACTATGTGGTTGATGCACCATCATTTTTAATGTGCATGTTAGGAATACAACATTCCAGAATATGACTTGATCCAACAGGTGACAGTGACAGCTTTTAATATAATGGCATACATAAACAGCACCAGTTACTTGATACTTAAAATTCATTTAGTTAGTCTTTAAAAGTTTAAAAACAAAATAGCTCATGTTGTGAGCAATATACAAGTTGTGCCATTGAAATATTTATTTGATGTACAATGATGTATGTCAGCTTGGAAATAGGCCAAACAGCTTTCAAAAGATATAATTTGAAACTGACAACAAAAGTTACCATATACAGGGTGACCTGGATATCATTCTCAGTTATAGTGGAATCTTAAATGTTCTTGGTCAGATAGGGTGTGCAATGTTTTAAACAGTGATGTACCTTTTTGGGGTGTTTTGTGTCACCCTGTAGTAATGAGAAACTACTGCACCAATAAGGGGTTGTGACAAAATGTAAGTTTACATTTTGATCTAACAAAGATGTAGCCCAAATCTACCTCAATACAAGAATCAATTTATCATTTTGTTCTTTGTGCAATGTTCGTTGTTGGAGCAAAATAATTTTTACAAGTCATGCTTTTTAGTTTGATTTATTCTATTTTGACTTTTAGTACCAAAGATAAAAGTTACAGAATGGCAATGGTTTACAATTTGTAACAGTACAATTATGAGACAGTGTAACTTGTAAAAATTTTATTCCATATATGTACAGTTATGCTGTATTCTTTACATAATAAAATCAACTACATGTACATGTATATTATAATTGCATTATTATACAATAAAGTTGACATTGCTTATAAAACAAATGATGTAAATATTTTTCAATGTCCATCAAATCTGAAGCAGGCTCTGAATCATTCTTTGAAACCGTTAACGATCTTAAGATAAGTAATGTCAATCAAACCTGAAATCTTATGACTCTAATATGGTTTCCTTGAATGATTCAGAGTCATTATAGCAAAGATGAAAAAGTTGAAGGTTTTTGAAACTTTCGATGAAAAATTACAGTTACTCTCTACTATTAACAAAGTTGTTGATTTTCTTTCTCAGAGATATTTCTTTTTCTTTTTAACGTTTCGTAGGATGTCCATCCTACTTCTTCAGAAATAAAATTATATTTGAATCAAACTGAAATAATTAATTATTACATAACAATGAGACAAATAGCAACCGTTACTATAGAAAACTTCATTGATGTTACAATTAAAAGATTATTAAATATCTCTGAGAAAGAAAATCAACAACTTTGTTAATAGTACATTACTACCAGAGAGATGAACATTCATAGAAGTTACTCTCTAATTTTTGTCAAATCCTATCAGCATTGGAGCTACATTATAAAAATTAACCCTGCTTTTACTGATTCAATTATCTAATTTGTACAAATCTGGCCTATACAGTGACAGACTAGCTAGTAGATTACACTAAAATTCAATTCCTTTTTGCTTGAGCAAGGGAGTTTCAGTACTCTAAGAAAGATGGCAGTGTCTTCATTTTTGATTTCTTGAGTTTACATCAAGGAGGATTGGCTCCCAGAGTGCACCACCGATATTCTGTCCCATATATGGGTATGTCGTAATACAAAATTCGAATTCAAACAGCCGCCATTTTGTTCACTTCAACATTTAAATCGTGAATTTTGGTCTTATTTCCAAACGAAAAATTCCAAAACTCACAAGAAACGATCGAGATATTGGTTCGAATCTTTTGAACTGTTTATTTTGAATTTATAGTCGGTTTTAATTTCAGAAAATAACGACATTTCGACGTTTTCATTGTTGGAAAATATCGAGTTTCGATCCTGGGAGCCAATCCTCCTTGAGTTTACATGTTCATACAGAATGGACATTTGCTTTTATGACATTGGTATTTTGGTTACAAATACCAAAACCATGACTATTTGTATTTTTAAAAGAACAATTTGCATGCAAAAGTAGCAGGAAATATCCTCTTTAGATCTTGAAGGTATTGGCAATGATTTAAGTTTTTTGATTAAAAAAATAGGATTCCTCGATTAGAAGGATATGTGAGACAGACTGATATGATTTTGCAGGTGAACAATGGCACTGGGAGACAAGGTCTTAAATCAGAACTGAAAAGTGGTGAAATGTGCAATTTTGATAGTAAATTATTTAAGAATTTAACCGTGCTAAATCATTCCATTGAAGGTGTTGTTTCCAGATCTTTGCATGACTGCGCAGCGGGAACACAATAATCAGGAAACAACGCCTGAGTGGAATGAAGCAGCCACAATGCATTAAATCTTGGGCTTGAATTGTTTTCACACATTGCAAAATATTTTCTACAAAAATCACCTAAAGGATGCAAAATCACTAAAAGAACATATCTACAATGAAACTTTTTGTAATGGTCAAGTTGGCAAAGCATCAATTTCAATCTCATCACCTTGACAACCACACTGGTGATCCACTTGATTACTGAAACAGTTCGTTTTGGTAACAAAATGTAGCAACCTCAAAGGTACAATTAAAATTTTTACCTTATTTCACTCATCGTACACAGAATTCCCATGACATTTTTATCACAAACATGTGTCAATATCATATGTTTAAGAAAATGTACATGTTATGTTTGCGAACAAATAGTTCAGAAGACACTGAATTGTCGATTTAATACCTAACTATTGTTATGCAAACGGAATGGGTTAGAAGTACAGATCTTAACCGTTTTTTAAGTTCCGTTTACATAACAAAAGTGAGGTATTACCACAACGATTCTGTTGCCATCTGAACTATTTGTTTGCAAACATGTGCATTTTCTTAGACATCGACATATGATAATGATACATGTTTGTGGAAAAAAAGTCATTTGCATATACTTTGATGTTTTTATATTAAGGGAAAGATAGCTGGCAAGTTATTCTAGGGATATCATGATTTTAACATTTTGAGATAAGTTGTCAAATTCTGATACAATTAATTAAGTTTCATTAGGGGGTCATTTTGACATATTTGGTTATAACTTTCAATCCCAGAAGCTTTGTTTTCTCTAATGGTTGGAGATTCCACAATCTTTTTTAATTTTAACAAAAATTAAGAAGCATTGGAGATGTGTCAGAATTTTGGTGTCAAAATTACCCCAATGTTGAAATTAGTTTCTCTATGGATGACAGTAAGTCACGTTTTTTTATAAAATTTTTAACGAATTTTACTTCATTCCAAATTCCCACCAATTAATATGACGTAATATTGTTTCTATTTAATTGTTTTGTAGCCCGTCAGTCCAGTTTATATACAGTTGAAAAAGGATCCAGACAGGATCCGGAATGTCCTGTTTAGGAAAAATAAAATAAAGGTTGTGAAAAGAAAAAATAGTTTTGTGATTTAATTATCCAACCTGAAGAACATGTTTAAGAATATATGGAAACTCCTCTTTTGCACATGGGCTTGTATGGAAGATTTGTGAGAGGCCTATTGTGTTCTAAGCTCCCTTATAATAATCTTCCATTGGTTTATGTTGCTTGCAATTTGTCATTTTAAGAGATTCCACTTTCAATAAAAATTAATCTTATTTAATTATGTTAAATCAATGCATCCACCATAGTAAAGGGCTTCATAATGTGAAAATGTCCACTTATTGCATTCATATTGAATTTATTATCATGAAACATATAATAGTAACATAACATAAAATTAAACTATCTGAATCAACTTTATTATCAATAAATAGCAATAATAATTTATAGTTATTACATTTGTAATATTTAGGGCAATATATTAATTGTGAATAACATGCATTGTGGAGACAGATTTATTATCAAATATTTCTTTTAAACTAAACTAATATGAAAATCTTGAACCTAGTGCTTCTTTACATAAAGGTAGAAGAACTTGAATGCAGTCCAGTGGTTCTCCAAATAATTCACATTTTCAAAGATAGATGGTTCTATTGTACATCAGCGCTTATACTATCTCTATGGGCAAGACAAAAATGCCAATGTGTTTTTACTACAATACATTTAAATTTCATTTTACAATGCTTTCATTCAATATAATCAGTATAAATGAGTATTTTCTCATGGTTTTGTTTGAATTTGGCTCAACACACTATCTCTACGAACTACAATTTTCTCAGCCAGATGCCTATATGACAGGGACTATTACTGAATGGACCTTTTTTAATAGAGTATCTGGGATGTCTTGTGAACACTGTGAATACCCTTCATAGGTGTCTTACTCTTGCATTGCCTCAGTGTTGCCCCATTGTCAACCCAATACAGGGTGGGATAATAGATATGGGAAGTGACCAGAGACTTGGTGCAACACAGAGGCTTCTAAATTCCTATACATGCTACATGCCTATTATGATGGCTTTGTGATTAGTGTTGTATATTACCAACAGTTCTAAGGCCCTCACAAATTAAATGTCTGTTCAGTGTTGCCTTCTAAGGCATCCAAAACCTCACTCATCAAAGTTTTTTTCTCCCATTCCCCTAATTTTCATTCATAATGACATGTATTTCTGCAATTAAGAGAAAATAACAAATCAAACACAGGGCCTTCTTTTTAAAAATAATTCCCACTAAACAAACAATTAAGATGTAGCGGTCTGAAGCCAATTATTAATCGTCTTTGTCATTCTCGAGAGATTTCTCCTTGCATGTTGACATCACTTCCAAGACAATTGGCATCAAAGGACACCTCTTCCCAATCCCAGTCAACCAATCACCTTCTAGAATCAAATGATAGAACACAGAGTGATCTGATGGATTCTGGGACTGATAAACTACTTTAGATATGAATCGTCTGGATGAATTGCAAAGTGAATATTGGTCATTAAAAATGTATGCTCATATGACTTAATTGGTGAGATCACAATAAAATCATAATATACTGGCTGTGATGCATTTTCTATTTTCTCTCACAACATTAGGGAAAACATAAACTTTAAATGTACATGTACCCTTTGAATAAAAATGTGGTTATTCATTTGGAAGGTTTCAAAACTTTTTTGCCAGAAAACATAATATGACACTGTAATTGTATTGCAAAAACACCTAATCAAACACCATATATAAAATAAATAAAAAAGATCTATGCTCTAGGGCTATGGACACAATCATGATCACTTATGCCCATATAAAACTTCCTACACCCCTCCCATCTGTTATCATAATGATTATACAATTTGTATAAGTAAAACACATACATTCTAGTTTCGACCTAGTTATTGAAACTATTGAAACATTGCATAAATGAATTGCTTCTAGGACTGGCTACGTACATAATCTTGTATGTATCTATTAGAACACGCAACATGAAAATTATGGTACATCTTTTGACTAGTGCTTTACACTCTTTTCATTTGACACTTAACCTTTTTGTAACCATGTTGTCTCAGATAAAGATCTTGTCATAAAACAGTAAATTTAACAATAATGTATACTGCATACAAATGGCACAAATATGAACCTATTGCATGGATGCAGATTACAGCCACATGCTGCCTTATTCAAAATTCATTTATGGTTTTTAATTCTACAACATTATCTGTATAAAATACAGGGTATCAAAAAACAATGGCTAGATCTCACTTCATTTTATCCTAGCTATTTTTTATAAATCACTATACTTTGCTAAAATGTGCATTATGACAAAAACTATTGGCAACATAGTTACATAGGTTTCGAATATACATCTTATCTTTCTAACTTACATAGCGCTAACATAGCATACAACCTGTACAGTATTATGCTACCATACATCTTACACATTCCGTTATCATAAAAATTCATGCATGCATTTTTCTGTACTATTGGCACGTTACATACTGTTAAATAAAATCTTGAAATAAACTGACGAAAAGTATTGCAATTCATAATAATACTGAGACACTTGAACTGTACATCACTAAGAGTGCTTGGGACTAAAAAGTGCGGAAAATAACAAAACGTAAAATTTTGTACTTGAGTAACAAATAATAATGTCTGTAGCGATGGTTTTGCTACTTGGCACTGTAGGTTCTACAGATTTTTTTTATGTGGAGATCATATATATGTTATACCATATAATAATATTTTGTACATTTGTAAATTGAATTGTTATACATATAAGATATAATAAATATGAAAAATTTGTTCTGTATTGCACTATAGTTGTAGCAGCAGTGGTATATCAATGACAGTATTTATATACATGAAATATTTTACACATGATGATAAAGATGAGATGAGATTTCCCAATGCAGAGTCTCCAGAGAAAAGTGCATTAAGCAACTAGACTTCAATCTCACCCTGTATTTATAAAAGTCTCAATATAACCTGAAATGTATTATATCATTAATAGCACTCTGTTACAATTTATAGATTCATAATATTCCCTGAATATATATATCCACCACATGCTGGCAAACCTCAAGACTAAAGCACAAGCTATTTCATTAAATCTACAGGGTGACCAAAATAAGAGGAACTCCATACCTTAAATGTATTATTTTATGTTTACATTATGTAGTACGAAAACCATCACCATGTAGGCTATATAGGCATATTACTTTAATAGCTTATATAGACTTTTATATCTCCAAAATGAAGTAATATACATTAAATAAATACTAGTATTTCAATAAATTAGCTAATCTAGCCTAAATCATTTGTAACCACATGGAAATGCTATTTCTGACCTTATCGTTGATGTAAAATATTTGTCAGTTAAACAACCCATGTGGTCATAAATCTTTTCTCAATCAGTCCTATTTACAGCTTAATAACTATATGAAATTGAATGTTAGAACATATAAATTAAATAATAAGTTACATACACACGTATCATTCATACATAAATGATATGTTCTTATAAATATATTAATTTCAAATTCACTTCACAACTTTCATTGCATATTTGGTTATCACGTTCCAGCAACAATAATAAATACAATTAACATAATTTACAATTTTAATTCAAACCTAATTAATTTTTGTTTTTCTTTTAACATTTTAGAAAGAAACTGTACATTTGTATAATATTTTCAGGCCATCAGGATTTCAATATTTGTTCAGCATTTCCACCCTGGTATAACCAAGGAAAAAAGTAATGTTAAACAACTGCAATTCAAAATGGCCTTAAAAGTTGCAAACAAAAGTACATGTAAATTTTTTGAAAACAAGATATTCAATTCCCATTATGATCTAGAATTTACACACTGAATATCTATAATTTATTTACTACAAAATTTTTGTGGTTTGTCATTCATTCTACAGTACTGTTCATGGATTTCGATAGGTTTATCTGTGAAGATTAAGTGAGGTCATTGAACAATTGATGATGTCACAGGATTTAAGCAATCCCATTTGTTCCATGGCCCAGCAAATGCCTGTGGAGATTTTCATTTTGGCTGTGACGATTGCGACTTTTACGTGTAGAAAACTTTTTTTCACAACCGCCGATATTGCATGCAAACATTTCCTTTGGGTGAATATTTTCATAATGCTCTTTGAGTGCTAGATTATCCCTGAAGTTCTGACTACATAGGTGACATTTCACTGTCCCCTCATTTTCTCCCTTACTCTCTTCCGATTCTGACTGGTTTTCACTGTCTATGTGTTCATGATGTTTTATTTCATTATTCTCACTATCACAGTTAGGTTCTTTGGACATATCAATGGGGCCTTCATCATCGCCATATCCATTACCATTCCTGCTGCTACTGGTGTCGTCACCTCTGTAAATCTTACTGAGGAACTCTTCACGCAAGCTCTGTGGAGACTGGTTCTCATGGTTACTATCAGGGGTGTCCTGAGGGAGGGTAGTTGAGAGCAGTTTACGGTGCAGGTTTAAGTTATTGCTATGACGATTGCGGCTCCGGCGTGATGGGAAAGCTGCATTACAACCCTCTATGTTACACATGTGCATCAACTTCAGGTGCACATTCTGGTAATGTACTTTCACTCCGAAATGGTTCTGGAAAAGCTTACCGCAAGCTGTACACTTGCAGGGGTTATCTTGATCTAGAGGGATATCAGTGTCTGATGAGTTACCGTTCAATTTGCCTGAGTCGTCAGAAGCACTAGAATCTTCATCTAAATCTGAATGCATCTCTGTGTCTGAGGTAGCGGCCTGTTCAGGGTTAGCCCCTGTGTGTTTTATCTCACTGTCAAGCTGTTCAAGAGCCATATTCATGTGCTCAATGGCTGTCTCTTCTATAGCTTTGAACTGGTTTCCATGGAGGCCATCATTACTATTGGGGCTATTGTTACTAATGTGTCTATCATTACCATGGGGACTTTTGGTAGTCTGGAGACTGTTGTTGCCATGGGGACTATTGCTACCTGAAAGTTTGCTGTCTGTTGGTGAGTGACTGGGTGTGAAGTTTGTGCGTGGTTTAAGCGAAAGGTCCTCGCCCTCATCTTCACTCATCACAAACAGTTCACGGTCATCTGTCTGTGCCACACGAATTGGTGCTGCACTTTTCCTTTTTCGTCGACTAGATCCACTGGACACTGGAGGTAGATCAACTGGCTTTTCATTGGTAGCTTCTTTAATAGGTTCAGTAGGCTCATTTGTAGGTTTGTCATCCTGCTCCAATTTAATACGCTTAGTTGGCATTAATGTAAGTTGATTGTTAGAATCCACATAGAACGCTTGATCTCCCATCATCAGGTCCCCGTGACCTTCAGACAGGGCCTTAGATTTTGCATCAGACTGGTTGCCCTGGGAGGAGGGGGATTGGTACACTAGAGAAGACATCATGGGGTTGTCAAACTTTGGTGTCTCGCTAGTGACGCTTCCTGTCGCACTTGAACTGTCACTCTTTTCATCCTGGTCAATCTTACGTTTGGTCTGAGGCATATGGAGCTTAGGGTTTGGATTTGCACTGTGTCGGTTTCGACTGCGACGAGAGCTGAACATCATATTACAACCATCAACAGAACATTTATGCATCTCTTTCAAATGCACAGCACTATAATGAATCTTCAGGGCTCCTTTATCACAAAATGTTTTATTGCATGCGGTACATATGACACGCTTCTTGCCTTGAGAAGATATCAGTGTGCCACCATAGGCGATACTTGGGCTAAAGCTTCTCTTAGGAGCACTCACAGCTGTTTTTCTCAAAGCTCGCAGTTTCCGGTCTGCATACGGGGAACTTGATGCTTGATGTCCATGAGTGGAGTAGTTGATGGCCTCTGTTTCAGTGTCCCCATGAAGAACAGCTGGGGAAATTGAGAAATCATGAGGATTGTAGCTGGATGGTGTCGTAATGAGCTCCATAGCTCTCTCAGCCAAGGCAGGTTTGCTTGGTATAGGGGCAAGAGGGGGAGGAGGGGGAGGCACCGAAATTGGACTACTGATATTGAGATTCAAAGGACTTTTAGTTGGCGTAGACGGAGTTACTTGCGAAATTTTATCGCTACTGGAGGCAGGACTGATTGCAGGGCTACTCCGGTCTGGGTTAGTACGATAATCGAATGGTTGCATGGTTTGAAGTCTGCCTAGTGGAGACCCATTGACAGGACTCGGGGTCTGAACTGGCAAGGTCATGCGGTCTCGGGACGATTCCCGGCTGGAAGCATTAGGAGAATAGTGCTGCAATGATGTTGGACTGACGATACGTCCCCCTTCCCGAGGGGAAGAGAAGCTGGGAGGTTTCCCAGGACTGTTGAGGATATACCTTGCAGGGTCAAATGTTGACCTAGCTAGGCTTTGCATAGAGAGATTGCTGCGTTCTATAAACTTCTTGATATCTGACTCTGCTCTGGAGGTTGGCCGGGAATAAAGATCTTGACGCTCTCGCGATTCCTGAAATAACACAATTGTTTTGTAACTGAATATTCATCAAGATAATTATTGCTTCAATTGAGTATTAATTGACACAATTGTTTCTATTAAGTATTTATAACATGATTGTTTCTTATAGTATTTATCATGCCTTTGCTCCAATTCAGTGTCAATCAACACATTGTTGAATATTTTTTTATGTATAATAAACAGTACCTAATAAACAGTATTGTATTCTTAAAACTTAATTTATATTTGATTTGAGATTGGCAAATATATTTAATCAAGTTGTGACTTTTTTACTTCTTCTCTTACTTGTAAAATAATTTCCTGGGCAATGGCCTTTGTCTCTCCAAAGCGTAAAAATTGTTGTAAGATGATAGCCTCCTCATCTTTTGTTGTAATGGACCACTTATCTAAAACATTGCCACCTTTCTCCTGGAACATACAAAACAACATATTATTTCCTATTTACTATGACAAATAAAGTGAATTAAGACAATGTTTATAATGCTTATTCTAATTTCTTTAAGTGGTGATTGCTGAACAATTTAAAACATATTTATATATTCAGTTGGTAAAACCACGGGCTATCAAGACCTCTCTTGAAACCCCATGGTAAAACCATGTCTATCAGGAATATGTAAATTGTTTTGGAAATAAAGTGTTATATTTAATTAATGAGGCAAAATTTGATTTTTACTTTTATTAAATTATACATGAAAAAATGAATTTGAGATCACCTGAAAATTTAAACAGATTCCTGTACATGTAATTAATTTAAACTCTCCCAAGAAAGAACTTTCAATCTACAATTCGACCTCAGCACATGGACAGTGCTATTTATTAATTTAATTTATGACATTTCAATGAAACATTCACCTGCTGTATTTTCTAATGTGATAGTAATAATGCTTACTGACAACTGGTGACATTACTACAACAGAATAGGTAGATAATCATTCTACAATTAATGACACTATTATATCTAATATACCAGGATATCATATACAACTCTAGCAAAACATTTGATATCATTCATTATTATCAATTGTACTTATTCTTATCTTTTTCAAACTACTTTTCTTACATTTTTATACAAAGTTGGTTATTGACAATTAATATGAAGATTTCTGTCCTTTCTGATTCCCCTCTTTGTGAGCATTAAATGAGAAATGTTGAGGTCGGAGTAACATTGAGTTGTATGAGATTAGTGCATTCCCAGGAGTCTAGGTGTGCTATGTTCAAACAATGTCTTTCTCATTCATTAACCAAAAACATGTTATTGTCATTTAGATATAAAAAGACAACCTGCTTCATATGATTTTTGATTGACGTAAACTACTATGATATCCTATGTGACTGTCCCGAGAGCCTCACATATTACGATTCAGTAGTAGGTTTTCTGCTTACTGTCATCATTATCACGATAGCTTTTGTCATTTTACACGATGATGTCACATATTTATGGATGATACATGATGTGCCTACTAATGTACGTCTCTTATGACAGATACTATAATATAGTGAAGCATTTCAGTGACAAAGTATAATGAACCATTTACAAAATTGCTTTGCTATTAATGGGATGACGATTTATCTATAAACCTGGTAAAATAGTTGAATCACTAGCGGGTGCTTAGAACTCTACTGTCTGATCAATAAACATTTTTCAGAAATATTTTTTACTGAGCTCATTTGTTCTAATAACAAAATTCGCTTCAGTTCTATGTGGAATAAGACCAGTTAGTGAATAGTTTGATTTTACTGCCTTAAAAGAGAGCTTCATCAAGTGATCACTTGTAATCAGTTAGGGTGCTGGTCGCAAGTGGCCATTAGATAATCTTTCTAAAAAATATTTTCAACTTGTGTTATAGTGACTGGAAATTTAAGTATGGTTAGAATTAATTTTTTGAATCTAATAGAATAAATATTACTGATCTTGTTAATTTGGGAGAAATATTTTGGTCAAGAGTAAAAAGTTAACCTCCCTTTCTTCCCAAAAATGTAATGTTTTTTTTAAAAACTTTGTATTATTACTCTCTTTTTTACTGAATTTAAACAAAACCACCCTGACCTACTCCTCACCAACTCATGGGCATATGTCTAACATACTCTGTCATACTATGAGCTGTCTCCTGGGAGGAATTAGTGACACCACAGAAATCATGTTAATGTTTTACAATGAGTCTGCTCCTAATAAGCCAACACACATATCAAATTGTGTCATGATATCGTACTATTCATGTCACATTTTATTTATTTTGTGACGTTACTTCTCTATATCTTTATGAAAACAATGCAATCACTTCTGAATTAACAATATAAAAAATAAAACGTTCACCTATATGCTAAAAGACTGATTATAATATACTCTCCTACTTTAATTTTCTGTCTGCTAAGTAAAAAGTAATACCCTAAGTTTGATCATCAAAATGGCTTGATTATGAAAATTAAATATTTTGATATTTAGACAATGTTCTGTCACAGTACAAGTCAAAATAGATTAAATTGTTAATAAACATGAATAATAATTTGCTTGGGACCATAGAAAGTCCCCAAAGGTTATTTATCTGCAAATTTATTAGAATTCGCTGGAAAAGGACTCAATGACAGGACTTTTATTGTTTATTACCAAAGTGAAAGAAAACCCCTAAAATCCCCAAATCAGACATTTAATTTCTAAGGGCCTAATGATCTGAGGCTCAGAAGAAATACAAAAAATTACATGTCACAAAGCTAATACGATATCTCTTGTTTTATTTCCTGAGCAATCTTTGACAATTTCCTGTCATTGGCTTCAATGTATAAATTGCCATAGAATAATGTTCTATGTCTAATCTGTAGTAATTGCTTCATGCAATTACAGCCATCAACTTGTCATATGTAAAAACTGAAACATATGACATATTCCACATGATAATTCAGAATATATTTGTTATATTCTATTGTTAGGATACAACCTTGTGTATCTTCTTGAACAGGAGGTACAAGTTACACTCCCAAAACTTGACAACGTGGGGTCTTCATTTGGATCATGTATTGAAGCCAGTGTATATGTTTGGGAATTTTGACAAATTCATCAGACTTTCTGTCATAAAATTGCCAAACATAAACTATAGCCATTACGAATCTAATAGAAAGCTCTATTTGACAAACTTATGGAGAGGTTTAATAGTTGGAAATAAGAGGCAACAAAATATTCAGATGATCACTTCAAATTCTGGAATCCATTTCACTCAATTTAGATTATACATGTCCTCAGTTCCTCCAATGAAAATGTAAGATGACATCAACTTGGGTTACGGTTCGGAGATTTCATGATTGAAATACAACTGGTAAGCGGGTATGAGAGAGAATGGGCTCATATATATTCCTTTTATTCTTATCACAAAACAGTTAGAATAATTTACTGGATGAACATTTTAATATCTGTTGTATGGCTATATACATGTACATGTATATATGACAGGCCTCATCAAACAACCTTAACAAATTCATTAACAAAGAAATACATACACAGTAAAACAGTCAATACCATAACATTGTTTATTACTTGCAATAAAACTATACTTATGGATTTCAAAACCATTTGAGGACACACCACACATAGCTGACCATTGGCCATACAATTAAAATATCCCCATCTAATCGAGTCAAATGAGATTCTAGAAACACAGACATTTATCTGTGATTTGAGACATTGAGGTTTATCGAAATTGTCTGTGCAATCGGAGGATTGATACCATGTGACAGTTCAGCTCACGATGGGGCACTAAATCAGCTCAATAAATTGCACATTATGCCCACTTTGCTGGATTTATCGCAGTCCTGTACCAACTCAACATAGATAGGACTACTAATCATCATTTTGATGTTTGCTACATTCAGCCTTTATATTGATGGCTTTTGACAACCATGGAAGTGTTCTGGAGAAACAGAAATAAGATTGAGACATTAGTCGAAAAATGTAGTCAGTGAGGAAGACAATGGCTTGGTCCAATTTGTATGGTAGACCAGGTAGTCCCATAGTGAGAACTAAGCTTATAAAAGACATGCACCTTTAAATATGCATTTTACAAATCTTATCTATTCACTGTGTCAAACAATATTTTTGGTCACATGACCAATCATCGCTCAGAAAGAACTCTGGGACATATAACCTCCTGTGAAACCTTATATGGAGGAGCTTCTGAGTTATGATTTAATTAGAAATGTCCAGCATTCTCCACCATAGTGTTCCATGTAAAAATAGCTGCTGATGACATTAATGACCACTTTAGCTGACTTAACTGACATGGGTGGCTCATCCTTTCACTCCCCTGCCAAGTTTACCCCCTGCTCAGATAGGCGCTCCAAAGATGTGCCAATTCATGCAACTTCATTACCAAACCAGGCCATTATTTAGAGAAACCTTCACAGTAGTCTTCATCCCTAGCTTTAAAGCAATCAGGTACTGCATCTTATAATTGAGAATCAATGACCTTTGGATTTTTTTTACATATTTAGACATTTTCTCTTCAGAAGTGGTGCAATGATAATTTTGCACCAATTTGAGATCCTGAGGAGAATATTGTAAATTGTAATTTGCTTTTTTTATAAAACTCAAATCAGCACATGCACACTTCTTTTTCTATAACTAGTTTGGAAGTTTGGAATTCCTAAAATTCAAAAAAAGTTCAATTCTGAATACCAATAATACTCCATGCTCTAATAATAACAGTGGTTTCAGCTGGAACAAAACAAATCATAAAAACTCCACAAAAATCAAATCTATATCGTATTTGGCAAGAAATCTCCCCATTTTAAAACAGAAACAACTGCAATTCATTAACAGATATTCATAAACAAAATAAAGTAGCCTGACTGATCCCAAATGAGTACTTCAAAGCACATGAATCAGATAATCCTTCACATCTGCACCATCTATTAAGAAAGCAATTGTCAAAAGTTGTTAAATATTAGCTATACTACCACAAAGTTTATTAAGATATTCTAGTTTTATATCTGTATATTTTATATGGCTAGAACTTAATCCCAAAGCTTATTTTATATTTTATATACATGTAGCTGAGACTTATTTTATGCCAATTAGGCAAATAGTGGATCAAGACCCCCTATCTTAACATTATGTGATTTAATTTTGATCTGACAATTTTTCCATTTTCTAAATCTTTCCTACTGATTTTATCATTCAAAAGCAAAAGGAACCATGAAGGGGTATTGCAAGTATATTACAATGTTGAGATGTTCCCTAATTGTTCTATTTCTATCCTGATATGATCAAGTATTTCTAGCTACAAGAACCGTTAACTTCCCTCAATGATCTTGAATATGGTATGGTTGATTACCCCCCTCCCCAATATGTCAGAGCCTAATATATTAGATGAAGTAAATGAAGCTAAACTTTTAAGAAGCAAATCCACCTATTAGATATA